GAAAGGAGGAAAATAAGAGCCTGATTGAAAAAATGCAAATGCATACCTAGAGGGAAAAAGGATTGCAAATACAGATGTAGCTCTGGGAGCATGGCTCTGAGACAGAGCTAGAGACAAAATGGATGGCACAGGTCCCAGTGCACAGTGGGGCCCAGTGCAAATGCCCCTTGACTTAGAATAGTGACGGGAATGAGTTAATTGTCATAAATACCACGTGACATTGCCACAGCTCTGCTGTCTGTGTGAGTTCACATCAAGAAGTCCAGTCTGCGGTGGAGCCAGCAGAATCAGAGAAGCGCAAAGGGGAGTTTGGAAATTGACCACATTTCTGGACTACTCTAGGAAGAGAAAGCTGGGTTTATAGGAAATGGTCATGTGGAGATCAGAGAAACTGCAATGGCAGTGGTTATCTGCCTGGAAAAAGCAGCAGAAGCATGCGGTCCTGGCGGTGGCCATGCTATCTGCCTGGCCCAGTGTTTCTTTTGCACCCTGTCCTTTCACTCTGTTGCATTGCCATTCTGCTGTTCTGGAAGCCTGGGTATCAGAACTCATGCTCAAAAAGTTTGATTTCAATCTTGATAGGGAAAATGACACACCCTTATTACTACCAAAAATGTATAACCAGAGTCAAATCATGAGAAACATACAAACGCATCACTTGGGACATTCTGCACATTATGAGCCTGTATTCTTCAAAAAATATTCACGTCTGAAAGACAATGAAAAGCTGAGGAACTGTCTCAGATTAAAGAGTCAAAGGAGATATGACAACTAAATGCAATGTGTGCTCCTGAATTGGAAAATCAAAAATTACTGTAAAGAACAATAATGGGACAATTGGCAAAATTTGGATATACACAGTATGATGGATAAGAACATTGTATCGATGTTATACATCCTGAATTTCATAGTGGCACTGTAGTCCTATAAATCCTTGTTTTTAGGATATATAAACTGACGTGTTTAGGGCTTAAAGGTGATGATGTCGGTAGTGTACTCTCAATCCAAAAGAATGTGACTAATAGTGTGTGTGTGCGCATGCATATGTGTGTACTTTCTGCCTTAAAAAATTACAATAGACTGAAAACAATCTAATGCTTCCTAGATGATTCCAGAGCATGTGGCGATTTGGTATCTCTATCATCGTGGCCATTTTGATGATACAATTGTGATTACAGAAATTCTAAGGGAAGAGCCACGTGTATGTTGAGTCCTAGACATTCTCTAAAATGTGTTTGGTTTCTAAATTCTTTTATCAGCTGCATTTCTCGTCACTTGCTTCTTTTTCCTAGCAATCAAAGGCAGAGGATCCATGGCCATTTACACCTAACTAGAGATGATTCAATATTATGGCACAGACTCATGGTGGCCTTCCTGATACTCCTCGGTAGCGTCATCCACTCATTCTGTTTTTCACTGGGTTGAAACCAAGCTACTTCATTTACCTTCTTTCTATTTTCAAGGAACTCACTCAGGCCACTGGCTTAGTAGAGCTCCTCCTGTATTCTCAATCTTCTGCATCACGTTAGCGCAGTAAAGTGCTTAGGAAAGCACACAAGAGGCTCAGGCACAGAATAATTTAGGTGTCATGGGCACTTATATATTCAGGAGAAGCAGGGAATTGACAGCATTGAGCCTTTTGCTGTAGGGCCAGAATAGAATGAGAAAATTGAGGAAGTCCCTTTTCTCCAACCGTATGTGACATCGGTTATGCCAAAGGAGACCAGAACATACAAATGTCTCCTCCAAGCTAATCAGCACCTTTGCAACTATGGGGGCAGCAGCTGCACATGCACATTCTCTCTGGGTCGTCCATATTCATTGGCACTGAGGGTAGGTCTGGCAACACGTGGGTTTTTTCCCCACCAGTCAGCTAAATCTAAGTTTTAAATGCAAAGTATGCATTTCAAGGACATTATGTGGATTTGTGGCAGTGCCTGGAGGACTTTGGGTCTATAAAATGAAGAATAAATTACAGGGAAATATAAATAAAGCGTTTTCATCAGTGACAGTTATAATGTCACAATACCGAGGAAAACTGGGGACTTTCTGTATATGAGCATGTTCTGCAGCTACAAAAAAGTGCATCACTAAGCAGAAATTACAGTGAAAGAAAATGAGGTTACAGTGGGGACATCTCAAAAGCCTTCTGCTTCAGAGCAAAGCAGGATGTTTGCAGTTCTGTTTCCCACTAAGCAGAACTGTTTGCAACTCAGCATGAGAAAAGCCACTGATCTGGAGTGTAACAGAACAGATCTTTTCCAGGCCAGGGAAGTCTCAGTGGGGCATCTAGTGAGCCCCAGTGTTTCAGGGAAAGGCAGGGGCTGGAAGGTTGGATGAACTCACCTGGAGCCTGAGATGATCTGAGAGCTGGCCCAAGGAAACTGAGTAAGACGGTGTTCTTGTGTCTTACTCAGTTTCCTGCTGCTATCACAGAATGCCACAGGCTGGGGAATTTGTATGGAAAAGTCATTTATTTACCATAGTTGGGAGTTGGGAAGCCCAAGAATATGGCTCTGGTATCAGGTGAGGGTCTTCTTGCTGTGTGATTCCATGTAAAAAGGTACAAGCAAACACGTGGACAGAGCAAATGGAGGCCTAACTCACCCTTTCATCAGGAGTCCTGTCCCGTGATAACTAACGCACTCTGCAATAGCATTCATTCATTCATGAGGGTGGAGTCTTCATGATCCCATCACCTCCCAAAAGCCTCATCTCTTACTATTACAATGGCAATTAAGTTTTCAGCACATGAACTTTGGAGGACATATTCAAAGCATAGCAAGAACTTTTCCCGGAGATCATTTATATCTTCCCAAGGAGACTCTGCAGGCAAAATATACTCCATCAGAGTTTTATATCTGCCCTGTTAGACCTTCCCATCTGCCCCCACTAATCTTTATCCTAAAGCATTAGCCAGATATATAATGACCCCACAGTTCTATAGGCTTCTAAACAACCACTTCCCATTTTTACCTACTTATTTCAACATATAACTTGTGTTAGGCCATGACTGGCAGGCTTCAGAATCCATAACTACCCTGGGGCGCAGGATGAGGAAGTTCTCTGTACTTAGGTTTAGGGTTGTGCCCAAAAGCCTATGGTCTGTTATCGGCAGCCTACAAATCCAGAGATCTAAAACGAATTCATACTTCAAGATTGCAAGGCCTCAGGTCTATGTCACCCTGCTAGTTTTTAAGCATGTGTTAAGAAAAAAAGTTAACCTATACAAAAATAGTAGCAAAGAACCTCAATATTCGACAGTCATCAGCATTTTGCCTACTCCCTTCATCTCTACAGTCCTCTCCTCCTTTTTGCCAAAGCATTTTAAAGCCAATTCCAAACATCATGCTGATTTACTCCTAAATATTTAAATACGCATCTCAAAAGAATAAGAACATTTATTTTACATGATCATGAGTCCACTATCATGAACATAATCCAGACTTCCTTCATATCGCCGAGTTCTTTCCTCATTCAAATTTCCCTGACAGTCGATAAAATGTCTTTTTGAACTACTTTATTTGGATCAGAATCTAAATGAGGGCTACTCTATTATTTGATGGTTATGTCTCTTAAGTAGATTTTACATTTGTGTCTTTTTTCTAAAAATTATACTTTAAGTTCTGGGGTACATGTGCAGAACGTGTGGGTTTGTACATAGGTACACACATGCCATGGAAGTTTGCTGCACCCATCAATCTGTCATCTACTTTAGGTATTTCTCCTAATGCTATCCCTTCCCTAGCCCTCCACCGCTCAATTGGCCCAGTGTGTGATGTTCCCCTCCCTGTGTTCATGTGTTCTCATTGTTCAACTCCCACTTATGAGTGAGAACATGTGGTGGTTGGTTTTCTGTTCCTGTGTTAGTTTGCTGAGAATCATGGTTTCCAGCTTCATCCACATCCCTGCAAAGGACATGAACTCATCCTTTTTTATGGCTGCATAGTATTCCATGGTGTATATGTGCCACATTTTCTTTATCCAGTCTATCATTGATGGGTTGGTTCCAAGTCTTGGCTCTGTGTCTTTTAACAAGCACTATCTCCTCTCTCATTCTCTCTCTTGCTCATTGTCTCTCTTTCTCTGTCACTCTCTCTCCCTCTCACACACACACAAACACACACACACACATACACACACTGATAAAACAAAGTCCATTGTTCTATAGAATATCTCACATTCAGCATTTGGTGGATTGCTACCTTGTGGTGTTATTTAACTTAAATCCACCATATCACTTTGAGATGTGAAGTTAAACCTGAAATCTTGAAGAGTTTCAAGTATAATTTTTTTTTTTGGCAAGAATACTTCATAGACAATGAATACCTCACATTGTACCACATCAGAAAGTATGTAATATTTGATTATCTTATTTTGGTGATGTTTACCTAGGGTTGATTTGTTTGTTTCAAGCTGAAGCTAAACATTTCCATTCAACCAAAATCAAAACTGTAAAACAAAGTGCATTCAGAGAAGTCTCACATCTATCCCTGCTCCTCTATCTGGTCTCTTCCCTCTTCTTAAAGGCAATCAGTTTTTGAGTTTTTGCATGGTTTGTTTTAACAAATATGAGAAAATTCACGCATACCTTTCTTACACAAAAGGCATACTCTGTACAGTATCCTACACACTGTACACTATACACACAATGTATATTGTTCTGTACTTTGCTTTTTTCACCTTGAAATAGATCCTGGATATCACTCCATATCAATATATGAAGATTTTTTTCAGCTTCAGAGAATTTCATTTGCAAATGTACTATGTTTTGTTTAAGTAGTCCTATATTGATTAATAGTCTTGGTTATTGTCAATCTTGTTATTACAAAAAAACTACAGTCAATAATGTGCATACATCATCTTGTTTTTGGCAAGTGTATATTTGGTAAAGATCACTAGAAGTATGGTTGCTGCTTGGAAGGTAAAACATATAATTTTGCTAGATAGTCAATCAAATTATTAAGTCTAATGTTTATTTACATTGTTTCTCCCACCAGAAAGAAGCCAACAAAACATATAACTGTGAAAATTTAGGTCTCAGTGAAATCCCTGACACTCTACCAAACACAACACAATTTCTGGAATTTGGCTTTAATTTTTTGCCTACACTTCACAATAGAACCTTCAAGAGACTCATGAATCTTACCTTTTTGGATTTAACTAGGTATGTATCTGAGTTATTTAATATAAGATGTTTTACTTAGATAAAAATACAGTATGTGTTCAGTTTATTTGCAGGACCTTCTTTTGGGGCCCAGGGACAATCTGCTTATCCTCATGTTTAAACCTTCCCACGAAATACTTCTATTTCTGTGGGTGGAATGAAATTTAAATAAACATCACCAATGGAGAACAAAGTGAATTGCTCTCAAACTAGTCGCATCAGTAGTACTGTTGGAGCATTTCTAAGGAATACTGATGACAAAAATGAAAATAATCTTGTACTAAATCAGATGCCAAACTATGCTAAATTTTGGCATAGTGTGTTTTTTGGTAATGACATTTAAGAAAACTTTTGAGGAGAAAAGCACACTGTCTACTATTCCCCCCTACAAATTGGAAAATGAGTTCCATTATTTTGTTACAGTGGCAGAACTGAGATTCCACAGGCTGAGCCAGCGTTTGAGAACCGGTAGGCAGAAGTATTACAAGAAAATAAGGGAAGAGGCTGGGCACGGTGGCTCATGCCTGTAATCCCAGCACTTTCGGAATCCAAAGTGGGCAGATCATGAGGTCAGGAGTTCGAGACCAGCTTGGCCATCATGGTGAAAATCTGACTCTACCAGAAATACAAAAATTAGCTGGGCATGGTGGCACGTGCCTGTAATCCCAGCTACTCAGGAGGCTGGGGCAGGAGAATTGCTTTAACCCGGGAGGCAGAGGTTGCAGTGAGCCAAGATCGTGCCACTGTACTCCAGACTGGGCAACAGAGCAAGACTCTGTCTCAAAAAAAAAAAAAAAGATAAAATAATGTAAGAAAATGAAAGGGCTGTACTGTGTTTGTGTGTGTACACGCGTGTGTGTGTGTGTGTGTGTGTAAGGGGGACAGGTGCTTCATGTGCATGCAGTCTGCACCCCTCACAGCAGTTCTACTTCTTCTATTTTGTCCTTCACCTTCAGCTTCTGTGGACAGAATGTCCAAATCCATCGTACCACTTCACCTTTACAACCACCACTGTGAGGTTCCATGTTGCATATTATCATCCAGCTTTTGGTTAGATGAGGAGGCCATCTGTGTATGTGTGTGTGCGTGTGTATGTGTACTCCAGTATTTTTAGGTGGAACACCAGGATGGTTTTCCAGATGAAAATACCGAGGTTGAGAAAAGATGTAACTTGCCCAGGACAGCACAGATTTTTGTATTTATATGTTTTGTATCCTATATTCATATATTATCTATTATGCATTCTACATGATATATTTTGTATTACTTAAAACTGTAAATAATAGTTTGATTTTTGCCCAGAATCAAATGACCCATGGTTCTTTAGAATACAGGCACAAATCTCTGAGGGCTCAACCTAAGGGGTGAGACACCTGGAAAAAAAATCTAAATCAGAGTGTTCAGAAGTGAGGCTGTTCATTAATTCCTTCAACAGACCATCTGTTGATACTGAAGAAAGTTTTGACGTCTGATTTTGAATGATACAAAAGATGACTTTGTTAATGTGTGTCACTGTGGGGTTTTTTTCTTTTTTCAAATTAATTATTGTTAAATACTATTATCTTTTCAAGGTGCCAGATTAACTGGATACATGAAGGCACTTTTCAAAGCCATCATCAATTGAGCACACTTGTGTTAACTGGAAATCCTTTGATATTCATGGCAGAAACATCACTTAATGGCCCCAAGTCACTAAAGCATCTTTTCTTAATCCAAACGGGAATATCCAATCTCGAGTTTATTCCAGTGCACAATCTGGAAAACTTGGAAAGCTTGTATCTTGGAAGCAACCACATTTCCTCCATTAAGTTCCCCAAAGATTTCCCAGCACGGAATCTGAAAGTGCTGGATTTTCAGAATAATGCTATACACTACCTCTCTAGAGAAGACATCCGGTCTCTGGAGCAGGCCACCAACTTAAGCCTGAACTTCAATGGCAATGATATTAAAGATATTGAGCTTGGGGCTTTTGATTCAACAGTCTTCCAAAGTTTGAACTTCGGAGGAACTTCAGATTTGTCTGTTATATTCAACGGTCTGCAGAACTCTACTACTCAGTCTCTCTGGCTGGGAGTGTTTGATGACACTGATGACAAAGACGTTAGTTCAGCCGTGCTCAAGGGACTCTGTGAAATGTCTGTTGAGAGCCTCAACCTGCAGAAACACCGTTTCTCTGACTTCTCATCCACCACATTTCAGTGCTTCACCCAAATCCAGGAACTGGATCTGACAGCAACTCACTTGGTAGGGTTGCCCTCTGGGATTAAGGGTCTGAACTTGCTCAAGAAATTAGTTCTCAGTGTAAATCATTTTGACCAATTGTGTCAAATCAATGCTGCCAATTTCCCCTCCCTTACACACCTCCACATCAGAGGCAACGTGAGGAAACTTAACCTCGGTGTTGGTTGTTTGGAGAAACTAGGAAACCTTCAGACACTTGATTTAAGCCATAATGACATAGAGGCTTCTGACTGCTGCAGTCTACAACTCAGAAACCTGTCCCACTTGCAAATCTTAAACCTGAGCTACAATGAGCCTCTTGGTCTCCAGAGTCAGGCATTCAAGGAATGTCCTCGGCTGGAACTCCTGGATTTGACATTTACCCGCTTACACATTAATGGTCCACAAAGTCCCTTCCAAAACCTTCATTTCCTACAGGTTCTGAATCTCACCTACTGCTTCCTTGATACCAGCAATCAGCATCTTCTAGCAGGCCTACCGGCTCTCCGGTATCTCAGCTTAAAAGGGAATCACTTTCAAGATGGGACTATCTTGAAGACCAACCTGCTTCAGACCGTGGGCAGCTTGGAGACTCTGATTTTATCCTCCTGTGATCTCCTCTCCATAGACCGGCAAGCATTCTACAGCCTGGAAAATATAAGCCATGTAGACTTAAGCCACAACAGCCTGACATGCGACAGCATTGATACTCTTGGCCATCTTAAGGGAATCTACCTCAATCTGGCTGCCAACAGCATTAACATCATCTCATCCCATCTCCTCCCCATCTTGTCCCAGCAGAGCACCATTAATTTGAGTCGCAATCCCCTGGACTGCACTTGCTCAAATATTCATTTCTTAACATGGTACAAAGAAAACCTGCACAAACTCGAAGACTCAGAGGAGACCATGTGCGCAAACCCGCCACCTCTAAAGGGAGTTAAGCTATCTGATGTCAAGCTGTCCTGCGGGATTACAGCCATGGGCATTTTCTTTCTCATAGTATTTTTATTATTGTTCACTATTCTGCTCTTCTTTGCAGTTAAATACCTTCTCAGGTGGAAATACCAACCCGTGTAGTGCTGAAGGTTTTCAGAGAAAGCAAATAAATGTGCTTAGCAAAATTGCTGTAAGTGAAGGAACTGTCATCTGCTGGTGACCAGACCAGACTTTTCCGATAGGTTCCTGGAGCTGGGCAGGAACTCACTGTGCTTTTCTGAACGTCTTACTCCTGTGAGTCCCAGCGCTAACAAACCTTTAGGCAAGGACACTGGCTCAGGCCAGAGGGCCTGACACAGCTGTGAGAGGCACAGAGCCCTTTCCACATGTGGAAGGTGGGAGGAAGCAGAGGGAGGGGCTGGGCAAGAACTGCCAGCTGAGAGTCATCCACGGGGAGGCTGTCACCCTTCTACTCACCAACATCCCTCCCAGCATCCGACACCATGTCCGTGAAAGGAGATCATCAGTCCCCACAATTTGGCAGAGTGGAAGCTAGCACTGCTACCCTCCCCCCACCCCACCCCTGCCTACAGCATTGTGCTTGGGTCTGGGTTCTCGGTAATGTAGTCATTTGGGAAACTTAGCTGGAGACAAAGTCTTAACGCTTACTTTAAATAAAAAAAGAAAAACACAATAAATTTAGAAGAAAAGACAGAAATGAAACTTGGTATCAAATAGACTCCATTCATCTTCTTAATCCTTAGGTCTGTAGGGTCTCTAAATGCCCCTAGGGTGTGAATGGCTGTTAAAAAAAAAGAACCCATCCCAAGGTTTAGAATTTCTGCCACGTTTGCCTCACTCAGTTCAGAAAATAGGCAGAGATAGGCTCTCTCTGCCTATCTGGTGTGCTGGCTCTTACGTTACAGATCCTAACTTGCAGGTGAGCCGTGATCCAAAACGGCTTCTCATTCAGGCATTCGGTTCTTGGAAGACGCTTTCCCAGCAGAACTGTGAGATGAATGGTGGTTCGTTCTCAGGCTGGCCCTTAAAAGCCTGTTTGCTTCGGAGAACATTTGAAATAGAGCATTTACATGAAAACTAGGAAGAAGACATCCCTGCATGCCAGCTGTTGGGAACACCGTAAAGCTGGCTTAGAGAGAAGTGGTTTCTGTTGAGGCTAGGGATGTCAGCAAAGGTCACACCAGCAATGAACAGGGGCCTGGACCATTGAATGAAGAGAGACGAAGAGCAATGTCATGACTTAGGCCTAAAGGGCCATATCACACATGCTTCTATCTTCTGGAGTCTTGATTGCCAGACAAGCTTGGTGGGAGTTCCTGGACTCAAGGGGTGCATTGATAAAGCCTGGATTCAGATCCATAACCAATTTTAGGGTAGCGATAGAGATGGTAATTTATAGTTAGGAAGTTCTGATAGACTATCGAAGTAAAAATTGATCAAACCAAGCAGAATATATTTGCCCTTAGGTTGAGGGCATACTAGTGGGACATCAGAACAGAGTGGAAACTCGGGGGTCATCCTCTTTGTCTCTTCACCCCCAGGAAAGGCAAGACAGGCAGGGAACAGGAGTGGGTGAAGCTTTTCCCTGCTCAGGGATTTTCGGTCTTGGAATTTGCTTTTTTTTCCTTTGCCTGGAAGATGCTGCTACTGGCCTCCAAGTGGCTTGTGCCCTCATCTCCTTGAGATTTCAGTGCTAATATTTTCTTCTCTCAGAGAGCGCTTCTCTGACCTAGCTAATCCAAAGCAACCTCTATGCATCACCCAATTCACTCTCATAACACCGGGTTTTAGCATTTTTATAATGCTTACCAGTGTTTGGAATTACTTTCGTCATTTGTTTTAATTAATCTGTCTTGTCTCTCCCAAATACAAGCTTCATGAGAGGGTCTTTGCCCAAGGATGTCCTAGAACATGCCTGGGACATAGTAAGGACTCAAAATATTTTTAGTATGTCCTAATCCCTGAGCCTTGATGGCTTCCAGTTCTGCCACCATGCCTGTCCTATTGACTCTTGCTCCTGACATCTCCACTGTTTCCTGGGCATCCCACATGTTTTTCACTGGAATATTTTAGGAAAGTCTGTACAAAATGGATTCTCAGGCCTCACCCTCAGATCTGTTGGACTGAGGTGGCTCTGGATTCCCAGCCAAATGATTCCATGTAAAATCCCTCCCTATTCTTAGTTATAAATGTATTCCTCCTGATTTTCCCATCTTAGAGTGGGGAAGGTCCACACTCTAAGAATCCAGTCTTAGACAGCACGAACCCATTGAGTTCCTGCATATTCTGTCAGATGTAAGCTCTTTCTTGCCTTAGGGATTTAAACTGCAGATGGAGTATATTAATTACTGATTTATCTACTCATAGACATACTGCCTTCCATAATATTTAATATGGAACTTGGAAAAACAAGACAATGAAAGAGGCCCAAGCCTTAGCAAAGCATAGTGGTCCATCCTGCTTTCCCTTCTCAGGCCCACTCCCTTCTCTGTGATGCAGCTCGTTGCTCCATAACTGATCTAAGGCTTTGTGACAGCTCCTCTGTTTTAACCAACAGTAAATTCACCCCACAAAGTCAGAAAGGGAGCTTTTTGATGGCTGCTGTCAATTTTATTGCTTTATCCTGTTTACTAGGATAGAATCTGTAACATGGTGTGTTTATTGGTTTTATGTATTGCATGTTGCTGCTGCTCTGACAAGCTACTCCTATAAAAATGTGTTATGATTGCATGATGGAGCTCAGTGAGCTGACCCTGCATTTCAAAGGGTACTGAAGCAAATATCATTGAAGTCCATAAAAGCTGACTGGCCTCCATCACAGAGGACTCTCTGCATGAGCTGCAACTCCTACAATCTGAGAGAGAATTACATCTTACCCTGTGCCAGCAGCCACTAACCGAGTACAGCACAGCCCTGAACCCAAGCATTATCTGTAAAATTCCAAGACAGAAAACTCATTCCATTCTTATTTGTCCACCTCTCTAATCAGTATTGTTTGCGATTTTGATACCTACAAAAGTATGAAACAAATGGCTCTAGAATGTTTTCCTATATTAGTATAGTGGGCAAGATGGGTGGCTGACATTGTTTGGCCCTGAATGTTGAATAGAAAATTGAATTAAAGCAAGAGGGGATGTGCTTTTTTCTTAGCAAGTCATGACTGGGGGTGTCCCAGGTGTTGGGCTGGAGTTGATGGCCTGACAAATTAAGAGTGTGAAGGTCTAACAGGGTGTGAGTTAGCCTGAAGGCTGTGGAGGAATGGATGAGCCCAGTGGGCTATTCCAGTTTAACAACAGAATAATCCAGGACTTCTTTACAAAACAGATTCTGGTGCTTCGCCCCTAGATGTTGGGATTCTGTTAGACTGGGATTGGCCCTGGACTCTCAGGTAAAGATGTAAAATCTTTCCCTTATTTTAATGTTATCAACCAATAGCAGAAGCATATGTTAGGCCCCATGAGTCAAATGAGCTGGAGAATTGCTTTATGTCCCATAAGAGGAAATTTCTTAACAAAATGGGGGGAAAGCGCTAAGTTGCCCTCAAATCCAAGGGTGAAATGTCTTGGTCAGGTGGCTCATTAGTCCCTTCTGCTGACACCGCCAGACTCCAAGACCCTGCTCCTAAAGCCACCCTGCTCTCCCATCCACCCTCTACCCACTCTACCTTATCCTAGCTATTAGCAATTTGAAATAATTATTTGAATAACGTGGAACTTGATAAAGGTAAGAATTAATTTACATATTCTATTTAAAAGCTGTTATTGCTCATGAACGATTAAGCAGTGAAGTTCATTGAACACCATCCTCCAATACTCCCCATCTTTGGTTAATGTTCTCTGAGCTCTTGGCTAGATCCTGCAAAGGTAAGCAGAGGACAAGTGGCCACCAGAACATCCATTCCATCTCCTCCTCCGCCCTTCATGTTGATTAATGGGTTTTCTAAATAAATTGGGTCTCCCTTTTTCTCTTTCTCTCTTTCTTAGAGAGAACCTAAGTGTGCAACAATAGATAAATGATTAAGTATATTAGATGATCTGAATACATGTGGAGATATTCCATGCTCTTAGGTGTAACAACTTAACACTAAAAACATGTTGATTCTATTAGCAATCAGAGAAATACAAGTTAAAATGAGATAAATGTTTATATTTGTTGGACTGGCAAAAAGAGAAAGCTGAGTGATAGTGTAGTTGTGGCTGTGTGGTTTCAGGAACTACATGCCCTGATTATGGGGGTGTAGATTGGTACAGCCATTCTAGGACCATCTGGCAACAATGAATCAAATCAAGTATATTACCCACAAGCTGCTCTGAGGTTGTAGCCCAAGAAAACATCCTATGTCCACAAAGATATTCATTGTAGCATTATTTGTGGAGGGGAAAGTTCACAGCAACATAAGTGTCCTGCACTAGGAAGTAGGCGGGTAAAACTGGGAAGAAGCTCAAGACTGGGCGCTATGCAGTAATTAGAAGCAGTGGATTAGCTGCAGCCATAGCAATGTAACTGAATCGTAAACATATAGAACTTAATGGGAGAAAAAAGCCAAAATAATATATTAACATGGTCATCTACATAACTTAAAAAAGCATGCATTAAAAACGATACATATATTTTGCAGGAACAAAAACAAAAAGATAAACCAGCGACAAAATTGTTTATGGGGTGGTGGTGGGGAATGGAAGGGACTATTGAGATAAGTAAATGAATCTTATGATAGGCCAAGGTTGATGTGCCAAGAACAGAAGAGTTGGCCTCCATGGTCTGCACCTGAGGTCCTCTAACACCCACATGTGCACACACGCAGAAAGAAAGTGGTATGGCCCAAACGTATAATGAAATGCCATGCAGCCATTATACATATTGCAGAAGCATATGTTAACCCCTTCTAAACATTGAAATATATTGGTGTTAATATTCAGGTGAAACTGGCTCAAGAGTTACATAGACAGTTGCTTTTTGGATAAGATATGGACCCTTCTGCTGTTAATGCTTGAAACACGTTTATTTGAGGAGTTCCTTTCTCAGAAAAGGACCTCAGACCTCTTACAAAAAGTATCAAAGAACTGAAACCAGATTGCCACACCAGATGCCACACCCCTCATTCACTGTGATTGCTTCCTTGCCCCTCCCAAATTCCTGTTTTCTTACACATTGTTACATTTTTTATATCACTATTGCCCATGCTTCCCAGTAAGAATCACCTGTCCCTCACATTTTTTCTTACATATTGTTATACTTTATACATTGTTTCTATATGCTATATAAACTCCTGGTTTAGTTGGTCAGGGAGATGGATTTGAGACTGAGCTTCCATCTCTTCTGCTGCAGCACCCAATTAAAGCCTTCTTCCTTGGTGATACCTGTTGTCTCAGGGGTTGGCTTTCTGTGCAGTGAACAGCAGGACATAAAACAAATTCCAGGTGTTTTGGTGACACAAGCGGAAGAGCAGAATAGTGGGCTGAAGAGCATGCCCACTGTTATTTCATTATTCAGCAAAATAAAACAAAACAAAATACCGTCAGTTAAAGAAACAGAGTAGCCAGTAGGATTTCAGTGATTCAAGTACTTTCTTTTTATCTATACATTTCCAATATGTCTTCAATGACTAGCTGTAGACAATAAGGAGAAAAATTAAATTTTTTTTAAGAAAGACTTTTGCTTTTAAAAAGATATAAAACAAAGAGATTATAGATTGTGAGAATATACAGGTACTGAAAGGAGACAGTGTTTTTCTAAGGCTTTGTGTTTTCTTTTTCTATTTTTTTGAGACAGAGTCTTGCTCTATCCCCCAGGCTTGTGTGTAGTGGTGTAATTTCTGCTTACCGCAATCTCTGCCTCCCGGGTTCAAGGGATTCTCCTGTTTCAGTCTTGCGAGTAGCTGGACTTACAGGCATGTGCCACCACACCCATCTAATTTTGTGTTTTTAGTAGAGGCAGGGTTTCTCCATGTTGGTCAGGCTGGTCTTGAACTCCTGACCTCAGGTGAGCCACTGGCCTTAGCCTCCCAAAGTGCTGAGATTACAGGCTTGAGCCACCATGCCCAGCCTAGGCTTTGTTTTCAAATGCAAATGGTAAAGCCCAAGATTTGTGTGTTGCTCTTTCCTCTTTCTGAGGGAACAGAGGGAGCCATGGCTATTCTAAGGATCCCCATTTGAATGGGACAGTAGGACATGCATTACAGGGAATGTCCATAGAATTGCTTCCAGCCGCAACAGGAGTAGGTATGTTTCCAACTCAGGAAAATTACTTCAGTACAGCATTGTTTAACACAGCATACATATTCCAAAGGGACAGAACTTTCAGGCAAATTATTTTTATTTAGACAGGTTAAGGCTGGAGGATATGGTGATGCCAGCCTGACACATGCAGACTTTGAAGCTGCAACATGCTTGCTGCAGGCCTTGCAAACATCTTTTCATTCTTCCTTTCCCAGATGCTGACAGCCATCTCCCGGCAGCACTTAATGAAACGGCAGATGACTATATATTAGAGGCCTTCAACTTTACAAGAGCAATAGACATTTCTTCAAGCTGTGCGGGGTGATATGTTGTAGCCATATGCAGATCTTTTTCCCACATCTGGACATACTGAACTGGCATGTCACAGAATGTACAGAGAACTTCAGTCTTCAGACCCATTCCCTTTTTCAAGTGCTTGCCTGCATACAAGTATTGGAATTGACAGCCCGACATTCAGCCAGTGATGTTGTAAGAGATAGTGATCTTGTGTTTTGAAATGCTGGGTCTCAGAAACCAGTGAGATGTTGCTGAGTGTTTTCCTATAAGGAATAGTGCTAATGACTCCAGTTCAGGATCTGAGGTGTCTTAATTCCCAGATAACTTGAACATGGGTTAGGCTGATTGGCTTTCAGCATACAAAACATAATTGAACCAAGGTTCAGCAAAGCCTTAGTCATTTCCAGATTTTCTTGATATATCAGACATGTAGGGGGAAGAGAAAGAGAAGAATAACACAAAATGATTGCTTTGAGGATAAAAACATCCTGGCAGGAGAAAAATTAAATTTAGAGAACTGCCCTACCATAACTTTTCTTAATGCATGGCCTAGAATGAAGGAAGCAAATTTCTGTAGTTACTATAGCTACACTTTTGCATGTTACATTTGCATTGTGAACCAAAAATCCTAGATGAGAAATTATCTACTGATTGATTAGAACTGATAAAGAAACCCTATTACAGAGAACTATTAGCTTCCTTCACTTAACAGTTTCTCACCGATCACCAAATTTATCACGTAGTGCCATATGAGTTTTCTACATGGAAAGAGGACAAAAAATAGCTTAGATCATTCAAAGGGAGGCCTGAATCTGAATTCAATTACACAGCACCTAGTAATACTAAGAAAGGTCAAGAGCATCAGAACCAGAAAAATTCAGATTCTAATCCAAGCTCTCTTTCCAGGGTGTATGTTAAACAAACGATGTAGCCTGGCTGGGCCTGATTTCTCATCTATAAAGTGGGAATGCCACCACCTGGTTTGAGAATTGTGTTGATAAGTAAGACGGCTGATAAAAAGCATCTTGCTCAGTGCTAAGCATGTGTGTGTGTGTGTGTGTGTGTGTGTGTGTGTGTGTGGTGTGAGCACCACTATGCCCAGCTAAAGGACTTAATCTTGAACAATATTTGTGTAAGTTAAAAAAAAGGCAAAATTCCACTCAGCAAAAAGTAATCTGCAAAAACCCATCCTTTCCATAATACCAGAGTAATAATCAGTAATATTTTTTGGAGGTGGAATGTATATGAGTATGTTAGAAAAAAGCTTATTAGTCATCTTTCATGCTAAATTTTTATTTCAATGTTATGCAACTGCATAAGTATAAATATTTTGTTCAATATACAACAATTATGACATCCATAAGGAATTTCTTAGAGAAAATAAGACTGCAAACACTTTATTGCACAGATCCTAACAAACTTTTAAGCTGGTAAATCTACAGCTGGGAGTACTACCAAGGAGCACATCCTACAATCACACAGAGACTGACCAAATAGAACACAATGAGGAGAATTTCTACCAGCTGATTGGAGAGGTTTACGACAACGAACAGGTAATACATGAATGCAACCTTAAGTACTCTTTACTCATTCATAATGAAAAACATATTTGGCAAAAATGATGATACACTATACAAAATATACATAAAAATATCATTTGTAAACAAATAGCTAGTTGTGCTTTAAAGGAAATTGGACAGTTAAAAAGCAAAGGCTTGTAAACCATGAACTACCTCCCCGATAGACCTGTCCCAATGGCTGAATGTAGAAGGACTGAGTTATGACAACTGCCAAACACAGATATGTATTATAAACGTTGAGACCAGTTTTGAAACCCATTTAAGCTCTTGTAAAATATTTCTGTTTTTAACAGCTTCACAATGTAGTCATGGGGAATGGCTAAAACCATATGGAAAAAAATTAGGGGTAAGGAGGAGGCTTTTCTTTTTCTTTTTTTTTTCCATTTTGCCAATGCCAACTCATTTTATAATGAAGGACAACTGAGCAGCCGGTTAAATTATGCCTTTGTTTTCAGAGTGGAGTTTACAGCTTTACTAGAAGATTTACAATCCATACGGCCATCAGATGATGCTGTGTTTAGATGAACAATTTTATAGCCTGAAGATACTAAGACATCCCCAAGGGAGTCTGGGTGCTAGATTAGTTATTTATTGGTGATTTTTTTTCTCTTACAGAACAAAAAAAAATTCTGCTATGGTTCCCAAGCATCTTATAAATACTTATCTGTATTTTCTCTTAGTGCCTTAGTACTTACATCAGCAAGTGCCATCTTACAACACAAAACAAGCCACCAAAAAAAGAAACTGCAACAACAAAAATGGAAACAAAAAATCCAAAACCTTCGGCACTAAAATGATTTGACAAATTCTACATATTCCACGGTATACAAAATTTAAATAAGGCTTAGCAAAAGTAAAAAGGATGGTCACATTCAAGCACCAAATAGCTCCAATGAGTCTCTTTGTTACAAAAATGCTGCTCTTTATTAAGACAGTATTTTTGGCATACAAATAAAGAGATCAGGTTATGAAATGTATGGAGCTACTAGATGCATCAGAAATGAATGTGAAACCCAGGAACTTGCTAAAAACAGCAAGCTTCATCTACAACATAAGGCCCCAGCTATGTATTAAAATGTATCTAATGTCCTGATTATTCCTTATTAATATGTATGCTACGATGCCAAAATCCACCCCCAGTTCTTTTCCTCTAAAAAGCAAATTTAAAACCTCTTCCAATGCCTGATGCTCATTTCCTGACTTAAGTACTAGAAGATTTGGGTGCAGCCAGTAATTTTCCTTTTTATTCAAGAGCAGGGCTGGTGCAGGACTACTACAAAATGTGTGCTTCTTGGACTAGTCACTCACAGCATAAAGGCCTGAGTTTAAGAGTTTGAAAAGCAGGAAAAGAAAGAAAATCAAAAGAAAGTTGATGTGTGTTTATTGTCCCCACTCTACCTCAGGTGAAGACCAGACATACACATCCACAGGTAAGACCAACTGGCCTTTTAGATAGTTGGACCAGGGATCAAGTGTCCATTGGGATGGCTGTGGAAGGAAACTGGCTAGTTCCATTTGTCCTGGCCATTCCTAATGGAGGAGGATTTCAAATGCAGTAGAGTAGTTCTTGCTTTAGATCTGGAAATAAAGGTAGCCAGATACAGTACTATCAGAAACTCTGGTTAAAACACACATAAAAACTCAATCTACTGTGTTTAGGGCTTTCTTCCATCTTTACTTCAGATGTTTTAGCTTATAAAAATGGAAACTTGAAATATTCTCTTAAACCACAGACCAAAACATGTAGGTGGATGTGTATATACACGAATATGGATTATCTCTGTTCACACACACCCAATTTTGACCATTTTGCTTCATTACTACATTATGATAAATGGTAAAGCAAAAATCTTATTTAAAAAAAGCTGTAGTAAACGACTCAATCAGCAGCCAGGTATAGACTCTACATCCCAAACCAAACACGGTGCTATATATTTACAGAGAGAATCTTTCTCCTCAGCAACCCTCAACTGTAAAGGTAATTTTTTTGTTTTTGTTTTTTGTACAAACACTATCTGGTAACAGATTTACCGGTTACAACTGGGAAGGCATCTGGAAGAAGGGCCCCTCTTTGTCTTTCTCTCTCCCCTTTCTCAATGAGGCTCTGAGCTCTGCCTGGCGGACATTCCCACACAGTGCTGGTTTCGAAAGGTAGTCAAGACACAGTCGCCCATTCAGGACGGGTCTCCACAGTCCTGCCCGGGGCCCGCCCCTTACAAGGCCTTTTTGTGAGGGCTGCTACGCAAACTCTCTTTCCCCCGCCTCTGCCGTACCACAAAGTCCTTTTCATTAGAAAGGGAGATGGGGCGGTCCGTGTTTGGGGCTGGGGATGGCTTGGTCACATCTCTGCCCACGTTCTGTTTCCTCGTTGTGGGAAGCTGGGCTGGGGCAGGGTCCTTCCCTCTGGTTTCCCCTACGGTGGCAGTCACCGAGAGAGCCCTGTCCCGGTGGCTGGCTCCGCCCATGGTGTTTGGGTCGGGGTGGTGTGACTCCAGAGCCAGGGTGGAGACCCGGAAGCAGGGCAGGGAGTCGCTCTTTGTCATGTGGGTTCGGCCCTCCCCTGCAGGCTGAGCCTTCCTATGGTTCCTGTTGCTGGAGGCTGGGGGCTCCGGCGCGCCCCCGGCGGCCTTGTCAGAAGAGGTGTCGCTGCAGGCTGTAGAGGCCTCTCGAACTCCCGGCCTGGTTTCAGGGAAGCTGGAGGAGCAGTTCAGAGGCTTTTCCGGGAGGGCCATGGATCGCAAAGAACTCTGCCCAGTGGCTGAGGGGGACCGTTTCACGCTGCTGGGCTTGTCTGCCTCCGCCGGCGGCTTCTGGGGACCGGGCCCTTTCCCTCTGGCCTCCGGGAAACCCTTCCCCACCCCCGCGGCTGGCCGCTCTGCGCCTTTCAGCCGGGCCTCGCCGTGCGCAAAGGCAAGGCTGGCCTCGAGCGTGTCGCCGTCCGCTGGAGCATAAAGTGCTTCGGTGCATTTCTTCCTTTCCGCCCTCCTGTCGGTGGTGGCGGCCGGCTGACTCGGGCTTTTGTCTGTCTGCCTGCACAGCGCCGGGCAATCTTTCACAGTGGATGGTTTGGGGTGCTTTGGAGACAGGGTTTGCTTTTCACCGACACTGGTCAGTTTCTGGTCCGCTGGCTCACTGGGTCCTGGGTGTCCCGGCCTTGGCAAATGCATGGGCTTCTCCGACACCTCCAGGGGCCGCCCACCACTGGCGGGTTGTGGCTTGCTGTCTAGAGGACCCCCGTCAGTGTGCAGACGGACAGAGGGCCCACTTTCTCCCTGGCCGACCTCACCGCTGGCTTTGTTCTGGGAGCCTGGGGTAGCGGGAAACACATCCGGCCCACTCCTACTGTGGCCCTTCCCCTCTCTGCTAGAGCCACCGACGGACTGAATGGCAGGCTCCTGGCCCTTGGTGGCCCCAACACTTGGTTTCTGCGAGGAGAGGGATCGGTCAGGGTGCTTAGATTTTGGAGGACTTGGGTCAGGGCCAGGCCGCGGCTTGTGGCTGCTGTTTTCACTGTGTGCAGCAACGGGCTTGGGAGGGTCCTGGGGGCTCGGGCTGGGCTCTGGGGCGCTGGGCTTCGCCCCTGGCCCTCTGCCAGAGGCGTGGCTCGGGGAATTGCAAGGCTGCCTGGCAGCGGGGCTGGGCAAGTCTTTGGCCGTCAGAGGGGGTGGAGGGATACTGTTGGGATGCCTTTGCAGAGGCTGCTCCTTCCTTTCAGGTTCCTTGGCACCATCTTTCTGCACAGATGGGAAACTGGAGAGTTTTTCACTCTTCCCACTCTCAATTCCAGGTGGCTGCAGAGACCGCCTGGCAGGAGGGACGTCAGGCTTGGTTTCCACGCCATGCCTCCCCTTGCCCAGCTCCCTCTCACAGGGAGTTCCAGCCAAGTGTAGAGAGGAGTCATCTCTGCACGGGGGCCTTGCCTCATCTGGACCATCTTTGTGGTTCGTTTTCCCAGCCGGAGCCCATGCTTTCTCCATGGCCTGTGTCTGTGTGTAGAAATGTGGGTGGGTCCCTCCCACAGAGGGGAGATTTTTGGAGTTGTCACTGGTTTTAGCAGTTTCTGGAGAGCACAGCTGCATGCAGGGGTCTCTGCATATGTCAGCCCTCGAGGCAGACCGCTCACTTCTGGCTGTGGAAGGGCCTCTTTCAGCAGATTCCCTCAGGCCTGGCTTCTCCCTTGAGGGGGAAACTTCCGGTGGGAGTGGGCCACGGGGCCTGGCCAGGTCAGCATGCAGGTTCTGCCCCAGGCCAGTTAGAAGCTTGGGGTCCGTGGTATGGTCTTGGTGTTTGGGGGAACTTCCCTCTCTCTGTTGGGGATTGCTTTCCACGACAGTTGCAGGGCTCCTGGCAGTAGGATGGGGACCTTTCCTGTCCCTCTTTAACTCTGGGCAGGGCAGGGAAACTGCTGGTGAATTCTGGAGACTGCGGCTGGGGGGCAGGAACCGAGGCTCAAGCAGGTAGGATTTATTCATCTTTAAACCGGCAGGAGAAAGCTCTCTTGCACTGGCAGTTTCACTCTTTTTCCCACTGCCGCTGGGGAGAGCTGGTGGCACAGAGGGCCCCACGTCACCACCTGGACTGGGGCTCTGTACAGACTCCGGGGAAGGCAGTTCTGTCTTGGAGGCCTGAGGTCCAGACAGGAGAGCAATGTCCAGAGTGCCCTCAATCGGCTTGAGGCATGAGACAGTCCTCCCTTCCAGCTTATACTCGGAGGGGCTCTTCCTAACAGGGGACTCAGGAGCAACCAGGCCAGGCTTCTCTGCTCCACTGTCCACCCGGCCAGTTAAGGCCTTGAGGGGAACAAAAGAAACGGTGCTCATCTGAGCTGCATGAGTGCTGCTGACAAAAGCTCGGCTCTCAGAGGCTGGTGGGGGCTCCTGCGGCCCACCCATGGGTCGGACTTGGTTCCCTGGCAGGCATTCGTGGGTGCTAGCTGTCATCTTGGGCTTCAGCACAGGGCAGAGATTGTCCTCTTTGTCCTCCAGTGACATTTTCTTTCGCAGGTAATCGATGTTGGCCAGCTTGCTGTCTAACTTCTCACATCGGAGAAGCTCCTTCTCTGTGCCTTCCCCCTTGCCGGTCATGCCCCTGTCGAGGGAGTGGCAGAGACCATCCTGGAGGGTGCCAGGAGCAGGGGCCCGTCTGAAGTCCCCGCCACCCTGGCTGTGCTCTGCAGAGGCTGGGCCATCGGAGGTGGCACCCTCGCTGGCGCGCACGCTGGCCTGCTTGTGAAGAGCATCCTTCAGCAGGCTGCCCAGCGGTGGCGTTTCCTGCAGGGCCACTTTGTTTTCAAAAGGACTTGACCTCTCCACAGCCTTTGGATAGATTTTCTTCTCTCTTTCTTCCAGCTTAAACAGAGCTAGGTTTTCCAAATCACTCCCGGGTCCGTGGGATTTCTGGTGGGATTCCGGTTTCTCTGGGAAGCCATCTGGTTTCTTCACCACCACCTTGGCCTTCAGCTTGTCGCGGTCCAGGTCATCTACTGACTCCTGGCGGCCCAGCTTCCGGGAGACCGGGCGTTTCAGGCAGCCTTGCTCCACCGGGCGGGCGCGGCTGAGCGGCGGCGCATCGCACACGTTCTCGTCCAGGCTCTGCAGTGGCACCTCGCGCTGGGACTGCTCCCGCTGCACCTCCTCCTGGGTAACCTCCAGGCTGTGCTTGCGGGAGCACAGGTGCTTCTTGTCACTGCTGTAGGAGGGCGACAGCTTCTCCTCGGACTGCACACGCTTGAGCAGTGGGGACCTGGGGGGCTCTGCGCTCTTGGGTCTCACGATGTGTCTGACGATGGTGGGCGGGGAGTGCATCTTGCTGGGAAAGGCTTGGGCGATCTTGGAATTGCCCAGTGAGTGTCCCAGAAGAGGGGACGGTGACCGCTGAGGGGAGGTGGGTTGCGGGGTTGGAGAAGGCGTCCGGGCCAGTGGGGACAGCGGGATGTTGCCAGCCGACTTTCGCCTCCCAGACCGGTACCGCTGCCCGCTGAGTTTGGGTGCCAGACCGTGGAGGGTGCTAGGCCGGATATGCCCGGACCCCGCTGGGGAATTGGGGGCACTAGAACCCGGAGAGCTGCTCTGGGAGGAATTAGTACCTGTAGATGGAAAACAGAAGGCTATGAGCATCCACAGTCATTTTCCCCTTTATTTCACAGTTGTAGCCCAGACTGTATTTGGTAAGGCCAGGTAAGGTCAGCACATTGCCTCAGCATTTAACAAGTGGAATAAACACTTTTCAGATAAAACTCTCCACACCAAGGTGCAGCCCCGTACTTCTGGCCTTATTTGATTGGTTAGAATAGCCACATCTTATGACCTCTCTATAAATCTGTATTTATATTTTACACCTTCAGCCTTTCTTTCAGCTGGAACAGCTTCATGTGTTTTGGGACCTCACAAGATGACTTTACCTCCCCTCCCCTCTGCTGTCTGGACCAGGAGACTCACCAGATGGGAAGTCGGGGGTGGAGCGGTAGCTTGGCGTTGGAGACCGGGGAGACAAGCTATGAGTGGGGGAACCTGGGAGGCTCTCGCCCGACGACAGGGATCTGTTCAAACAGGAGAAACTTCGGCTGGTGTGGAGTAAAGGAGAAGGCTGCTTGGCTAGCTTTTTGAAAAGAGATCTCCTCCTAGAGCAAAAACAGGAAAACATTGTTCAGAGTCTTCTTTCAGAATGATTCCTGCCTCCCTACAGTATGCTCAGCTGAATAACTCTGCGTGAGAGACAGTGAGTGATACAACAGCAGATCCTATGAAAGAACAGCACATCACTTTCCTATTAGAAACTGTCTTATGACACATAAAGGAAGAGTGTTTGATAATAGACAGTGGAGGCTCTCTCAATTCTAAACACTTAAGAAGAGCTAGGAAAACAGGAAAAAAATAAAGTGTATTAAAAATACATTCATTTACTTGTTAGGTTTACGAGGAGGATGTTCTTGCTTGAAAGCTTCTAAGTACCTACCCCTAAACATGTGGACACAATTTAACTAAGAGATAATACAAAGTAAACCTCTGGAAGCAAAACCATTATACCAGAAATCAAATTCTTAAATGGTGATAGGCTGGGCAGAGGCCAATGAAGGGTTAATTTGCAGTGCTTATTCCATTGTGGGCTCCTGACGGTTCCTAACAACAATGCAGGCTGTACATTTACATAGAATAACTGAGAAAGGTGAAGCTGAAGCCAATGGCAGGGCAGCAGACACTAGGGCAGCAGAAGCAAATGTACAGGTGGTACTCAACGAGCACATCTTAAGGCAAAAAGTGAAGCTTCTGACAGCTTATCAGGACATCAGGCTGTACAGAGTTCTTTTACCATATAAGCCTATATATGGTAAACCTAACCCACTCCACATGAGCTTAAAACAGAAAGTTTCTGGTCGATAGCCCTTGAAACAATTTGTTCTAAATGATTTAAAGCACAATCAAAATGTAAAGCATAATAATAAAGAAGGAACCCAGAACTTGTGTATGTGTAATTTTACTCAAAGTAATAAAAAATGAACTTAGGTGAAAAAGTCAAATAGTTCTGTAAACTTACAATGAAAACCAGCAACTCCTCTACTCGAATTTTTCTCTACTCCCCAAAGAAATTGCTTTGTATTCTTTTACCTGTTTCTTCTCCCATTTGTCTACATATTGCTAAATAATGTGTGTATACTGCTATTTTTTAGCTTTTCAGTTTTAGAAATTATCTATTGATTTCATACTGTGAAATATAAGAATTAAGCTCTTATATAACCCCCTTCTACCTTGCAATCAAATATATTTCCTCTTTCCTATTCTTCCCAATATAAGGAAAGCAAAATTTTTGGTTAGAAAAATGGCTGGCGTTTTACTTTATATTATAAATATTGTTCACAGCTGGGCCGTATGAAACATAATTGCATAACTTTATTCCCTCCCCCCGCCCCGAGTTAGTATATTGTTTTTGTTGGCTTATTTTTCTACATTTCTATCATCAAAAATCCTTTTAATATGATGTGACTCATCAGGTCCAATTGGGCAAAGAAGAAAAGCTGTGGGATTGCAAAAAAGGCACACCCAGAAAGCTGCCTGGCAAGAAACAGCCCTTCCAGAAACACATACACACACCTTGCTAGTGTCTACAAACAGCACGAAAAGATACTGATTGGTGCTTTCCAGGCTGCAGAAGCGTGTAAGCTAGTTTGATTTTCAGTGAGTAAAACAAAGCCCTTTTATTTCTAGGCTCATTTGGAACCTTTAAAGATACAGTTATTTTAGAATATCTGGCATTTTAAAAATAGCAACTCTTTGATTTTTGATAATGCAAAGGATATTTTAAAAGTAGATTTAATGTTAAAAACTGCCTGAAGTTTCAGTTCCTCAATCCAACTCAACTGAAATCAAGTGAAGAGGTTTAAAAAACAGCAAAGGGCTTTTCCTGGCATTCACACATGATAAAAACCAATTGGAATCCATCTACAGTGTAAATATGTAAATCCTTTTACTACGGAAATTAATGCTATTATGAATATGGACTTCAATGTATACATATATGTGAACCATAACATAAAATTTCTCACAGAAAAATAGATCTTCATATGTAAGTATCTAATTAAGGAGTAACTTTTCTCCAACATAGTTATACACCAAACTTTTAAAAAGAATACTGATTTTACTAACCTTTCGAGACTTTCTTTCTTCTTGGATTTCTTGCTCCGCCTAACCATCCGGCTCTTATAGCTGTTTCTCCTGGCTGGTCCAGTTTTGATTGATGTGTTTTCAAATGGGGTAGTAGTGATTGACACCTTATTCCCACTCTATAGAAAAGATGAGGTGATATTAAAGGGAAATGCTGTGATGAAGCAAGATCAGAACAGAGATGAGAGATTCATAGACAAATACAAATAGAAAGGAGCATACATATAAAAGGCCTCTGTTTCTAAATAACCCTTCAATCAAAGAAGTCCTGCCAGAATACAAACTGGGTGGAAGGCAAAATATAAAGTTTCTTTAAGAGGGTGAGCTCTGGAGTCCACAGATAGGAGTTCACATCTAAGCTCTGTGCCTAGCAGGCTGCTACCCTCCCTACACATCAACTTCCTGTACCAGCTAACAATATAATCCTACCTATCTCCTGGGGCTCTCTGGAGGATCACATGAGAGCAAGTCTGGAAAGCCTTTTGCACCCAGTGCAACCCAAGGAAAGAACACTATAAATAAGATAACTACTTCCACAGGTATTAAGTATTAATGTGCCCAGTGGCTGTCTGCTCTTGGTTGATTTTTCTTTTTTCTCCTTTTTGTGTTCTTCCTTTGGCCTAAAAATTGTAGAGTAACAAAACTGAATGAGACTTTTATTTTTAATTATCTTAGAAGGCTCCTTTTCTATCATCATAAAACCTGTTAGTTTGCAAAGCTGGAATACTTATGCCAGCCAGTAGGAAAACCTCTTTTTAACCAGGTCATGCAGGGTAAGGTAATTTCTGGTGAGTTTCTGTGTCTTTTCTCTCAGTCCTAGGAAGGGGCTTGCTCGGCTGCCTCTGGGAAGGAACTGAGCATGGAGTCAGCAGCCAGGCCAAGGGCATCAATTACCCTTCCTGAATTTCACAATAACCAGGGAAGAAACCAGACCTTTCAAGGTCAGAGATGGCCCCGATTACCATGAAAGTATAAGAGGTACAAGGAAAAGGATCTTTTAAAAGACCCATGCCTGAAAGATACCTAGAGCTCAGCTCAATGTGGTACCAAGTGAAGGGAAGTTAGGTATGGTAGCAGCAGAGGACTGAAAAGACAGGTAATGACTGTCTTAAAGACAGCAACTACTTTCCCCCTTGATTTGGGAAGTAGTCCATGCCACAATAAGAAGGCAATAGGAAAGTATTTAAAAAAAATCATTGAGAAGCTTACCACCCAACCACTAGTAATACTTCCTGCTGGTCTTTTTTCAAGCATGTGCAAATATGCACATATGTACACATGCATTATAACTAATTTATATCTCATTTTATTTACAGTTCTATGTTGTTTTTTTATTTTGCACGTTATATAATTTGGAAAAATTTTCCCTTCCCTACTGCTATTGTTTTCTTTTCTTTTTTTTTGAGATGGAGTTTCACTCTTGTTCCCCAGGCTGGAGTACCATGGCACCATCTCGACTCACTGCAACCTCCACCTCCCGGGTTCAAGTGATTCTCCTGCCTCAGCTTCCTGGGTAGCTGGGATTACAGGTATATGCCATCATGCCTGGTTAATTTTGTATTTTTAGTAAAGATGGGGTTTCTCCATGTTGGTCAGGCTGGTCTCAAACTCCTGATCTAGACAATCTGCCTGCCTCAACCTCCCAAAGTGCTGGCATTACAGGTGTAAGCCACCGTGCCAGGCCCATTATTTTCTATGTTTAAATTCTTATAAGGTTGATGTTGTTCCTTATTTAGTTTGGTTGTTTTTTTAAGAAATGATTTATTCCAGTTTAATATTGGAAGGTCTGAATGTTTTCTTATTAGTTTTAGAGTTCTTTAGTTTTTTTTAATTAAAAAAAATTTTTTTTTGACATAGGGTCTTGTTCGGTTGCGCAGGCTAGAGTGCAGTGGTGTGATCACCACTCACCACAGCCTCAAACTCCTGGGCTTAAGCAATCCTCTTGCCTCAGCCTCTGAGTAGTTGGGATTACAGGAGCACACCACCAAGGCTGACTTAGAATTCTGTTCTGTTTAAGAACATATACTTTCATATCTAATGTCATATTTGCAGAAAATATTTTAGGGAAAGGGGGGGTTTAACTTCAATAAGAGAAAAAAGTTTATTTTGTTTTCTATTGTAAAATAATAAATTATACGTTCTTTATGCAAGTGCCAAAACTTTAAAAATAAACCTTTATCTGATAGCAGAGATTACATTCTATTTGTTCTTTAATGAAAAAATCACTTTATAAGTCTGTAAGGTCTACCATTGCAGGTTTTTTTGGAGTGGGGTCTTCTCTTCACAAGTTGAGGCCATGCTGAAATTTTAGTTTTTCCTATGGTGAAGGAAAGGAGCAACAAGCATGGGTGGAGTTCCTCTGTCACTGACGTTGTTTCAGTCTGCTTCCATGTGCAGAGAGTGGATGTGCAGAACTATAATGATCACTGGGCTATTCTATCACATGTGCCACTAGAGCCAGAATCCAGTTCCACTCTTTTCTAACACAATCCAGCACAGACTTCTATATCTTTATCCATAGGAGACTAACAATACTTGGCATTTTAAAAGCTTATATTTCTTTTTAAACCATTTTCATACATATTCTCTGAGCTTATTTTCACAAACAAGTCATAAGGGCTGTTTGTTTTACCCTCATGGCCTAAAAGAGCTTGTTACCCTTCCTTTACAGATGAAGAAAACGGATTCTGAGACCCTGAGGTTCCTGTTTCCCAAAGTCACTGAGAGTCCAGTGGAAGAGCCCATGCTGGTTCTCTTGCTGCTCACCTCCAATCCTCCTCCTGCCAAACTGTGCTCCCTGTGGGCAGGGAACGCCTCTCCCCCACAGTCCTCTCCACTTCTCATGAGCCTGACACAATGTGGGCAGGGAACACCCCTCTCCTCCAGTCCTCTCTACCTCTCCTGAGCCTGGCACAGTGTGGGCAGGGAACAGTCTTCTCTCCCAGTCCTCTCAATACCCCTCCCTCTCGGTCCTCTCTACCTCTCCTGAGCCTGACACAGTGTGGGCAGGGAACACCCCTCTCCTCCAGTCCTCTCCACCTCTCCTGAGCCTGGCACAGTGTGGGCAGGGAACAGTCCTCTCTCCCAGACCTCTCCACAGCCCTCCCTCTCAGTCCTCTCTACCTCTCCTGAGCCTGGCACAGTGTGGGCAGGGAACACCCCTCTCCCCCAGTCCTCTCTACCTCTCCTGAGACTGGCACAGTGCATAGCTTGCACGTAATGAGTGGTGATGAGGGAACCAGGCACATGATTGACATGTGGCATGGTCAAAGTATGACTGTGAAGATGAAATGAAGAAGCTATAAACATATAAAATTGCATAAGACACATATAAATCCTGCACATATTTATCATCAGAAAAAAGTGAAGACCAGGGCTTGCTAAGTGACAGCACATCACTAGACTACAAATGCTCCTTCCCCTATAAAGACAAAAGCCAGTTTTGTTTCTTGTCTCCATAAATGGCTATTCCAGAGGACAGTTCATTTAACTTACAGGCATATACTAAACACAATTTCTCTAAGACACAAAGGATGCAGAGTACAATAATTAGGTTGGAAGTATTAATGGTTACAAAAATGGTAAATGATTGGAAAAATGATGGGCAAGATTTGGGAAGCCTGCCACCTGGTGGATCCATCCAGCTACAGCGAGTGCTACCTGAACTGCTCAAGGTGGCTTACTAGGTCGGTTTACTCACAACTAACTTTCTCTTCATTAATGACTGACCTCCTACAGGAGAATTTCTGTGGCACTTGTTTAAAAAATAACAAAAATGTACCTGGCAGACTGTTAAATGTTCAATTAATTCACCTTAAACTACTTTCATGAGTGGTGCACAGCGTGAAGAAAATTATTTTAAGTTGCTGAATTGAATACAATAGCAGATGTCAGGCAGTCCAATTTCTTCTGGTTCTATGTTAGCTTATCAGTTTGGCCCTGGGTAACTCACTGAACAACTGCTTTTGCATTTCCTTCTCTGCAAAGTGCAGATGGGGGATGAGCCCCCCTGCATCCTCACCCTGGTTCACCCCCTTCACTACCCAATCTCAGCCATCTTGCACACTATTCTCACATTAACCCAGGCTTCAGCCTGGTTCACCTGTACATCTCGTAAACCTTGAGATCTCCTGTCCTTGTGTTTACACACCTCATCGTCTGGCCTAGACTATCCTGCACCCCTGACCATATACTGAATCGCCACCCATCTATCAAAGCCTTGCACAGATAACCCTCAATTCTTTGACGCCATTCCTGTCCACCCTGGAGAAAAGCCATCCCTCCTTCAGAACTTCTGCCGTGTTCCTTAAGTCTGTTCCTTAAGTTGAACACTTTGACTTTAGCCTGATATTGCCATTGTTTCCCCCTGTGAACACTAGACTGTAAGTTACTGGCAACTGGAGACTCTACATGCAGAGCAGTGTCAGGACTTTACATGCAGCAGCTGTGCTAGTGGGAGGTGCAGGCTCCAGAGCTACACTGCCTGGGTACAAACCATCTTCTGCTCCTTCCCAGTAGATAAGCTTAGGCTGTTTTACAACTTCTCTCTGCTTTTGTTTTTTTCATCTGTGAAATGGGAACATTTATATTTATAGCATCTACCTCAGAGAGTAACTCTGTTTGGATTACATGTGTTTATTCCTGTAAAACAACTGACAAGAGTGGCAGGCATCAAGAGCTCCTGCCCTATTAACTATCATCCTTATGTGTCATTTATTTGAGATGGAATCTCGTTCTGTCGCCAGGCTGGAGTGCAGTGGCATGATCTTGGCTCACTGTAAACCCCACCTCCTCGGTTCAAGCAACTCTCCGCCTCAGCCTCCAAGTAGCTGGGATTACAGGTGCCTGCCACCACGCCCAGCTAATTTTTGTATTTTTAGTAGAGATGGGATTTCACCATCTTGGCCAGGCTGGTCTTGAACTCCTGAGCTTGTGATCCACCTGGCCTGGCCTCCCAAAGTGCTGGGATTACAGGCATGAGCCACTGCGCCTGGACCGTATGTGTCATTTTTGTGTGGCCATTGCAGTATTTTGCACAAGGTTCTGTGCATATCAGGGGCTTGACAGATATGGGAGGGTGGTAATCAAGCTATTTGATGGTCCCTATTTGAGTACACAGAAGCTCCCCAGTGCCCATGGAAAGGAAATTTCTGAAGCAGAGGCTAGTAAAGTTTTAGGGCTTCTCCTATGCATTGGGGATGTAAACTAATGCTATACTTAAAAAGAAAGTTGGTTGAAAAGAAAGTTTCTTGGATCATAGAAGTTAAGCCTGGCTAACAGGAACAGGTAACAGGACTGGGCCAAGTATCGTCTCCAACTGTAACTCTAGTGGGTGAAGAATGACCTCAGTCTACTTACAAAGTTTTTCTCAGAAGGACTGATGCTGCCTAAAAGCTTTCCTCCTGAGAGGAAAGCTTTGAGGTGAAGCTGAAGGAAAACACTGTCAGGGATTCACATAGCCAATGGGGAGCTGAACTGGATAACCATGACATTTTATGACTGCATGGATCTAGGATGCTGAATGACTTTGGACAAGTTTGCCTGTGCATGGAAGTCAGTGCTTCCATAGCAGGTTCACTTTCAAGTTGTGAAGGTAAATGAGACCAAATGTGAATTTATGCAACATGGAAAATGCTTCCTATATTCATAACACAAAAGACAAACACTATACATGTAGTTAGGCAGTTCTAAGGATATACCTACAGCCCTCTGTCAAAACTTCTCCACCTTTTTCTAAGAGTGCCATAACATTCCATACAGTACTCTGCAAGAATAAAACACTGTGTAAACAGCATCTGAGAGTACCACAATATAGCCAACTTCCCTGCTGTTAAGCCAATGATGGCACACAGGAGCCCAGCACTGACACCAGTTACTTAATACTCTGTTTTCAAGAGTCATTGGTTAAATTTGGAAGAAAGCTGCATGATTACACAGTTCACTGGGAGGATAATTAAATCCCTTGTATCCTCTTGGTTTCATGACATTGCTTACTCCTCTCCAGTGCTTCCTTTATGACAGGCAGAATGCTCTTTGGATTCGTGACAGAGTACACCATGGCTTCAAAGGGCGCCAATGGCTCTCCACTCCACTATGTTTAAGCAATTTCAGTGACAGCACTGACTGCATCCAGGAATGAAGGCTTTGGGTTGTGCAAGGTTCTTCATAACCAGATGAGGGCAAGATAATAGAAATGGGATCATCTGAGACTGCTAAGAGACCTTGCCAGAGTCCTCTAGGAAAAATACACTTTCAGATTTCATAGAAGCAGGAAGAGAAGTTTTAAAATACAGAATCCTATTAAAATACTTCACAAAATAAATTATGAAAGTGATCAATTATGTCTCAGCAAAATAAGCAAATGTATATTTATCAATACATATTTCAATATATTTTTTCTTATTCTGATGTGAACCATAACTTTATATTCTAAAGTCAGCAAGTAGCAAATCAAATAACTGAACAGAACTATCGAAGAGGATCAGTGTGTGTCCTTTCTCTCTCTCCTGCTTCCTGTGAATTTCTTACTCCATAGTCTCTATTCAGCCAACATTTTAAATAGAAATTAATCCCTCCATTTAAACAGAAATTTGTATGGAGGAGAGAGAGGCCTAATAATTGCCAGAACCTCTTCTTTCACTACCATTTACTCTCTATAATTTATAGTACATATGTATATATTTACAATTTTGTCTTTCAAAAGAACTCTAACTCCCAGACTATACCTTCAGATCAAACCTCACAGTTTAATACAATTTTGTCTTCTACTATTACTAGAATAAAACCTGCTAGAAGTTCCTGAAAAAAGTCACCTTTAGGACAGGTGACTTCCAAATAGATGTCACTGTGTGAACTATATACACAAAGAGAATTCTTAGTACTTAACAATTTAGAATGAGAAGCAGAATTAAATTAGGGAATGAATACGCAGATAGAAGGACATTATTTCATGATATAAAACAAGAAATCATAATGTCTTTGTTGTAAGATTAAACCCGAGATGACTGAATACTTTCTCAGTACTGAGACATGGGTATGCCACAGGGAAATCAGTCTCCCGGTACTAGCCCCTTTGGGCTACCTGCCTCATCTGCATGGTCCTGACATAAAAAATACAATACCTTCAGTAGGAGCTCTATAACTTCTGTGTGGACAAGTCCATGCACCGGTTCTCCATTGATGTGTGTGATAAGATCTCCAGCCTTCAGTCCTAATTGGCATGCTGGACTTCCTTCTTCTACGTTCTAAAGTCCAAGAGGAGAGGATATTTGTAGGTAAAAAAATGACAACTCTTAACACCTACTGTGTCTTCTGGAAAAATAATGAGTTAATTAGCAAATGTCCTAAGATTCTAATAGAAAATTTAAAAGGTATGGTTACTATTCCTATTCTGTCATTATTCTAAAATAGGAAACTTTCTATGGTACTTGGAAATTTTCAGGTGATTCAGACTGAAAGTACCACAGCCACAAAGAAAAAAAAAAAATGAATGACTAAAACATTTCAGGTGATTTGAGAAGATAATTTTTAAAAAGAAGGCCGGTGGCTCACGCCTGTAATCCTGGCACTTTGGGAAGCTGAGGAGGGTGGATCATGAGGTCAGGAGTTCAAGACCAGCCTGACCAACATAGCGAAACCCCGTCTCTACTAAAAATACAAAAATTAGCAGGGTGCGGTGGCATGTGCTATAATCCCAGCTACTCAGGAGGCTGAGGCAGGAGAACTGCTTGAACCCAGGAGGCGAAGGTTGCAGTGAGTTGAGATTGCTCCCCTGCACTCCAGCCTGGGTGACAGAGTGAGACTCTTTCTCAAAAATAAAAATAAAAGAAAGCTAGGATAAAAAGAAAAAATAAAACAAGGAAGGAAACAGGATTGCCTTTGACTATTTCTATCAGTTTGGTATGTAAGAAAGAAGAATCAAATATAAAAACTGAACAGGCTTATGAGATGTTAGCTTTTGCTAAATTCAATTCCACCATATACATACAGGGATGTAAGAATATCAAACAGGTCCCAAATGCAAGCTTAAAAGTAAACACATTTGCTATTTATCAGCCAACTTATCCACTTTGCAGCTTGGCTGGAAATGAAAAATCCCAAGTGTGAGACATGCAGGTCTTACCCAAACGATATGGTGCACTGTATAGATGTCGCTGTCTCCCACATACACCCGGATGGCTCGGATGGCAAAGCCATAGTTCTTCCCTGAACTATGGATCACAATCGGCTGATGTGGACTGGAAGAAGCTGCTGAGGAATCTCGGCTTGGAGAGGAATCTCGTGAAGAAGAAGGGTCCGAGGACAGGGAATGGGGAGACATTGGACTTCCCAGAGGGGAAACAGCAAACATATCTGTAACGAAGAAGCCAGTCATCAAAGCCCACGTGGTGCACACAGGCATCCATGCAGCCAACCCTCACCACACGAGGCCTGCTGGGACTGGGAGCACAGTCACAACACAAATCCTTTTGTTTCTAATAGCAAAATAAAGATGAAATAATATAAAAATGTTTCTATCAGTAACTAGCCTGAATCGTAAAACTGTCAAACTTTAAGAGTGTTGCTATTCTAACTAGTTTTTCAGTTAATACTCTCATGTTATAATTTTTTAGTTTCAATGCTAATTAAAAGACACCACAAAGATTAGTTACTTTCTGGCTGTGACATTTTTACTTAAGGTTTTATTTTAAGAAATAAATCATAGATGCACTTATTTCAAGTATGTCTTCATATGGAGAAGACTATACAGTCTGTGGACGATTATACAGTATCTATACTATAGTAACAGATACTGAATTTCAAACTCTTCACTAAACAATTTTAAGATGGTTCTTTTCAACACACATGGCCAGGAAAGCAATTTATCATTTACCAGCTGATTTCTACAATGCTATTGAATGAATATTGATTAAAGAATTTTAATTGGCCAGGTGCAGTGGCTCACACCTGTAATCCCAGCACTTTTGAAAGGCCAAGGTGGACCTGTCTCTTGAACCCACGAGTTCAAGACCAGCCAGGTAACATGGCAAAACCCTATTTCTACAAACAATCCAAAAAAAATTAGCCAGGAATGGTGGCACATGCCTGTAGTCCCAGCTACCTGGGAGACTGAGGTGAGAGAATCACCCGAGCCTGGAAAGTTGAGGCTGCAGTAAGCTGTGATTGTACCAGGGCACTACAGCCTGGGCAACAGAGCAAGACCCTGTCTCAAAAAAAAAAAAAAAAGAAAAGAAAAGAAAGAAATTTTAATCCAGAAAACAATGAAGTGGTGACTTCTTTATAAACGAACATTACTGCGGTGACAACTGATTCTCTTTATATATTACTTGCAATTCTAATAAGGTTTCTGAGAGGATAATGCAGGTGAAGTAAAAAAAAAAAAAAAAAAACAGAAGAGGATCTCAGTGCATATTCCAAACCACCAATTCTACTGCTTTCTTTGTTTTACAAGCAAACTGCTATGCTCTGAATGTTTGTGTCCCCCTAAAATTCCTATGTAGAAATTGAACCTCCAAGGTGATGGTTTTAGGTGGGGCCTTTGGGAGGTGATTAGGTCATGAGGGCTCTGCCCTCATAAATTAATTAGTGCCCTTACAAATTCCCTTCTGCCATGTGAGGACATAGAGAAGGTGCTGTCTATGAGGAACAAGCCCTCGCCAGATGCTGAAACTGTTGGCACCTTGATCTTGGAATTCCCAGGCTCAAAACTGGGATCAACAAACTCTGTTGTTTATACCTTACTCAGACTAAAGTATTTTGTTATAGCAGCAGAAATGAACTAAGACACAAATACACTTTTATTTTTAGTTCATATCCCTGTTTCATCTATGTTAATCCAAACAGATCTTAAACGGTCCTGTAAAACTGTGTGTGCACGTGCACTTGAGAAAAGGCAGAATAATCTACAAAACATGCTGAGGTTTAAATGAGCTCAGCTGGAGCCAGGCTACAAGGTTCCCAGTGCTACCGAAGGCTCATTAGGGTGTGGTTGAGTTCCACTGTGGCTACCGCAAGCTAGAAGTATCCATACTACCCACTATTTCAATTCTTATGCTTGTTCAGAGAGCAAAGCCAACTGTTATCACTACCCATGCTCCTTCCTTCTCTGACTTCATGTAGCATCTTGGTTCTCTTCTGCTGGCTCCCTCCTGACTTTCAAAGGACATGTGAAGAGATGCATGCTGGCAGGCAGGGAACTTCAAGACATGCAGGCAGGCGGGAGGAGGACATGTGGACACACACAGATCCAAACTGCTGAAAGGCCAGGCGTCCCATTCTTTACCTTCTGATGGTCTCCCTCATTTCCCCAAATTGAATACTTTCTTTATTCTGTCAAAGTATGGGCTTTCTCACAAGCTTTCAAAACTACACTGGAAAATATCCAACTTACCTTCCCAACTGTGCAGCTGCACTGGGACCATCATCAGTTTATAAAGAGTCACACATACTAGGGTTACAGGTGTTTGTTTTATGGTGTTAAATGACACACCTCCCAGAAACTGAATCTGCTAGAGTGAGCACTACTCCCAAATGACGATTTGTTTATGTCAAATTTTTTTCTAGACAAATATGAAATTTTAAAAACATAAACAATCCCTTTTATACATGGTCTGTATTCTTCCGAAAACAAGCCATCTGCAATATAATTGGAGTCCCATTCTACTCTCTTCTTGTCATTTGAGTGATATCACAACCATCAGGGTGGTATATTTCATTTCTGCCAGTGGGATACTACAGACTTAGTGATCAATAGAGGCAAAACCAGTTTGTGGGGGAAAATACTACAATTCAACAAAACCTTAATTAAGCCCAGTTTTCCAAAACAGGGCAGAAGATGGTTTGCTACCAGTAGGAGGAAGCATAGCTCAACAGACAGGGTTGGGAAAACCTAGAATTTCAATACTGTCTGTGACTCTATCTCCAGAAATGAAAAGCTTAGGTTCTGTATCTATTTTCCTCATTAATTAGATGAGAAAAAGTATACACTTAGTTTTCTAAAACAAATGTTGTAAACAGCTCTATAAAGTGCCTAAAAATTATGTGTAGTCTAGAGAAAAAAAAATATTCAAGGAAGGAAAATTTATCACTTAACTTGGAGGAAGAAAAGAAAAGGAAAGGAAACAAAACAGAAACAAGCCTTTATGGAAAGGAAGCCTCTCTTGTACCCCTGATGCAGAAAGTAAGATGAAACAGGCCAAAATGCTCCTTTGGGGCCCTACCAATCCTGCAGGGAGAATTAAGGGTCTGCAGGCAGAAGCTCTCAAGAGCTGTCCTAGGGCATGACCCGTTATTACTTCAAGCAATCTTGTATCTCATTCAGCATTCCAAATTGGGAGAGGAGGGATGGGACCACATGCACAAATCACACAATTTCATGCAAGTAGTATCTCTCTACCTCCTGGGATCATGAGGGATAGAGCACTGGCAGAGAGGGACTTTGTGACTTTCCCCGAGATTTTCTTTTTTTCTGTGCTTTCTAATCGCTGCCGAGCCATGTGAGAAGTGGGTTCACTGGATGGCTTTGAAGAATTATCTGTACTGTCCACACACTCGCTTCGTCCATTTATCTGATCCAAGTGCTCTGAAAAACTGCCAACTGTACAAAGAAGAAGGGATAAACACGTTCAGGAAACTCTAGCATAGGAGAGGCGGGAAGAGGGGAAGACAGAAAGAACCGGAAGAGTAAATGCTGGAAAACATACTCCTATGTGGCCAGTAGAAAGTCCATACAGTGTCAGGTGAACACTAACAACATGTGATTGGTTTGACAAAGGTGATGGGGAGGAGGAAGAGATGGAAGAGGCGACTATTCAGGCTTCATTCTACCTGTATACCAGTCTGCTAATTCTCAATCCATGACTCCATTTAACCAGAGGAATTAATTTCTTTCAATAATCCATATTTTTGAAAGCGTGCAGAGATAATTCTGGTGCTTCTACCCCTGATACCATGAAAGGCTGGGCTATGAATCTAACATTACCTCCCAAACACCATGGTCATCCACTTCATACTGTGATTACCCTATGATACTGATGATTATCATTATCAATGCTGTTAATCCTAATTTTGACACATGGACCTTTTCATCACTCCCTGTAGACTTATGTGCACTCCTTGTCTGTGCTCTTAGAACACACCTCATACTAGGCTCAGGTATGTAACTGATAGAAAAGTGCCTAAAGTGTCTCTTCTCACCTCTCAGCCCGTATACCTCCTTTCATTCTAAGCTTCTTGTACATTTGAAAGGACAAGCAAGACAAAGAATATTACTCCCTCCATTACTCAAGCTCACTTCATCCTCCTGGCTTTTAATCCAGTGTATCATATGCTGCTCCATCCTCATGTTATTTCCTCATCCTTCTAAACTTCATCTTCTTTACTTTTAATTTTGTTAATCTTTAATATAAACTGGAGTTATTTTTAACTTAAAAAAATTGGGACTTCCCTCAACAACGCAGCATAAGAGAGGATTAACATGGAGGTGTTTGGGGAACTGGAACATCACTGGTGCTGAGCCGGTGAATGCAGAAGCCAAGAGTAAAGAAAGCTCTGCAGCAGGGTGACATGTTGAGTCCCCCAGAGAGAAGCTGAGCAGCTATTCCTTTCAATTTGTCCTACTCTTCCTTTCCCAGGTTATGGGTTTTCTATCCTCTTTTTCTTTAAAAACATCATTGATAGCACATTTTTGTCCATCCAGGAGAGACAATGCTCATCTCATTTTTACTTCTAAATGCTACATTATAAGCCCCCTGTGCTTAAAAGTCATCAACTCTCTCATCACTTTTATAGATACAATCCATGCAGAGTATTTCACATTGCAATAAATGATCCTTTGAAAGACCAGCCAGCACATTTTGAAGTGCTGCCCAAGTGATACTCTGCATAGGAAAGAGTTAGACTTAGACAACTAGCGTTTCTCATGCACTACTATTTGGACACAGCTCAGCTATAAAGTTGTAGTTTGGCCCAAGCTCATGAACAAAGTACAGACCTTACATCTGTGGTCTAGGCTAAGGGAAGCTGGGGACTTGGGACAGTGGCTTTAGGCATGGCACACTTTGTGGTCATCTACTATGTGTATGTACAGGAAGAGACTCGTGGACTTCCACATAATACCTGACTGACCAACACAGGAAGATAATCTTAAGGCAAATGTTAATCTTTTTACTCCTATATGCTAGGCAAATATCAATCTTTTTACTTTTATATTCTTATTTAACAGTATATTCCATTCTCTTACAAAAATCAACTATGGAAGGACTTGATAAAAACTTCTGCTTCCCCTTGAGTAAGGTGCACACTTCCTTGCTTGTAATTTGGTTTGGATGGGATCACTGACAAGCATAAAATGAAACTCTGAATCTCTTCACAATGAGGAATTACTGGATACCTTCGAGCCTGACACCTAGGACTTCAAGACTTTTATTTTTCATGGCTTCAAATACAATGTAGTCATGAAAAAAGAGAAAGAAGTATAAAGTTGGACTTCCCGAAATGCCAGAGTGTGGATACCCAACCTTGTGTCACCTCTCCCTCTTGCCTCTGCCATCTTATTTTGCAACACTGCATATAAGCATGTGCTTCTTTTCTGCCAATGATAGATAATGTCACCTTAATGTTCTCTAAATGTCAAGGGTTCTTTCTTTTTGGTGGTGGAGCAATATAAAAATCAACAAATTTAATTTTACTACAGTCACGGTTTTCAGACTGCCTAATTACCCTTGGCTATAAGCAAATCAGCTCATCTCTCTATTCTGCACAGCCCCCAAGGCCTTTGATTATTTTTAGTGTGTATATGGGGGAGAGAGAGAGAGAGAGAGAAAGATGGTTTGAATCTATTAATCAAAATGCATGGCAGGACCTAGGTGGATTTTTTTTAATTATGAGAGTAATCAATCAAATGCTTAGACACAATTCTCCTCCCTTCCCCTCCTACCTTTCTGGTAGTGAGTAGGCTGAGATGACTAGGAGATAGTAAATAGTTCACTGTATCAAGAATACATTTTAAATGAAGGTGAATATACTCTATTCAGAGTAAAGTAACTAAGAACCAGATAAAGGCCTTTGTAACCAATAATGGAAAATGCCAAGGTATCTACATGTGATCTGAGCATCAACATGAGCTAGAGATGGTCAGAAATCTTAGTCTAATAAGTTGCCTTTACACTACTTCCTCGTTGCTGTTCTCCTAGCTTTATGGTTAGGATAAGTAGAATTATGGAACAGGAAAACAAAACTGAGGTGAAGAGAAAGAAGAAAATCCAACATTATTTTTCCCCACAATAAACTGTAAGGACATGTGAAGCTTCACAGATCCAGACTTATTTCACAGAGGTTGAAATAAATCCAGCCCATAAAATTTGTTTTTCTTGAAATGATTAAAAAAAAGCTTACACTATGAATATTTAGTTAGTTCAAAAAAATGTTGATGAAAAATCTTGGAATCATTCATGGTTATCAATACAGCATATTTAATGTAGCTTAATGGAAACATTTATTACAGCAATCCTAGGCCATATCCATCTTTAAGTTTTTGAAAAAGCAAAAATACACATCACTCTATGGAAGAATATGCTGCACATAAAATTCTTATAAACCAAATGATATTTTAAAATAACTTAAACGGCTTGTTGGTGAATTAATTGCAAGTTTGATTATCTAGTGAGGATACCACCATTACTAAGGACCAGCACGTATCCATGATATATTAAGCTTCTTAAAAATCTGTGAAGACACTGTTCCTCTTGTTAGGAAGGTTACATCACACAAAGGTAACATCAAAAAAGTACTTTCAAAGCCCCAAGCCACCATGACTGCCTCCCATACATGCAAATATATCTCAGGAGTTTCTTATTCCAATTATCCAGAGATGGGGAAGGTAATTTTTTTCTGCAGTGGAGTTATTTCATACGCATGTAAAATACCAATTTAAATCTCAGTATTTCTGACCCCCATTTCTCCTCCTCAGTCCTAGATGTACCAGGACAGCATTAAGTGTCTTACTGCACTCAGCTTAAGTCTAGTGTGGAGAAAGAAATTATTTGGTACAACATAACCCCTTAACAAAAGCCAACTCCATCAAATAAACAACCATCAATTTCAATGCTAGAGAGAAATGTGGCTTTATACTGTGTCTTATGGGTGATTAAAGACATCTTCAAGTGTAATTCTGACAAGTTGACTACTGATACTGGCTCTTACACTGAATTTCAGTTAGATACAACTACACAAGACATACCTTTGAATCAACAGCTGAGAACATGCTCCCTTAGCACGTTCTAACTTCCCTCAAAAGATCCCCTGCCACCTGGCTGAGAGAGCGAAGTTTGGCCCCAAGGTTAAACTGAAGCAAGAACAGTTTGCTACCTGGCTGTGCACTGAGGAGGGGTCTGAGACATCTGATGTTAGCTCTCAGGAGATTGTGTCCCAAGCCTAAGGACTGAGACCATGGAGAAAGTCTAGCAGCATAAAGCAGCCATCCTTACTGCCTGGCGAGGCCAGCCCTAGGAGACACCTAGCGTGCTGAGGAGGATGTCAGGTACCACAGCCCAGGGCTTACCTGACAGGGTGGAGCTGCTGATGGTGCTGGCTGGGGTGGTGACCTCAGGCTCCTCCTGGGCACACTCTTCAGGAGGAAGGGCTGGCTTTCCTGGCTCCTCATGGGGGTCTCCAGGGCAGGAGGCAGCTTCATCTTGTTCTCCCTCTGTTGAAATAGCCAGTTTGGGAAGTAGGCCAGAACTGAGTTTATGTCTGTTGCTTTCAGTATCCGAAGAGTTGGATGTTGATAGCTGTTGCCTTAAAAACAAAACCAAAGTCATACATACATACTAGAAAACTGTGTTCAAGGTGAGTTGTGGAAGAAATCAGGTGAAAATGGGACTTGGGTCAGCCTAACCAGGACATGTCTAGTGCAATGGTTCTTAATGTGTGGTGCCCAGAGCAACAACATCTGCATAATCGGGGTACTTGTTAGAAATGCACATTTTCAGGCCCCACCCTAGATCTATTGGATCAGAAACTCTGAAGGTGGGCCAGAGATCTGTGTTTCAACAAGCCTCCCACGTATTCTGAAGCTCACTGAAGTTTAAGAAACGCTGCTCTAGTAGCTATTGCTTATATTATTTAAGAGGCATTTCACATACATTTCAGAATATTCTGAACTCCAGCTCAGTGTTTCTGTGGATGGCAGGGTTGTGCTTTTGGTTTTGTCCCCAGAGTCTTCCTTCTCTTCTGCTGAATTCTGAGTGATTCGATCTATACTGCTGAAAACCTGGAAGGCAAATAATCGGTGCTTATTATTATCTCTAGAAAGAGTTTGTCAGAAAAACACTCCAAGTCTTGGGAGAAAAACCTGAGAGGATAACTACATTCTGAATGGAAATTGTGAATTGTGTATTCGGAAAGTACTTTCTAGTATTGTTGACCAGAATCCTGAGAGGAAGGGTCAGAAAGAAAGAGTGAGAGAGAGAGAGAGAGAGAGCGTGAGTGAGTGTGTATGTGTGTGTTTGTGTGTGTGTACACATATATGAATAGGGAGCTATGAGTTCATCACCCTCTCTCATCATATCTTGTTGCGGACTTTGTATCTGCAAACACAATCTACAGATGCACTGGAGTTTCTAGGCCTCAGGATCAATACATGTCTTGATTACTTTTTAACCATGAAGTCAATTGGAAAAAGAAAATAACAGAGAAAAAGATTTAATGGCCACCAGTCAGGGGTAGGAAGAAGAAAAATGAATTGGAATTGAGTGCAAACAGAATAATAAATTATCTGTTTCAAGACTGGGTGGTGGTGTGGCAGGGATGCAGTGCACATTTGCTTTTAAAACCCAGAGGTATTTGCTTGGCTTACAAATCACATACATAGACAGGCAGCTTCCTATGTGGTACTGGGATTCCTGAAGGGGATCAGAGCTCAGGCAAGCCCAAGGTCTCAGCTACCTCTGAATCTCTTGTTGTCTCATAGGGAAGGAGAGAAGGTATCAAGGGGATCTAAGAGCCTAGGGCAGGAAGCACTCCCTACTGCCCTGCTCAGACACTTGCTGTTCTGATGGGAATGGTTATCAGGCCTCCTATAATCTACTAGGAAAAGAAGGAAAGTGGCTAAAGAACAGCAAACAGTGGGAAAATGAAACACCCACTAAGGCAAAGACGAAACGGTGTTTAGGGGTTGGCTTTTACAGGTCAGAGAACAGTCCTAGTCTTAGCCCACACTTAGCAAAGCTTCTGCCCTGGGTCTAGGACAAACTGGCTATCACCTTCTCCCGGGAAATCTTTACCTCTATGCCATTCCCACAAACAGGGAGGGTAGTGCTGGCCAATTTGCAGGTACATGTAGGTAATCATTTCGAAAAAACTACAGAGCACTTTAAAGTCACTAAATGTTATAGAAAAGCTAAACAATAATCATGCAAAATGTCATGGTAACAGAAAATACATAGCTATGAAAACAGCAAAAGGGGCCAGGCACAGTGGCTCACGCCTGTAATCCCAGCACTTTGGGAGGCCGAGGTGGGTGGATCACGAGGTCAAGAGATAGAGACCATCCTGGTCAACATGGTGAAACCCCATCTCTACTAAAGATACAAAAAATTAGTTGGGCATGGTGGCGCATGCCTGTAATCCCAGCTACTCGGGAGGCTGAGGCAGGAGAATTGCCTGAACCCAGGAGGCAGAGGTTGCGGTGAGCTGAGATCGTGCCATTGCACTCCAGCCTGTGTAACAAGAGGGAAACTCCGTCTCAAAAAAAAAGAAAATAGCAAAAGGGAGGTAGAGTGCCCTCAGGTTGATTTCCATTTTTCCTAGGGCACTGTACTGCCTCAGAATTATCAGTTTTCTTTGTTTTGACTGTTTTCTAAATCTTACCTCTACTGGCAAAAAGCCATCTTTCTCAAGCACCAGTTTCATTATCTTCTATCATTTTCATGATTCTAGCTTGGCTTCCTACTGCCTTTTCAATACGGCTTACAATTTCTATTTATTAGTTATGAGACTTTCTCTTTTTCTTGTCTTTTTTTTTTCCTTCTTATGGAGAACGGGGTCTTGCCATACTGCCCTGGCAGGCCTCAAACTCCTGGGCTCAAGCTATCTTCTTGCTTCTGCCTCTCCAAGTGTTGGGATTACAGGCATGAGCCAGCACACCTGGCAGTTACGATACTTTACAATCCTATAGTCAACTCCCAGCTATCTTTGCTTATGTCAAGGACTGAGCCTTCTCCTTGTGTCATACTCTGTGTAATCCCTAGGAGAAGACTGCACACAGGGAAGCTCATGCTCTTCACCCTAAGTTGAAAGCAATGAGTGATGCCTCTGCAGCCTGGCACTGAGCCAGGTGAGAGATGTTCAAGGCAAGGTCATCATATAAGCAGCAGTTACACAGTCCAAAAATAAGACTGTGAGTGCAAGGCTGTGTCTCTAAGAAAACCAGATCTTAATTTGTGGAGAGAGAAATATATTATCACAATAGGATAGAGACAGACTATAAGTTGATGGGGTCACTTTTCTTCAACAAAAAGGAAGTTTAAGCATAGGAGACCTCAAACCCCGGAAAGGGTAAGTGTCCAAGCTGTTCAGGGATAAGAACTGGCCAGCGGAAGATTCTCCCAGAGGGACTCTGTATGTTTTTGCCACATTTCACTTACTTTTGAAAACCTATGTGAACATGAAGAGAACTGCCTTATTTCCACATTAAAGTCTTCATCGTTTGTGTCATCTTCTTCTTCCGTTTCCATATGATGATACTTCTCAGACCGAGCTGCAGTGAAATGTTTGGGAACAGGTCCAATTAGTCAGATTTTCAGCTTTTAGATATTTTAATTATGAATTTCTGTATCAAATCAACATTATGTTTAAGAACTCAGAGATATGAAAAGGTTCAAAAGCAAAGATAATTATTTAACGGGTAAAGGCCAAACAATGTTTTATCTCAGATAAAGCACATACTATCAAAATAACTTGTGTCATCCTCAGATTCCAGTTGGGGAATAAATTCTGCCTTCTGTCTCAGCAAACTGTTCCAGTCTAAAGAACGGAAGAACCGATGCTGTTTGACCTCATATGCACCACCTGGAAGGGGACAGGTAGAGACAGAGAAGAAAGTGTTAAACTATCCCCACTAAGCAAAGGCAAAGATCAGTTTTTAACAATTTTGAAAATGTATCAGCAGAGAAATACATACATGAAAATCATACTTTTTCTTTCTACAACCAAAGCCCCACACATTTTTCTGTTAAATTATCAGGAGGAGATTTGATGTTGCTAACAGCATTTGCTACGGCACTGTTTTTTTCTTTGTTAGTTTTTTTCCATGACTTCCTCCATTTTTCAAAGGTTAATGATGTGGCCACTTACAATCACATTATGCTGAACCTGGAGAGGCAGATAAATATTGGCCCACAGCAGACTTTCTCATTAAAAACCCAAAGAAATTCTAACAAGGTACAACATGTGTTCACAGCAACATTTCCTCTGGAGGTAAAGTTCATATTGATATTTTTTTCCTAAATATTATTTATAGAGATTACCATTCAATTTTATTAGATTGCTCATTAACATAGATAAGAATTAGATTCTGTGGATTGCAGATTCTTAGATAGGAAACTGACAAACCAGTTTTTTATAGACTTATAATGCCCCCAAAATATCAATCACCATTTCCAAGTTTTAGGCTTCTTTTTGCCAAGTCAGCATGATAGTAAAATGTTTTCAATTCAGTTCATAATTTTAAAGAGTAATTTTAAAGGACAGGCCAATCAAAAATATTAACACTATACCCCATACAAAAAGAAAAAGGTACATGTTATAATATCATAGCAGAAAAATCAGACCCCCACCCTGCTACCAGCACATATATGGGAGAGGGAAATAACACATCAATCCTGAAAAAACTCTAGGAAGAGAGATTTCTGAGAGGCTGATACAGAGTCTAATCAGCCTCCCTGCCAAGGGATCTCTGCTAGGTGCAAGTAAATGCCTCTTTCCTGTAGTTGTCAACCAGGCCTCTCATCCTGTCCTCTGTGGGGTACAAAAAGAACAGGATGAGAAATGCCAAGTTGAATGCAAAATGGGCTGTGAATCTTGGTTGGGGGTTGCTGTCTGTGGATCAAAGACTGGATTCTGTCCTCACTGGACCACTCTAGCACAAGGCATAGTGTCAGCTCTAACTCTAAACCCAGCCAGGGCAAATTGGTGTTCTGAAAACGATGGAATGGAGTGAAAACAGCAAAGCGAGGAAATTACTCAAAAAAGGGGGAAATGCATTCTTCTTTACAAAACATTTAATTGTAATATTTACCCGATTCTATGCAGGTGGTTTCCACATTTCCAGCAAAATCCTGAAGTCTGACAGTAAGCATGAGCAGCTATGACTGAGGGCCAACTTGTGACATGTATTGTATTAGACATGTCACTACAGGACAGGTGTCTTATTTCCTTTAATTATATCATCAAATATAACCATACCAAGTGGGCATTAACAACACCTTCTGTGGATGTGGAAATGAAGCATAAGCAATAAAGCACCATGAACCACGATCCCCTAGAGGGTAAAGATTCAAAGCTGAACCTAGGCCTGCCTAAAAATACCCAGGCCCAACCTCAGTACCACATATAAGGTGGAGGCATGCTTTAGTGGCACTAAACGACTCCACCATCTCTCTTGCATTGATTTGCAAACAGATGCAGAACTGCCAATACTGGGAAACTGAGCCTGACAGCCACCTCATGTGGCTGTTCTGCAGCATCTCTGCAGAGTCTCATTCCAGCCCACCATGCATCCTAATCTCACCTATTCCCAATCAATGTCCCTATACACAGTTGCCCATCTCATTTTCTTCTAGTGCTTTTTTTTTTTTTGAGATGGAATTTCACTCTTGTTGATCCCAGGTTGGAGTGCAACAGTGAGATCTTGGCTCACTGCAACCTCTGCCTCCAGGGTTCATGTGATTCTCCCGTCTCAGCTTCTTGAGTAGCTGGGATTACAGGCATGCACCACCACACCTGGCTAATTTTGTATTTTTAGTAGAGATGGGGTTTCTCCATGTTGGCCAGGCTGGTCTCAAACTCCGGACCTCAAGTGAACTGCCTGCCTCGGCTTCCCAAAGTGCTGGAATTACAGGCATGAGCCACTGCACCTGGCCCTCTAGTGCTCTTTTACTTGGAGAAACAGAATATAAAAGCTAAGAGGGCTTAACTGTTTCCCTATCCAACACAGAGGTCGTCAGCATGGGGTAGGTGTTGGATAGGGAAAGCCCTAGTTAGTGGCCCACAACACACCTCTGGACTCCTAGTGCAGTGATGGTTCCACTATACCACAATGACTATCACTTTAGCTGCTGCTCATGGGGCCACATCAATGGCCCAGCCCTGATATTTTGGGTTGCTCAATTTTACCAGAAAAGCAGTTTCCCTACAGCCAAGAGCTCAACCAGACTATAGCCGGAGTGTTAAGGGTTTTACCCCTTCCCGCCTACTACTCTCTGGGACCCAAGCTGGTGAGAGCCTTCGTTTCATCTGTGTAGACAAGGACAAATGGGTCCTCCTGAAGGACTCACAGCCCATGGTTGATCTAGTTCACATTTCTCACCCTTTGGCCTTTGTGCCTCACTTATGAAAAGCTGGTATCAGTGGGTCCAGTTTCTTATGCACTTAGGGAGATAAAAGGAAGAAAAGAAAGGAACAAATTGGAAATGACCTCTGGGCTAAGCTTTTGGTAAAATATGGGTGATAGCATCATGAGCTAAAAACAAATCACTCATGCAAATAATAGTTCTCATTGTAAGAATTCATCATGAAGGGAAGGGAAACATTATTCCTTGAGCTCCTGTTCAGTACGTAGTAAATGAACTATATACCTTCACGAACATTTTTGCATTTATGCCTCACAATAATCCTGTGAAATATATAAAATGCCCATTTCCATAGACTAGGAAACTGAGACTCAGAGCAATGAAGAAACTATTCAAGACATGGGTAGCAGTGATGTCTCAGCAGCTCTGAAGTCCAATGAGTCAGGCTGTCACTCAATACTTGACAAGTTCAAAAGTATAGTTCCAGTAGGACAAGCTCCCAAATTGCAATTTATGCTTTGACACTAACACTTTCCCTTTTCTCTCCTTTCATGGAAGTTTCTTAAACATCCATTATGTTCTTCACACCCTTTTTCTCAGCCTCTCTAATCTCTTGGGCAAATGTGCATTCGCACATTTTCACGGTGCATTATTTTGCCCACTAAATATGCATAAATACAAAACGCTGTCATTGGAAGCAGCAAGGCAGGCCTGTGGGATTCTTAGCCTCAGTCTCCAGGCCCTACTGGGACCTGTCATGTTGGACTGGCCTGTTTGGCAAGTACTTGACAATTCTAAGAGCTTGAGTAGGGTCTTTTAAATGTCTCTTCTGTGTTTCTGTTAGGGGATTTTTTCTTCAAACTGTCAAACCCTAAAAAGACTGAAAGTAGCAGTCAAAAAGAAAATGTGCAGAGAAGTAACTTGCAGCATGTGATTTATAAACACAGATATGCTGAACATTATCACATCCTTGTCTAGTTAAATCAAGCACAACCAAGAATCCAAGTTTTCTTGGAGGAGTAAATACAGGGTAGAATACAGGTTGAACATCCTTAGTCTGAAAATTTAAAATCTGAAATGCTCCAAAATCTTAAACTTTTTGAGCACCGATATGACACCACAAGTGGAAAATTCCACACCTAACTTCAGGTAACAGGGGTTGAAACATATATGATGAGGTCAGGCATGATGGCTCACACCTGTAACCTCAGCACTTTGGGAGGCCAAGATGGGTGGATCACTTGAGGCCAGGAGTTCAAGACCAACCTGGCCAACATGGCAAACTCCCCTCTACTAAAAATACAAAAATTAGCCAGGCATGGTAATATGCGCCTATGGTCCCAGCTACTTGGGAGGCTTAGGCATGAGAAAACCCAGGAGGCAGAGGTTGTAGTGGGCCAAGATCATACCATCGCACTCCAGCCTGGGTGACAGAGCAAGACCCCATCTCAAAACAAACAAACAAAACAAACAAACAAACAAAAACCCAACAAAAACCAACCAAACAATAAACACACATTATGGGCTTACTGAAGGACTAGAGCAGTGTGCATTCGTAACAGAATAAGAAATCATGTCAGTTTATGAACCTACAAAAGAATTCTAAGATAAAACTGTTGTTAATGAGGCAGATGACTCTGGAGGAATTGTTTTAAAAAGCCATCCAGCAGAATGCCTCTTCTTCCCTAGAATAATTTCTTTTTATCCTTATAATAATCCTATGAAACAGCACTTCTAAAAGCTACTTTTCACAAATGCGGAGATGAGCAATGGAAAAAGAAGTAATCTTTTTCGAGATTTAAACTCAGGCTATTTGACTGCGGAGTTTATGGCCTTAAGCTCAATTTACATTGGCTTTTCAGGTTAAAAGTCCACTCATGCACTGAAAAAGGTAAAAAGGCACAAGGTGCTCTAGTGAGAGGCTCAACTAAAACAAGTTTTCTAGTCAAGTTCTAATTTTAAGCCTTCTTGGATTCTCTAATGCAGGGTCTACAAAGCATTTGTGTAAAGGGCAAAACAGTAAACATTTTAGTCTTTGCAGGCCATATGTTCTGTCACGACTACCTAACTCTGCCCTTGTAGCATGAAAGCAGCCATACAATACCTAAATGAGTGGACATGGAGATGTTTCAGTGAAACTTTATTTACAATACCAGGCTGTGGGACAAATCTGGCCGTAGCTTGCCGACCCTTGCTGTAATGCATTATCAAACTCTAGTAGCACAGCATTCTATACTTAGGTAAGAACAGAGCCCTCCAACAGGAGAATCGGTGGGTGAATGTGGAGAATACTACACAATAAATATTTGGAGCTGTTTCAAATTTTTGTCTTGGAACAAATGGGGGAGAAAATGATTTCTTCAGTATTTTCTGGTATTTGTATTAAAATGGGGGTAGAATGAAACATCCCAGAGTAAACAACCCATCAAGCCAACACTTTTCACTGATGAAAATTACGGATGCTGGCTAGACTATGTGCATTTATATTTAATATTTAGTCTCATCTACATAAATTCACATACTTGGGCAGACTGGGAGTCTATACTGGGATCGCTAAGTCTGTCTATTCAGAATACAGCGAAGAAAAGGGAATAACATGCTGGCAGAACTGCCAGAAAAAATAATCAGTAAGAAAGAAATCTATCTCATTAATCCTGAAAGGCAGTGGTTTTTAATTCTCTTTCTCGGGTCATGGTGCTGATCACTCTGATAGGACAGCAAGGTTCAACCCCAGGCACTCATTTCTAGTAATTAGTTCAAGCACTGATAACGGATTTCAAAGCTTGTGGATAGCAATGTGCTGGGTCAAATCCGTATGGGGATGTGTATTTAAAGACAGAAACAAAAAGAGCTCCACATATCAAATCCTCTGTTTCAAGTCATTTAAGATGCATGCTTTTCAGAACAGAAGAGTTACATGTGCCTTTGAGGTTTTCCTCCAGAGAAGTTTTATTTATTGAAACAAATTAAGTCTAATTTCTGCTTTGCCAAACACAAAAACAACAACAAAAAACAAAGACGACCAACTTTCTCAGTGTACACACTGTTTTGAATCAGAAAACAAATTTCAAAATATTATTGCTATAATGTGTTGCAGTCATGTTCTACATCAACTAACAGATGTTGCCTATCCAAAAGCAAAACAACAACAAAAACTTTGGAGCGCTCCATGTAGATATTAGATCTTGCATATTAGCAAAATTAAAACACATGGACTCTAACCTGTTCCCAGCCTCTCCAGGGGATTCTGCCTGAGGAGTAAGGTGATCAGATCCTGGGCATCAGGTGGGGGTGCCTCATCCTTCTCAGGCCAGTTGATCTCATCTAGAAGGAAGAAAAGTTGTTTATAAGCATATTGTTTACAAGCTACTCCAGGTCCCAGCAGCATGGATATCACCTGGGAATTTGTCAGAAAGGCAGAGTTTCAGGCCCACTAACTCAGAGTCTGCATTTCAACAAGATCTTCAGTTGATTCCTAAACACAGTCATGTTTGAGAAGCATTGTTTCTTAAGACATAAGTAGCACAGACTTCTTACAAGGTAGGAAGAGAATATTTCAATAAGCCAATCTTTCATTTGCTTTTTAAATTCATTTTTCTTTCCAAGCATTGGCTTCCAAAAGTGCCTCCCTAGTTATTAAAAGAATTAAAATAACAGAAACTCTAAACACCTGCATTTCAGGTGGCTACCAATCTAGGGATTATCTCAGGGTAAGATTTTTCACTTTTAATTTCCACAGCTGAGAATTTAGCCACAGCTATAGAATTCTTCAGCTCTAGGAAGCAAAAAGTGATTTTGTAAAAATAACTATTTCCAGCGGAGAAAAAAAGAGGTGAAAATGCTAAGAAAGAAGAAGAAGAGGAAGAAAAAGAAGAAGAAGAAATAACAAAGAAATCATAGTAATGGAAGTACTTAAAATCTGTCATAAATATTAAGAATACATTCTCATTCTGAAGGAGTTTGCCTGAAGATAGGTGTGCATGCTTGTGTGTACGGAAATGCAATAAAAACATGAGTTATTTCTGTGTGTGCCTGCCTCTAGCTTCCTCTGCTGCAGTTTAAATCTGATTTGGAAAATAAAACATGAATATGCATCTGAGCCGTAAGGCATCAAGAACAAAGCCAGCATTTGCTGCTTGTGTTAATTAAACAGTTGATTCCCTTTGCCATTCAGGCCTTCGTATATCAGAAAACAGCCTAGTTATAAATCCATAAACAGCTCAGATATTGTATAAAGGGGTCATACACTGCAGGCAACTCACAAATCTGCTTTGTTAAAGTTTACAAATATGCCAGACTTGCAAAGTCAATGATAGGAAAGAATGCTGTGATAAAGGGGCTCCTCATATGCAAAATGAATTTTTCCCCTACTTCCACTGCTGGACCCTGTAAACACAGTCCAAATAGACTGTAGGTAGCTGATAAAGATGTCAGGGATGCCTGACAAACTTTCAGGAAGAGAGGCCTTTTTGATCTATGTTCCAGGGAAATTTATAAAATCAGCAGGTAGAGTAGTGATAGACCCTATTTAATTATCATTTAGTTTTGCCACAAGCCATATAACAATAGTTAGGGTCAGCTTGCAGGTTAAGATCTAAAAATTATTGAATTTTAAATGAAAGATGAACAGCTGTTATAGAAATAACATTACGCCATAACAACTACCAATGAAATCATTAACAATCTGTGGGTTCAAATTGCTTCTTTCCCATTCTCATTATTTATTATTTGGTAGACATTTGTTTTAGGGTTTATTACATTTTTGTTAATTTCTTCATTATGCCATTAGCCATTTTCCCCATTTATGTAAATGTTACCCACATTAACCTTTTCTTCCCTGGCACAACTTTCTTATCATGGAAAGGAAGACCAAATGGCAATTAAATTGCCTATAAACCCCACACCAATTTCCTTTGCAGAAAAAGCACATTATAAAAAATGATTTTGTTGCCAGTACATTTCCAAATTCTATGTTAACAGAATTTCTTCAGATCAATTCTCAACAAAAATTGCTCTCTTGAGATGAAGAATGTTAGTTATATGCTTCGATGAATGAATTCTTTTAATTTGTTGGCTCAACTGTTTGATAAAGGTTAGCATTTTAGTAGTAAAAACTGTGACACTCAACAGATTTACATTAAATAGCTGCTTCCCAACAGTGACTTAAAGATAACTCCGGATGATATTTACCACTGATGACTTGTCCAAATAGCTCTTCTGGAGTATCCCCAAAGAATGGCACGCATCCAACCAGAAATTCATAGAGGATAATCCCCATGGCCCACCAGTCCACCGGCTTTCCATAACCCTGCCTCAGAATCACTTCTGGTGCAATGTATTCAGGTGTGCCACAGACCTAAAAGATAATTGCAATATTAGAATAATTAGAATATTAGACATGAATTAAAATGAGCAAGATGGCTAGTCACCAATTATTTTGCCCAGAACGCACCTGCTCAACCACATGGAACCACATGGACAAAGAACTTAAGAGCAAACAGCCTAGTTATAAATCCATAAACAACTCAGATATTGTATACTCTGCAGACAACTCACAAATCTGTTTTGTTAAAGTTTACAAATATGCCTGGCAATAATTGTAAGAAGGTATTTAAAATACAGAGGCAAAGAATTATTACCAAAGTTGGAAAGTTTACAGTTCCGTTCTAATGTTAAAATTGTATGTAATGTTTACTTTCAAATTGAGAATTTGACCCTGTTTGGTAGTTTTACTTATTATACAATATTAAACCATTTATAATCTTTATATTTAAAAGCATTTTTAAGTTTGTCATTGTCAGAGATCATTTTAGTATCTATATGATCAAAATACATTCACACATAGGTTATTTCATAAAAGCAATGACAGTTGAGATGTGTTTACCTTAAGTAACTTTACAATGAACAGATTGTGGGCACATGGTAATGAGGCATGCTTAAAGCGAAATGGGCCGTGGCTTGGATTTAGCACCTGTGATGGTACAATGCATTATGAGTTTCACGAGTACTCTACTGAGACTCCTGAATTCCTTACAAAAACAGTTTTCCATTTGTCTCTCTCAAACTTTCACTTGTGTGCAATTAGATTGTTCGTCTTGTTAATAGATCATAATGTTGGGGGAGGAATGTAGAGGGAGCACACAGTTCAAAGAGGCCCAGGGAGAAAAATGGGAGCAATTTGCACTTTATTAAATCCAAGGTTTATACAGACATCTAAACCACCAGCATTAATGTGAAGATGGCCCACACAAGTTGATGCTGAACTCCACCAGCAATACCATAGTTTGTATTTCTCAATAAACTAAATGGCACCATAGCTTACCTGTTTATCCAGGAACTCTCGAGCATCCTTCTCAATATGACCCTCATAAAGATTGGTAGTCATGCTCATTAGTCCCACCTTAGATAATCCAAAATCTGTCAGCTTTATGTGCCCCATGGAGGTAACCAACAAGCTATGAAGCAGAAGGACATATAACACATTAATCACTTTATAAACTGGTTATCTATTTTAGTTTCCCCTCTACCCCCATCCATTTCTAAGACTATTTAATATATGCGCATCAAGTTTATTACAAAACCCAGCCTGGAAAGAGAGGAAGTCACACCAAGATGTCAAATACTTGCATCTAGCAGCTGAGTGTAATTCACAAAGGAGGGCTAGAGACAAGGCATAGCTAATCTTTGTTGAAGCAGCCACATACAGCATCGTTTACAACACTTTGAAAAATTGTTAGAAAAATCTTAGAAAAATTCAAGTATGAAACTCTGATCCCTTTCCATTTTCATAAAAAGAAAATAAAAAAGAAAGGGCATACACTAGGAACTAAGCAACTTGTTATTCAAACGAGACGTAAGACAAAGAAGAACAGACAAATATTGTATTGTTTCAGATTTCAACTTCCAGCTCTAATTTAAATTTCTACTCATTAAGCACAAAACCTGTATTTCCTACACATGCAAAGAATCTGCAACTGAATATATTTAAAACCTTTCATTTTAAGTGGAAAAGTAAAATTTTAAAATAGAACTTCCAGCTGTCATTTTAAAATAATAGTTCTATTTTTAATAGTAGAAATGAAATATTAGAAAATAAATATTATTTAACTAAAATAATAGAACTTCCAGATCTAATTTAAATTTCTACTCATTAAGCACAAAACCTGTATTTCCTACACATGCAAAGAATCTGCAACTGAAAATATTTAAAACCTTTCATTTTAAGTGGAAAAATAAAAATTTAAAATAATATATATAGTATTATAGTAATTTGAAAATTTAAAGAATAGAGGTATTTTTTAAAAAGCTACTGGATGGAAATATTCCCAAATTTTAATAGTTGTCTTTGGTAATATTGTGGCTACTTTTTTTCTATTTTTTTATTCCCCTGAATTTTTCAAATATTCTAGAATGAACTTGAGTCAACTTTATCATAAACGTTTCAGCACACTTAAAGTCTTTACATATTAATATGTAATGTTTTCAGAGGCATCTCAAATTATTGGAGAAAGCATGAAATATTTAATAAATGGTGTCGAGATGAATAGCTAGTCATCTGGGGAAAAAATTCTATCACAAATCAGACACCAAAATGAATTTCACATAAATTAAACATTAATAAAAAATTAAATTGTGAGTAAAACAGAATGTAGTATCAAGCATTTCATCTTGGAGTAGGAAAGAGTTATCTAAGTATGACATCAAATAAAGAAACTATCCAGAAAAAAACTAGTAGCATTCTATGAAGCTATTATCACATTTACATCATTTAAAAAAATAAAAAAAAAATTAACTCTGGCTTTATCATTATCTTTTTCTCTTGTTGCTGATAAGTTATTAATATAAGCATCGTTGGGGGTGAGGAGCTAGGGGAGGGATAACATTAAGAGAAATACCTAATATGTAGATGATGAGTTGATGGGTGCAGCAAATGACCATGGCAAGTGTATACCTATGTAACCAACCTGCACATTCTGACGTTCTGCACATGTATTCCAGAACTTAAGGTATAATCATAAAAATATATATATATACACATCATATCCTTTTTTCCATGAGTTTCCTGAACTTCACATAAGCACATCCCTTAAAGATTTACATAAAAATTACCATATATATTGTTAAAACAACTCATTTTGGACGTTATGTATGGAAGAATTTTAAAATATGCATTGCATTAAAAGAAAACATCTTTATAAACATACAAGAACTTTGTATTGGGCAAAAGAAGACATATATTTCATTTGTGTACATACTTGTCTGGTTTCAAATCCCTGTGTACGATTCCATAATTATGTAAATATTCCAAGGCCAAGACTGTCTCAGCAAAGTACATTCTGGCCATATCAACAGGGAGAGGACCCATGTTTTTCATTAAAGTAGCACAGTCTCCCCCTATAACACAGGAAAAAGAGTTAGTAGCTACAGCATCAAGGCTTAATGAAGACCATCAGTTTAGACCACAGAATTTCAAGGTGAAATCATCTCTACTCACAGCATATCATAGTCATAACTGGAGTCTGTGTGCTAACCTAACATGTTTCTAACTAAGCTATGGTATGGAGAAAATACAGATTTTTATTTAAGAAGTAGTATTCAGAAGAGAGAAGGTTTGGCTCTGAAGTGAAACAGTACTTTGAAGAACTAGCATAATTTTAGGATCATGGTAACAATTTAAAATATACCAGCATAAAACATGGATTCTAGAATCACACTACCTGAGTCCAAATTCTAGCTCTGCCTCTTACCAAGCTATTCTTGGTTCCTTCATCTGTAACATGAGGATGGTAATAATGTCATCCTTGTTAGAATTCTCATGAGAAGTAAATGAGATAATCTATATAAAGAACTTAGGATACTGCCCAACACATATCGCATATTAAATATGTGATAAATGTTAGTTTTTGTTTTTGTTAAGATAACAATAACAGGTTAAAAGAGCAAAATATTGGTGGGGTAGAAAGAACACTGGGTAAAAAAAGGCAAGCTATGTTTTTGTCTTTTACCTACCACTCAATATCTAGTAAGTCTTCCTTTCTTGGACTTTATTTCACTCATCTATGAAATGGAAAGATTAAACTAAAAGGATATCTAATGTTTCTTTGAGTTTTACAGCTTTGGGATTCTGTTCAGTGACAACAGCTTAAGTTATTCATCTTAACTCTATGTCAACAAGTCATGGTCACTTGAACTCATAACCGTAATGTAAAACTGATAGAAATAAGATTACTTGGAGAATTGAAAAGGTAGACCACAAACCTCTTAAAGAAAGAAAGAAAAAAGCTGCAAATCGGGAAGACTGGGTGCATTTTCTTGAATGCATCTCCTTTTCCCTTTTATTTCATACCATAGACTGAAAAGAATATATATTTAATTTTTTCTGAAAGAAGACTAATTGTGATGAGTACTTTTATGGTATGTAATAAAAATAAGTAGAAAAAAATCCCATCACTTATATTCCAACTTAAATGACCAATTGAGAGGAGGTAGTTAGGATTAAAAACCATTAAAAAAGATAAACAACCTTTTTCCAGAGAGCACTAATTTTCCCTTTGTTACAGCAGAGCAGGCACTTTACAAGCAATTATCAGAAGATAATGACTGGGAATGCAGCCATCTCATTGCCTGGCTTCAGTTCTTAGGTGGATACAGCGCTTATGTGGCACAAATGCAGAAAGCTTCAACAACACAAATGAGCAAGGGATTTCTGGGTACAGGTGTCGTGTTCTCTGTGCCCAATACTGGCATACCTTCCACATACTCCATGACCATGCAAAGGTGGCGCCTTGTTTCAAAGGAGCAATACATGCTGACAACAAAGGGGTTTTCTGCGAAAGTCAGGATATCTCGTTCCACAAAGGCCTGCTGGATCTGGTTTCGAAGGATTAGGTTCTGTTTATTAATCTTCTTCATGGCAAACCTCTGCCGGGATTCTTTATGCCGAACAAAGTAGACTGCCCTGAAAAGGAGCACAAGTATTGAGGTTGGCAGGAACAGAGAAAGTAAGGATATTTTTGGGATACAGTAAACCATGTAAATCATCAACACTTTAAAAGTTCCCATGGCAGGTGGAATTTAGCTCACACAAGCTGGCAGCTACAAACATCCCATCCCAGGCTAAACTCCTTTGGCTAGATTAATTTTTTTTTCTCAAATTCTTTCAATTAAAGGTCGAGGGTCATATTTAGGCATCACATCCATCTTCACTGGTGAAGAAAGGAAATGAGCAGTCCCCAGAGTGAGGTATTTCCTAATAGGTAGCTGAGCTGACATTTTCAGTTTCTCCACAAACACATCAAAATCCGATATGTAAGTCAGAACAGGAAAGAATGAACAAAATTACACACATATTTCTCAACAACTAAAGTGATAATTTATTTTTTCTTTTTGAGATGAAGTCTTGCTTTGTTACCCAGGCTGGAGTACAGTGGCACAATCTCGGCTCATTGCAATCTCCAACTCCTGGGTTCATGCGATTCTCCTGCCTCAGATTCCTGAGTAGCTGGGATTGCAGGTGCACACCACCATGACCAGCTAATTTTTTTTGTGTTTTTTAATAGAGATGGAGTTTCACCATGTTGGCCAGACTGGTCTCAAACTCCTGACCTCAAGTGATCTGCCCTCCTCAGCCTCCCAAAGTGCTAGGATTATGGGCATGCACCACCATACCCCGTCCCTAAAGCAATAATTTTCTAAATGATACCCTTGGGATCTGCAAAAATAACCCATAGCTTTTTAAAGTATCTGGCTTCCAATTTAGAATAATTTACTTCCAGTGAAATTTCCAGATAAATAAGAAGTATGTGACACATAATATGGGGCTGTCCTGCAACAAAGGGTGACATATTTCCTCAGTGCAGTTCTCAGCACTGCTACCCCCATGGCTGTTTCAACAGGAAAGGCACTTCCTGGCATAACAGGAGGCCAGTGATGGAGCTGCGTTTCTGTTCTCTTAGACCTGAAGTCAAGGTGTCAGGGAACTTTACCACCAGACCAGGTGGCACTCGATTTCTGCCTAAAGTCTCAACAATACTTTATAGAGCCAATTATGCCTGGGTAAAGACAAGGGACCCATTGAGGCTTGGGGTAATGTAAAGAAAAGAATTAGAAGGAGGAGTCTTAAAAGCTCATTTGGAAATGATGAGCAACAAGGAACACGTCTTAGATGGGCTCCTTCCTCACAAGTCCTCCTCAATTGTTAATATCATGGGAGAACAAGCTTGAAATCTCTAATGATCAAACAAGAAATAATTTGCCTGAGAGCCATCAATCACAGTAAAGTATGTCCAGTGTCCACCTTATAAAACAGGGGGTATGTGATCTGAGATGCGTTTTCTACTAGTTACTTAACTGTCCCTGAGCAATGACTGCAAGGGGGCCCTATGATACCCTATGCTCCTGCTCAATCAGTATATCAGGGTGATTCACCGACATAAATCTCAAGTATATTCAATCCCAGTTTAATCAACATTAACATTTTTCCCTTAAGTATTTAACTAGGAATTACTTTTTCTTTCATATATGTGTATCTTTATCTCTGTCTTCCCATCATGCTCATCTTTTTCCTTCATTTGGCATATCACATGTCTACATTTTTGTCTCAGTCTAAACATTATTATTATTATTTTGCTTTGCTCACATTTTTCTTCTCTTCTTATTTCTTTTGTTTTCTGGTTCTTCCTTCATCAGATAGTAAAAAGCTCTCTTAACCACACTCCCCATAATCAAGTCACAATCCAGTGCTGCCATTCCCACCGTAAACCAGCAAGCTGGGTGCCCAACGTTTTCCACGCTGACTGGTAATCCTCTTCAGGATGACCAGAGCCTTGGGCTCCCACCATTCTGAGGGATTCCCACATCTGTTCTGCTGGCTAGATTTGATATTAAGATTAATTTAAACAAATATTTAAACTGATGAAACACGAGTATAAAAAGGGAAAGGACTGTTTAACAGAAAACTAAACAAATTTTTTAGAAAGTCTTAATAAATTTGAGTTACTAAATAAAATCCCTGTTGATCTAATGTGGGTGACAAGATCTGCAAAAGTTGAAAAAAATAACAAAAATCTAGATTCCTACATTCATATTGCTTCAAGTTTTTGTTTCACCATTAAAGCTAAAATTGGAAAACAGAAACAATGTATTGTAAGTCTGGTTCATATTGGTTTTCTTGAAAAGATTTTCCATCAAAAGACCAGGAAATTTACATATATTTAGGTTAAATTAAAATGTTTAAAATATGTATCTTTTAAAATTATTTCCTACCGTGACCAACTTTTAAATTAAACAACCAACTACAGAGTTACTCCTAATCAGATGACGGTAGCAGGACAGAGATACAAAGGAGCACAGGAAATTACCTGGCCATCCCTTAAATAGAAGATAAGCATTGATAGATAAATGTTTTTCAAACAGGAAATACATATTTTAAAATGAAAGCAAGAATGTAAAATACTGACAGTGAGGAACCAGTATCTTTCCATTATAGCTTGTCTATTCTCGAGAGTCAATTGGTATGCAGCTACTTTCTATCTCTTCCTTCAATATTTGGTTTGGAGTAAGTTTAGTGCTGAGGAGCCTTAGATGTAGATTATGAATTTCACAGATGCTCACTAGGTGGCTATTCTGATTTTCAACTGAAAGTTACCATTTCTTACATAAACAACTGCTCTGCAATATGTTTGAGAATAGGAAGTGAAGGAAGAAGAATGGAATCATACATGATTTTATGAAAGAATAAAAGACAAATATGCCTCAGGCCCAATTTGACCAGCATCCTGACTGGGTCTCTGTGGCACTGTGTGAAAAATGGCTTTAGTCTTTATTCTCAGATTTTCAGTTCATAAAATTTTGTTTCACTTTCTGCTTTCCCTTGCTATGATGTACTTAAAATAACCAGTTAATCCTTGGGAAAACTGATCTAAACCAATTTAAAAGAATCTTATAGGTAGCTTGAAATATCACTGCCTCAGGACATGTATGTCTCGATCAAGTAACAGAGGTCAAACTGACTTCCTAATTAGAATTAGTTGTAAGTGGATTTTCTGTTTGCTTTCTTGTCTGTTTTTGAGTTTTTACATTTCTGTATTGCTTTGGGAATATTATTCGTCAGGTTGAAATTTGTTTATTGAGTAATAATTGTTGCCTTTCACATTTACCTTTCCTCTTTTAAGTTGATGTTCCAAATCTGCTTAAAGTTAGCAAAGAGAGAGAGAGACAGAGAGAAACAAGGAGAGATCTGACAGCCAGGCATGTAACACTGTTAAGTGGACTGGAAACCTCCCAGTGTTAAAAGTTGCATTGAACTGATATGGCTTCATATTTCTTCTCTGCTTCCTGGTCCCAGAGGTTGTGCTTCCTTTGAAGAGGCTGCTTCTGCCTCTCTTCCTACACTGACCTCCCTGTGAAACAGGAAAACCCAAGGGTAGAAGGTGAGGGGCAGGAAAGAGGTAACCAAGGACCCTAGTACTCTCTGAGCCAAACTTCTCCCCACCCATGCAGAACTGAGGTGTGGGAGGGTGGGGAAGAGCGGCTAGAAGCTGACAGGACCTGGATCAGAATGAATCAGCCCTATTGCGAGCATGAATGTCTAGCGTGTATAAAATTATGCATGACTCTGAGAGCCCAATACGTGACTCGGTGGTAGCAAATCTCCACGTGGGAATGTGGGTGCATGTGCCAGAGGACAGCTGAGAGAAGGGCTACAGGGAGAGCATGTGGGAAATGGGATGTATGCCACTTGCGCACATGGGCCTCTCTGGGACATGTCCTGGGCCCCTTCACAGGTAACAGAGAATCATGTGCATCAGGATTAAAAGGAAAGGAAAAGTGGGGAAGAAATGATGGGCCTTTCAAATTTAGTTTTTTACTTTTAAAATTTTAAGTCCATTTTATTCTTTTACTCTGAAAATACTTGAAGTTATGACTTAAAGATCCTGGTGGAAGTGCTCACTGGAAGAAGTAGGACATCTACACCCCAATAAGTATGGCTAAACACTTTCACAAATGGATACCTTACAAAGAGAAAAGAGCTCCTCTCAGTATCAGGATATCTGTGACTCTTTCTCCAGGCCTCTCTTTTCCTACATGTGAGTGGAAATAATATCAACAACCACACAAGGGCTCTGTGAGAAGAGAACATACATAAAGAAACCAGGGCAGTGCCGGGCACATGGCGCCAGCTTTCTATAAAGCACTAAGTTGGCAAAAAGGCACATTTCACTTCCAGTCAGTGAAATGTCCTGTTCTGTTCCAGATCAGAAGCATGTTAAACATAGAAGGATTTCAGATGTTTATCAAATTGGCTTTATAACATGAATTTTCACCAAGTATGATGCGGAGAAAGCCATGTGTGTTTTAGCACTACAGATAGAAGCCCTTCCTAATGAGAGGGTTAGTTCCCAGCTGCAGCAATTTTTGAAGCATCATGGCATTGGTGTCTCTCTGAGCCACTGATGTGCGTGGCAGACCCTGTAGGTGGATACCTAAGAAAGCCTCTAGAAACTCAGTTCAGCCACCTGTAGCAGATACATTTATTTGTTCAGCCAGTTCCCATAAGCCTGCAATCAGCCTCACTGACTAGGTGAATCAACAGGGGCAGTTCCATTCAAATTTTAAATTAAAGATTATTAAAATGTAGAGAAAATCTATCAGAAATACAATGAGAGATTAAATATGAGAAGAGAGGAGAAAAAAAGAGTTTCGGCTGATCAGCAGAGGCTCCCACAGGCAGCTTGTGAGTCCATTAATGACTTGGCCTGAATCCTGGGTGTTTACTGATTCACAGCTTGTTTAACTTCTTGTATATTCCCAACTATTCCCTAAAGTGTGATATACCTCAACTACTATACAGTGGTTTAATTGCACTACAAATGGATTTACTCAACCAGTTAGAACTCCAAATACTGCTAAGATAGATGCCTGAATTTTTAAAAATGGTGCTTCGTAGATAATCTTATTCCAGAATTCCACTGCTAATAAAATCTGGCAGTGCTCAAACCCACACACCCATTAAATCAAAGTTTAATCTTCTCCCTAATGAATAAAGAAATCTCCAAGTCATTTCCAAAAGTGTAAAGAACTAAAAAACAAATGATAAGCAAATAGAAACCACAAAGAATTGCATGCTAGAACCACCTTCCTAGATAGAAAAGTTTCAACGAAGTCCTTGAAAAATAAAATATTGCAAAAATAGAACAGAAGAAAGCATTTATAAGCCACAACAGGAAATATGGCATTTGACAAATCCTAAAAACAAATCAGTGAAGCATAGAAGGGACTCACAAATATTTAAGTTCCTAAGTTAATGGTGTGGAAAATATTCGAGGTGAAAAAATGGTAACAGAAACATCCCTTGTGGCACAACAAAAACCTCTTTTATTTCATCTGCTCATCTGTGTGGTAAACGGCAATAAATGTCTATGAGATTGTTTATTGCTCTTCATATATAGATGGAATTGGGATTAACACTTAATTAAACTAGAATTCTTGGGCTATCTAAAATGGATCAGGTCATAGTTTGTGCATTAATTGCCTTCTAAACTGTTAGTAACTCAGATGAATCTTGTCACTATTTACTGCCACAAGGAGGAAACTGTGTGTCTATAAAAATGAATCAAGGAAGGAGCACTATTAATATGATTAAATTAGAGCATACAGTTCAATTTTGAAAATCCTGGTGTAGGAGTTAGAGGCTGCAGTGGGTAAGCTATGACTGCACCACTGTGCTCCAGCCTTAGGGACAGAGCAAGATCTTAGGATCGCAAAAAAAAAAAAAAAAATTTTTAATTAAAAAAAAAAACCCCAAAATTAAAAAATAATTGTGGTAACAAAAATAAAGACTAAAAGATTGCTAAATCTTTTAATTTAATTTAAACTGAAATTGCTGTTACTCAAACTTGTCCAACCCTCAGCCACCGGGCTGCATGCAGCCCAGGATGGCTTTGAATGCTGACCAACACAAATTTGTAAACTTTCTTAAAATATTATGAGTTTTCTGTGATTACTGTTGTTGCTGTTCATCATCTGTTGTCCATGTTAAGGTATTTTATGTGTGGCCCAAGACGGTTCTTCCAATGTGGCCCAGGAAAGTCAAAGGATTGGACACTTCTGCTCTAAACTTTCAAGCAGACTTATTTAAAGACATTTATCTTAAGGTTGTCTGCTGGTCAGACAGGAAATACAGGCTAACTGTCATGTAGTAATACCATGTAGAAAATTATAAATATATGGTTATATATAATATAGTATTTAATATTTACATATATATCTCAGTCAAGAGTCAGGTACTTCTTTTAACCCAAAAGGGCAAAAATGAAGGAGGCAGAAAGAAGAGTAAACAAATTTTTTCCTTTCTTCTCCAACCCTCTAAAGTAACTCCTTGGTCACTTGGCATGTTTTCTGATGAGGTGTCCGGTAAGAAGTGATTTCTGCTGCACAGCACAAGCCCCAGGGAAGGAGCAGGACCTGAAAAGTCAAGTCCCTATACAGCATCTATTTGGCCTTAGATAAATGTGAAGAATAAATACATTACTTGAGTGTGTAGAAATACAACAGAGAGCTTCTCTTGAATTACTCACCCATAGGCTCCATTGCTAATCAGTTTAATCGTTTCAAAATCACTTTCCCGAGGTTTTCTTCGAAGTTTCAGGGAGGCATTAGAGCTCTTGGAAACAAAATATGGAAGTTAAAAGGTAGTTTAGAAGAAAATTATTTTATCAGCAAAATAGATAATACTTGAATTATGTGCTATATTAGGTAGTATGTTGTAGTACAGTATTCCAGCCACAGGAACCTGAGGGACAGCTTTACAGAGCATTCATCCACAGCAATGCTGACAAACTCCTTGTGACATTGTCACTTAAGCAAATCCACATTTCCAGGCAACCAGGGACAATTCCTGATTTTGATTTTGTAAACTACTCAGGTTGGTCTTGTCCTAATCTTAACATTTTGAGATTTAACTCCAAAATGCCATACTTTCCTTTTGGTTTCAGTCAGCCAGAGAAGAATGGGCTGCAGTGACTCTACATGGGGCTCTATCCCTGACACAGCATGTCTCTTTCATTCCTGTGACAATCTTCATTGCTCAGTAAAGTGGTAGGTGACGCATGGTACACCCAACTATAGAATGCTTGCCTTTCTCTACTTCCATGCCAGAAATCTAACATGGCTAACAAAACAAGTTTCAAAAAGACAGCAGCTCTTCAAACAGTTTAGCTCAAAGGATAGGAATAGAAAAAATGCTTCAAAAAAATTATCTCAGGCCCCATTTATCTTAGTCTGGAGACGGAGTTACCAGCTCTTTGCTCCCCTGTGCAAGAGTCCAGAATTCCCTTCCTATTGTTTGGAAGAAACGCCATCATCCTCAACTCAGTACTGTCATTGCTGACCCTGTCGTCCCACTCCTATTTAGAAGACTTGGCTACCCACCTTCCTCTCTGCCCAAGAGCTCTCTATCCAGGGTGACTTCCGTGTCTACAAAGATAACCCACCCAACACTCTGGCCTTGGGGCTATGTGATCTCTACAACCCGAAATATCTGTCTCCTCTAGACTTCAATACTGGGACCACTTACTTATTCAGTCATTCACTATTACTCTTTTAATTTTTTATTCTTTTTTTTTTTCCTACTTCATACTGGCTTGGAAGGTAATTTACTCACTGTGACTGCTCTTTCATTGCTCTGGGCTGCAAGGCTCTGTACAAGGCTCCTAATCTCATTAACTCTTCCCTACCTGAGTGATCTCATTTATGTTCCTGGATGACTCCTAAGGCACTTCCACTTCTACCAGAAACTCCCTCTGAGTGTCAGTTGCCAGTTTGATGGATCTTCTTGTATGTTTAAAAGGAACTTTCGTCTCGATACATTCAAAATTATGAATCAGATAATAAAATTAACAAGAACAGCTATCATTTATTTAGCACTTACTATGTGATACTGTCCTAACCATTTTATATAAAAATCTCATTTATGCTTTTATAAACAAGGAAACTGAGGCACAGAGAAATTTCCCCCATCCCCCAGCTAGTAGAAAGCAGAGTATCTTCAAATCCAGGCAACCTGACCCCAGAGCCTGGGTTCTTATCCCCCAGGATACACAACCTGCTCCTGCTTTCCTAAGCCCTAATCTGCTCCATTGTGGTTCCTCTTTTGATGTTCACAATTAAGGAGAAAGGCACCAGCATCCAGAGTCTCTCCCCTATGCCACTGCAGCAGCCTCTGACCTGGCTTTGACATGGTCACCCCTCACTCCTCCTCCCACACTACTGTTTTCTGTACTGCAGTCAGTGTGATTTTGTTCAATCCATAACTCTGATTGTGTTATCTCCCTATCCACTCTTCCCACCCCCATATATCCATACACTCCTCCAAAGTTCAGTCACTTCCCATTGCTCTTAAAAAACAAAAACAAAACACCTGACAAACTTGAACGACAGGAACCTAAGCATCCAGTTTTTACACAAGTGCTCTAGTTCCTCCTGTCTCCCTTGCTCTTAGTCCTCTGATGTACCCTGTGGATGTTCCTTTTACCCCTTCTTACCCTAGTAATCTGTTACATTGAGCTCAAGTGCCATTTCCTTGGGAAATTTTTGGGAACTGGACAGACTACGGCAAATATCTTCATGTTATATTCTAGTAGTACATGGTCCTTTTTCTTCACAGATCTTATTACTATTTATCATTTCTATTTTTGCATGTGATATTTTATTAAGTTTTGTTTCTTTTTGAAGGAAGTGACTAAAATTGTATGCTTAGCGCCTGGCACAGTGCCCTGCACATAGAAGCATAATAAACATTTGGTGCATAAATAAACGAATACAGCCAAAGTCTCCAGATGCTAAACAGAAAAACCAACATCATATTTCATCAAGAAAGATACTTACACTCACTGATTCATCTGTTTCTGGTGTTTCTGCTGTCCCACTATCGTAGTTTCCCAACTGAGCCATTTCTAAGTTTAAAAACAAAAAGCCAGTAAAGCTTTATAAAAATATCGCAATTGGATAAGAATACTAAGCTGAAACAAAAGAAAAACAATTTCTGCCATATTAAACAAACTGCTCTATACTCCAATGTGCCCATGGAAAAATCTTAAATCTAAAAAGAGGCAGCAATTGTTATTTTGAAATTGTTCATTATATACCCCTTGCCGGAACCCCATTTCTTGCAAACACCTAGACATAGGAACTTAAGACGTTGGGCATAGGATCTCATTGGCTGATGCAATCACCACAGCTTGGAAAGGCTTTGGTAGGTCAACATCTCTGCTTAGAATCAGGTATCTGAGACAGGCAAGTCTTTCCAGGTTCTGGCAGGCATCAAATAAGCACTGACTACAACTAGGGAATGATTCTTAAGTTGTGGTGCTTATCTCTTGTTCCATTTCTCCATATGCCCTGAGAAATACCCTGCCAAAGACACTAAGAATTTGTCAGAGAGGAAGTAATAATGGTGGTTAAGAGGGATTTGGAGGTTAAAAGACTTCGGTTACCACTACTATCTGCACTTAGTGACTGACCTTTAACTTCAAGCTCTTCCCTTGTAAAATGTAAACAACATTACTTACTTCTTAGAGATTTTTATGAGTACTGTATGTGATAATGCATGTAAAGCTCTTAGCATACTGACTAAAAATTAAGAGCTCATTAACTGTTGATTGTTATTTATTACTATTACTTACACTGTGTAATCCATCTGGGATTGGATATCACATGCTTGACATTACTACCCTGGTGATTTAGTTAAAAGAGACAAAGGTGTCTAAATTGCTCAACTCACATTGGAATGTATCATTGAATTCATAGAGGTAAAAGAGAAAATCTAATGCTTTTACTGTTCATTTTCTTTTTTATACTTAAAAAATCATATTTTATTTTAAAAACACAAAATAATTTTCTCTAAAACTATGACAGGGCTTATCTGAGTGATAGGCTCACAGGTAATTAAAGTTTTCTTCTTTTACTTGTACTTTCCAATTTTTCAAAATTGAACATGAATAATAAAAGTTATAGTTTTCAGTTAAATATTGTTGTGTGCATCCCAATATATTAAGTTTAAAATTTTCAACTTAAATAAACATAATTATATTTAAAATTAAATAATTAAAAATATTATTTCTTAGGTTCTTATTTTAGGTATTCATATTCTTATAAACATGATTATCCCTTTTGGGCAGACATTATACATAAGAGATATGAATCAAAACAACACTAGAGTATTACCTTTAGATAAAAATTTATAAATATGGATTCTGGAATAACTGGACATTGACAATAACTTTCTCAGTTTATCGATAGGGGAAATTCCAGAATAAAAATGAGCTTAGCACAAACTATGCACTTTCTTGGTTTCATTTAAATGATGTCAATTTCCAGTGTGACTAGCACCTTAGATTTATGGTCTTGGAGGTAAACTAAAATGTATCCAGTTGGAAGGGCTCTCAGACAAAGGGGCAAAAATTAGTAGTGTTTAAATAAAATAGCAACAGCAGCTAACATCTACTAAGCACTTACTATGCTAAGCAATTACAAAGATAAATACATAATCCTCAAAACAATCCTATAAATAAATACTATTATTATCTCATTTTTATGGAAGAACTGAGGCACAAAGAGGTGCATCAATTTGGATGGTCAAGGTTCACATATCCAAAGCAAAACAACATTGGAGTATTACCTTTAGATAAAAATTTATAAATTCTAGATTCTGGAATAACTGAACATTGAGCATGCAGTGCTGGCTCAGGGTGCAAACCTGGGCAGCTCAACTCCAAAACTCCCAATTCCTAACCTTCAAAGGATAGGCCTAAGGTATATTGGTTTAGATGCTTGCAAGAAAGGGAAACAAATGTAGAATAATCAAAGTTTTTAATTGTTTATTTACTTATTTATTTATTTCTAGGAGTCTTGTTCCATCACTCAGACTGCAATACAGTGGTGCAATCTCGGCTCACTACAACCTCTGCCTCCCAGGCTTGAGCGATTCTTCTGCCTCAGCCTCCCAAGTAGCTGGGACTACAGAGATTCGCCATCATGCCCAACTAATTTTTGTATTTTTAGTAGAGACGGGGGTTCACCATGTCAGCCATGCTAGTCTCTAACTCCTGGCCTCAGGTGACCCACTCATCTTGGTGTAATTGTTTATTAAATTATGTGGAAAAGTCATATTTCAAATGTTAACAAACATTAAAAACTAGCCTCAGGGCCAGGTACGGTGGCTCATGCCTGTAATCCCAACACTTTGGGAGGCTGAGGTGGGTGGATCATCTGAGGTTAGGATTTCAAGACTAGCCTGGCCATCATGGTGAAACCACGTTACTACTAAAAATACAAAAATTAGCTGGGCATAGTGGCAAACACCTGTAGTCCCAGCTACTCAGGAGGCTGAGGCAGGAGAATTGCTTGAACTCAGGAGCGGAGGTTGCAGCGAGCTGAGATGGTACCACTGCACTCCAGCATGGGCAACGGAGCAAGAAGTTTAAAAAAAATAAAAATAACAAAAGCCAAAAACTAACCTCAGATCATAAATTAAGGGTCAACAATTAAAAAACAACACAATATCCAGTGATTAAACTCTGAACTTGTCAAAGATCACTATTCATTTTTTTAGAGCCTCTATAAAGATAGTTTATACACGGGCCTCAGGTTATTCACCTACCAAACTTCAGCCTACCGTGATAGCTATTGTCAGGTAAGAAAACTAAAGAACTCACTTGGTCTACGATTCAAGAGCTGACTCAATCTTAACTACACAGGCGTGAAGAGTCACTATAATCTACTTTGACAGCCTCCCCCAGTCCAACTATTTTCATAAAAAAACAAATTAAAAAATGGCTCTGTTTTAAATAGAATTTCTGCTAAGTAACTATTATCTGAAAAATACATATTATTTGTAAGCAGTGGGTAGTAATGGAATGGAACCAAGAGTCAGCTTTTGAAGCTGGAAGCCAAGGCATCATTTTGTAATGCCTGAAGTGATTTTTAAAACTCATCTAAATACCATTAAACATCTGCCCTTTTTATTTCATTGATTTAAAGCATTTCTGAAGACTCATGATTCAAAAAGGTAAAGATGGTAATTTAAAAGCCATGGGGAAAAATCTCTCCCCAGGGAACTTTTGAGAAAAGCAGCCACCAGTCTCTGATAAGTGATGAATCTCTTGTGGAATTGCTTTCAGTACAGTATAAATTTATCTGGCATTATCTCACTGTAATGCATGCATCATTTCACTGGAAGCAAAGATATGATGGCCATAGGAGCAAACAAACCCGGGAAACTGGAGAGCAGGGCAGAGAGCAGCAGGTTTCCTGGCTTCAGATGGAAAAAACTCTGTGACAACATTTACCACCATTACAAACAATTTAACAAGATAAACACTGTTTGCAAATTCAATTTAATGAACCAGTAAGACAATGCTGAATGAAGAAGTCAAGGATAGTTTTGAGTCTTTTTGGGGAGTATATAACCTAAATGTTACAAATGATAATCCTAAATCATCATGAACAGGAACAGGTTGTCGGGGGAGTATTTTACATATATTAGATTTTTCAAAATTCACTAGCAGGATTCGTCCTATTCTCTGTATTGAATTTAATAATATTATTTTAAAATGTGAGTCAATCATAAATCCTTTTTTATATTTATTTTTTTGAGATGGAGTCTCATAGTCTCACTCTGTGGCCCAGGCTGGAGTGCAGTGGTGCCATCTTGGCTCACTGCAACCTACACCTCCTGGGTTCAAGCAATTCTCCTGCCTCAGCCTCCTGAGTAGCTGGTATTACAAGCACAAACCACGATGTCCAGCTAATTTTTGTATTTTTAGTAGAGATGGGGTTTCGCCATATTGGCCAGGCTGGTCTCAAACTCCTGACCTCATGATCCACCCACTTTGGCCTCCCATAGTGTTGGAATTACAGGTGTGAGCCACTGCGCCCAGCCTATAAATCCTTTTATAAGCTTAAAAAAACCATTTTTATAGACTCTCCATCTTTTTTATATTTTAAGTAAACAAGAATATACCTATGAATACCGTATTCAATTTAAAGTAATCTATCATCGATTACATTACCTCCAAATTAAAATGTCAGTTTAATTAATGATAATTTCTTTAGCAACATTTTAAAAATTAAAAGTACTCTCAAGAAGAGCCCAACTGAGCTCTGCAAGAGAAAAACTACTTAGTGAAGACTGAACTCGAAACCCTTCTGGGACACTCTGGCATTCTTAGGCTGTCAGGCTTCTAGGATGTCAAGGCCTGACCCACACTCTAGGCAGACACAAAATGGGCCATGCTCATTCACGTCTCAGGACCCAATTTATGGCTATTTTCTTCAAATAGCAACCAGTCCCCAAATATGGACTTTTCAACAGATAGAGCCAAAACATAAGGAAAAATAAAGATCTGCAACTTAGATTTCTTCTATGAGGTGACAGTACAAACAAAGTCAAAGGTAGGACCAGTCCAGGGACTCACCTTCCAAGGGATCCTTATTGAGTCCTAGTTGGCTAATGATGTACCTGGGAATGTCAGTTTTAATACCCTGTCCTTCTTTGGCATGGCCTTCTGCTGCTTCCAATAGGTAGTAAAATTCTTCCGGATCAAACTCCTAGTAGAAGACAAACACAGACGGATACTTCTTTGAGCCAAAATTGTCTGAGGTTTTATTACATAAATCCCATTCACAATAAAACTGCTGGAAATACATGGCTCTAGGTTACTTACACAGAAAGGAGGCAAATGGCTTTAAAAAGTATGTAATTCCCACTTCATATTTGAAGCCTATTCATATTCTAAGCCAACATATTTATGCACTTGATAACCCAAAGATAATGATCATTTCCAGGGTACTATGCTCCACTTAAGATCTATCTCATCAGAAATGAACAGGTCTGATTTTTAATTGTGCCTTTCTAGCAAAGTTATAAAATCTGGGAATTTCCATCCAGAAGATTTGAGATTCAATTTCTTTCTCCACTCAACCAGCAACAAAAGGAATGTTAGAATACATTTACTCAAAAATGCTGCAGGAAACTCTCTTAATATAGAAGTATCCAAAAACATCAGAAAGAAAAACTTCAAAGATACTATTTTTTTATTAGTTACCTATAAAATTAAGTAACTACTATTCACATAATGTAAAGACCAAGAAAGAAAAAATAGGAAATTAAAGCCTCTGTCTTCTATAAAATTTTGGGAATATATTTTCCTATCTATTTAATGTGTGTGCGTGTGTATGTGTGTGTGTGTGTGTGTGTGGCTGTCTGTTGCTTCTAGGGTGTAATAAAAATCTTCAATCACCACACTCCAGATGAATGCTTTGATAATATCAAATGTATTTTTGGTCTTCATCCTGTTTTCTGAAATACCACTCCTGAAACCCTTGGAATATCCAAAGTAATAGTGGCTTTGTGTACTCTAGTGACTTGACTGGTGGCTGGGCACTCCTGGGTAAGTCTCTGGAAGAGGGCAGGTTGTCTGGGGAACCTACCATAGGATTAGAGGGTTAGGAGTTGCAGCCCTATCCTCACCTCCACTTCAGAGAGGGGCTGAAGGTTAAGTGGATCAAGAATGGCCAATGATGTCATCAAACATACCTATTTGAAGCTTCCATAAAACCCAAAGGACTACATTTGGGGAGCTTCCAGATAGCTGATTGTGTGGACTTTTCTGGAAGGTAGTGCACCCATGGGGCCTTACACTCCTTTCCCCAAGCTTCACCCTATGTAGCTCATCTGCACAGTTTTTAATGTATTTCATAATAAACTGGTAAACCTCAGTGCTTCCCTGAGTTCTGTAAGCTGCTCTAGCAAACTAATCAAACCTAAAGAGGGGGTCACGGGAACCTGGGTTTACAGGCAGATGGTGAGAAGCACAGGTAAAACAATGTGGAGCTTGCAAGTGGTACTGGAAATAGGGGCACTCTTGTGGAGGAACTGATCCCTCAACCTGCAGGATCTGATGCTATTTCTGGGTAGATAGTGGGTTGGAATGGAATTGAAGGCCACCCAGCTGGTGTCTGCTGCAGAACTGCTTGCTTGCTTGTTGTGTGGGGTTCTCACACAACTGGTGTCAGAATCACATTGTGAGACTACAGCAGGAGAAACCAAGTTTGGTTTTCTCTTCTATGCCCAAAGGGCATATACCAAAGGGCATATATTTATGTGTTGTAAACAATTATGCTTATAGATTTAAAGCCCAGTTATTAATGTCAGTTATATTTCCTGGAATTTTTTTCCCCCAGGATCCTTCCCATTTTGATTAATCCCGGAAATAGGCAAGTTTGGAATCTCAGCATTTCACCTGAGAATTACTCAAGAGTTTCTAAAGGCCATATTAAAAAAAAACTTGCTACAAATGGAGTAAAGTCAAACCAGTATAAATACTCATTGCCTTTTACATATATAACTACTTCAGTGACGGACAGAGCAAGCCTGGGTACTGCAGGGATAAGATGGTAGGTTGTGGGAAGCATCCCCTAACACAATGAAACTCCAGTTTCATCTAAGCTTTAAAGAGTACTTTGAAAGCAGCAGTATTTCTGAGCTACTTCTAAGTTCACTCGTTTCTATCTTTGAGAAGCTGTATTTTTTTCTCCTCTAATTATGGGTGATTACTGTAGAAAGTTAATTTCCTCTTTTAAGCAAGATCTGCTCTTAGCATATCTGCTGTTGTCCAGAAAAACAAGTTTTAATGCTAAATGACACTTTCCTCTAAATTAAACAACTGTTGGAAGTACCCATGTAGCAACATGTGGTCCCTAATTCAAAAGCTACAACAGGAGAGGCAGTAAAACGTTAACTAACTTTTCTACCTGGACTTACTAGTCACCCAGTTCTCCCTGAGGCATCCAAGATATTTTTTTCCCTTTAGCCTTCCAGCGACACTCAGTGCCAAATGGTGTCTTTAAGTCTGTGATTCTAAGGGTCCTCACCATTGATAAAAAGTCCTTTCCTATACCTCCCAACTCCCTACCTTTCTTCTCAAGATTTTCTCTCTGTGTCTTATAAGGCATTGATATATATTTATGGTGCTGTGTCTATTTCACAATTATAAACCATTATGGATGGTAGTTAAAATAAGGGCAAGACCAAAGCACTGCATCCATATATGTATTATGTATGTGTGTGTGTATTTCTGAAAAGCTGTATCGTATGTGGTGTTATAATTACCTTAATAGCCAGTGGAACTTAAAAGTGAGTTTTGATGCTATATTATCCTATATTCAGTTAAAACTGTGAACAAATATTAAGCTGTGGACATAAAATAATTCTTATGTCCACAGCTTAATATTTGTTCACAGTTTTAACTGAAACCTCAAATCAGACTTTGATAAAAACTTTTAAACAGGAAAACGATCACTGATCAAAATGTATAACTGTATTCCTTTTTTATTTTTTGAGAAAAGAGTCTCATACTGTCACCCAGAATGGAGTGCGGTGGCATGATCTCGGCTCACTGCAACCTCCTCCTCTGGGGTTCAAGTGATTCTCCTGCCTCTGCCTCCTGAGTAGCTGCAATTATAGGCATGTGCCATCATACCTGGCTAATTTTTGTATTTTTAGTAGAGACAGAGTGTCACCATGTTGGCCAGGCTGTTCTTGAACTCCCTGACCTCAGGTAGTCCACCCATCTCAGCCTCCCAAAGTGCTGGGATTACAGGCATGAGCCACTGATCCTAGCTAAAAATATATAATTGTCAAAATAAACTAGCCATCTCTAAAAGTCTCATTCCTTCAGGTCTACATGAGGCTCTACTGTATTTTCCCAAATGGGATGCTAGCCAGCACTTATTTTCTAACTTGCCACATTTTAGAGACAAATAATAATTATAATCACAGGTCACTATTTATCTCTGCATTTATCTCTATTCCTTCTCTGCATCTTGGCAACTCCAAAAAAAGTGAGATACAGCAAGCATTTTAAATTAGCTGTGACATAAAGTAATTATGCTAAGGTCAAGCATATTATTTCATGATTATATTTCAAGTTTGACTAGAATATGATATAACTATCACTTAATACAGCAAAAGTCTTAGAAATCTCTTTAAAATCAGGAAGGACAAGTCACATATCGATGTCATCATAAACATTCACAAGTTGTAGTTCCCCTTGACTCTTTCCAAATGAAGCTGGAGTTTTCTGATGGTTACTGCTTTCCCAGTTAACAATAAATTATTATAGTCACATTGAGGGGCAACTTACCAGGCACTCTAGTAACCGAGCAGGGCGGGCAATAACAATTAGGATCTTTCGAACTAGTTGTTTAATAAATGCCAACTCTCCACTTTCTGAACGATCATGAGCCTATGAGAAAGCAATAAAGAGAGTGATGATGCAGTTGCTCCACTAAATGGAAAAGAAAATCAGCAAAGTATGCTAATTAGATCATTGCAAATGCTAAAAAAAAATCAAGTGATTTAGAAAATACTGTTAAAAGACTGACAAAAAGAACAGACATTATCTGTATATAAATGAACAAACACCGTTACACGCCTATATCTACAAAATCTTTCTATTAGCTAAACCTTAATTACAAAGCTCTGATAGACTATCTGTGCTAAAAATCAAATCAAAGGGCGCTTAATGTGAACCATGAATGAAGGAGACATTAAAAGTTTACAACACAGTAAGCACATGGTACAAGTAGAGTAGGAAGCTGATCAAGAACCTTGATTTTCCAGATAGACCATCTTGGACATAAGAATGGCTAATACAGTGAAGGACTGCTTCTGTTATCCTGGACACTTAACACATTCTTGAAATATATTTCACATATACAATATGACTCACCTATAGATTAGTTATATCATCACACCTAAGAAGTGTGCAATGCTTTTTTCAAGTGTTACCTGGATAAAGTTTATACCAGTTGAATATCCTTTATTCAAAATGCTTGGGATCAACAGTCTTTGATTGTTTTCAAACTTTGGAATATTTGCATATTCATAATGAGAAATCTTGAGGAGGGAACCCAAGTCTCAACACAAAATTCATATGTTTCTTGTACACCTAATACATACAGCCTGAAGGTAAATTTATACAACATTTTTTAAGAATTTTGTGCACTCATCACATGAGGTCAAGTATGAGAATTTCCACTTGTGTTATCATGTTGGCACATAAAAAGTTTCATATTCTAGAGCATTTTGGAGTTTGGATGATGAATCTATACCTGGGTATGTAAATGTGAATTCAGTCTCACACACTGAATAAGTAATAATACCTAGGCACTTAACTTGGTAAAATTTAACTAACTTAAAATCTTCTAAAATTTTATTTTATATATTTTCCAAGCAAAATAAGTATTCTGAGAGCAAAGCTGTTTGTTAATAGTCATTTACATTTTCAATAATATTTTCTGGAAAAAAATCAGATAAATCTATATCAAGACAGGCATAAAACAAGTTTTAGAGGTTTCAATGTAAACTTCTCTCTATGTTCACTTTTAAGTTTTCTTAATCTTTGTTTTTATGCTTTAAAAACAAAGGATTTAAAAATAACATATCAAGGTGATGCTGGTACAACATAATATAATTTCACAGACACGGTAATAAATATTTACAGTCATTCTTGAAGGTGCTTTACCATGACAAGGACCAATCCCCTACTCTCATGAAAAGAACTGGCAGACAAAATTTATAAAAAATGTTTATACTCAGAAGTAGTATGTCTGCTGAATTTAAGCCATCAAATCAAAAGTCATTTTCCAAAACACAGGTACAGAAACCATAAAGAGGCAAAAGTAAAACATTTAACTTTTGAAATTAAAAAAAGAAAAAAGAAAAAATGACCATTGGTAAACAATCATAGAATAGAATATGTTCAAAGAAAATCAATAGTAACTATGACAGGTCCTAGTAACCAGGAAGGATGCTACGACATATATAACGATGTGCATACATATATGCATCTCAAATACTAAAACTGCCTTTAAATTTTCTTCCCAGTTTTTGCTTTGCAACAAAAATAGATTTTTGGAAGGTCCACTGAATGCCAAGAAATATGGTTACATCTTCTTTATGGTTTATCATCAACCAAACTAAACACAAAACTTTAAAGATGAAGCAAAAAACTACCTAACTTCTTAGTTGACACTTTGAACAGGATATTGAACTTTCTTCTAATAATTTTTGGTTTATAAATTCAGGAATATAAGGAAAATCTGAAAAGCTTAAACACATTTTGGTTGTCTCTTCAAAAAGAAAGGAGAACTTTATATCTTAATAAACTTAAAAAGTCAGTTTAGATTAAAGAAATTCCAATTCAAAAATCATAAAAATAATAAATTCATTCCAATTTTTTTACTTCTAAGAATGATCAGCCACAACCAGTGCTAAAACATATAATTTACATTAACCTAAACAGTATTTTATCTACAATTTAAGTGGGGAGAAGAAGCTCTGTTAAAATAACATAAAATAAAGACACAATTAGCCCTCGAAGAGAAACTGCTTCCTGGCTGTTACCAGCAAACTCCAAAGGGGAAACACTAATGGATACCCTGTGTCTGCATTTTAAGGGTTGGCCACTATAAAACATAACCATGGTTGGGCGTGGTGGCTCAAACCCATAATCCCAGCACTTTGGGAGGCCAAGGCAGGCAGATACAAGGTCAGGAGATGGAGACCATCCTGGCTAACATGGTGAAACCCCATTTCTACTAAAAGTACAAAAAATTAGCTGGGCATGGTGGCACGTGCCTGTAGTCCCAGCTACTCAGGAGACTGGGTAGGCAAGAGAATCACTTGAAGCCAGGAGGCGGAGGTTGCAGTGAGCGGAGATTGAGCCACTGAACTCCAGCATGGGTGACAGAGCGAGACTCCATCTCAAAAACAACAACGTAACCATGACCCAAATTTGAGAAAGTAGGTTAGAGCTTCCTATGTATTTTATTTTCTTTGACTAAACTTCTCTAAGTACAAAAAGAGTGGAGACATAAAAGCATTCATCTGGAATTGTCTAAGGCCTCAGGAATTTAAAAAGACATTAAGCTGCTCAAATCTTAGGGGGATTTTACCTGGGTTATGCAAAAAACAGACAATGGGGAAAATGGCTGGGAGATAGCTCCACAGCACAGAATGTCACATCTGGGAACTGACAGCTGCATCCTGGGGAAACGAAGGCAAGTTCCACAATTTGGCTCTGTCTAAAAAGGGTAAGCCCACTGCAGCAAATTAGCTCCAAGTTCTGGAAAAATACTGTAAATGTGATTATGCAAATAGTTTAAATTTTTACAAAAGGATGGAAGGAAGCTCTTTATCTATAAAGATAAACTAGAAATCATTCTTATTTATACCCAACAAGATCTTTATGCCACAAGTATACGATGCTTCTATGGCCAACAAAGAAATTTCTTTAAAAATCACTATCTTAAAAATAGTAATAGGGTTCATTCACACGATCTGTGAAACCCTAAGATTTTATTTTAATTGTCATGAAACACTGCTGGGTCTGTCATAGAGAAACAAAATTAAGTAGGGGATTTCAGTGTAAATAGCTTTGGATAGCAATCCTACCCTTTCCCGGGCATGCCTATAAAGGAATGAAAAACACAGGACTAAGCTGTAACTATGGTAATACCCTGGGACAGAATTGCAGAATTAGGAGTATCTCACAGAGGCTGACTACAGAATTCCTGTGTCTGCCTCTTCTGTTAAAAAGTGCACCATTTAGCAAACATAACTTTCAAAATAGTCTCCTAAATAGTAGTATGCATAGTGTTTCCAGCATTTTCTGAACTCTAATTTGATTGAAGCAACAGCATAATTAGATTACTTGATACATTATAATAGGTTGAATATTTTGGCATGAAGTCTTGTCTATTTTCTTCCTTCCTCCCTTCCACGGTTTCTGAGGAACCAGTAAACACCACATGCTGAACTTGGCACCGGGAGTTAGAGATGATTCCTGTTCCTCAAAGAGCCTCCTGTCTGCTGGTGAAGTGAGATGGCAGAGATCAGTACAATGCATTATGGCTAAATGCACTGAGAGGAAGGGCACAGCCACGTGCCATATTATGGTTTTACCTAAGGGCAGAATAGAGCCAACAAAGGATTTTAGATAGATATTCTTGCAGCTGCATAAAAGTATGGATTTGAAGAGTTATGACTGGAGGAAGGAAGACTGGTGAGGATGAAGGTCTGAGCTGGATGAGGGTCTGAGCCAGGTAGTGATTATAGAACAGGAAAGAAGGGTTGCAGAAATATTTAGGAAGTAAACTACCACGGTCTAATGGGTTGCTTGATGAAGGGAAAGAAGAGCCTAGTATTCTCAGTTCTAGCAGGAGGCTGGGTAGATGGCGGTACCAACGATAGATGAGAACAATTCAGGAGAAGCATGTGTGGTTGAGGAAATGCTAAGTCTAGTTTTAGATAGCTTGGGACTGCTGCTTCCGTGGGCTGTCCAGGTGGAAAGATATTCAGTAGGCAGGTGGACCCATGATTCTGAAATGTGAGACATGACTACTGGTCTGAGATAAGGATTTGAAGCCATTAGAATCTACAGGTCTTTAATTCAAGTCAGCCAACAAGATCACTAGGACAGAGGGAGGAGGAGTGGACTAAGGATGAGATCATGCGAAACCTTGTAGAAAACAGGAGTTGGAAGAGAAACCCCTAGAAGAGGTAGAGAAGAAATGGTCAGAGATGTCCCAAGAATAATAAATTAAAAGGAAGGCAGAGAAAAAGAGGGTTCTAATATTGCTGAGTGCAGTGATATTCCAGTAAAACATCCAGTGGATATGACAGGAAGGAGGATGTCAGTGAGCTGAGGGATAACAGAAGCCATTCACTCAAAAAATACTGAATTCCTTCTACGTGTCACATACCACCCTAGGTTAACAAAACAGACAATGTCCCTGCCCACAGAGACTTTCTACTCTAGTGTAGAGCAGTCAAAGGGCAGCCTGTGGACTGGAGCCAGTCCACGAACTGTTACCTGTGTGTGACAAGGAAAGTACAATTTTAAGCATTTGGCAACTCTTACAGCAATTTTACACTGTAATGTAACTCATTTAACAATTTTACATTGCCAGGAAACCCAAATGCATGATCATTTTCCTGTACAACTCATTTTCCTTTTACTTTATGGGAGAGAACAGGTCCATGCCAAGTAAGAGATTGACAGAAAAACCCCAAAACAATGTGTTCACCCCTAAGGATAGTCTGAAAGGCACTGTTTCAGTGGACTGCAGTCGGCTGCAATGTGAGAAATCGGGAAAGAGGACAGAAGGTCTAGATGGCAAAGGGGAGAAAAGCAGCAGCTGCCAGCCAGAGAAGGATCTTATCTCACCAGCTAAATTCTACAGGGGCAAGGACAGGTAGAATTCTCAAAAATTAGGATGCTAATATTTTCCTTCAGTTTTCTGAAATTATTTACATATTCATGTTTAGTGGAAACTATCTATAATTATGTTTACAAAGGTATAATTTGTGGCCTGTGAGATACAGAAATATAATGTATACAAATACATAAGCTAAATATGTTTCACTGTAGGCTGTGGCTGGTCAATTTCAGTCAGAAGAGCAGTATTACACATGCATTCCTTTCCCCCATACAGCCTCTCTTTCTGTCCTGGGTGTTATCAGGTGCTAGGCATGCAAGTGTTAGATAGGTCCTGTGTTTATCTGTCATTTTGGAAATTGGGTATTTTGTTAGAAGAAGAACTGACACTAATGAAAATCTAGGTTGCCGTTTACTATCCAACACCACATGTTGGTTAATTAATAGAACACACAGCCTGGAAGAAGCTAGCAATTTTCCATTTAGCTTTCTCAGATATTAGAACTAGATAGCATCATCAAATAACACACATACACTCGGGCAATTTATAACTTTATGGTTAAAGGGGGAAAATCACTGCTTCAAAATCCTTCACTATCTACTTATCCTAGAGTCATAGATAGTTGGGTCTCAATGTTGCTGTAAAGGTTATTACATTAATTTTCTGTTACTATAAATAATGACCAGAATCAATTTATGGCAAGTAGCAATCATGAGTTTTTTTTTTTTCCTTCTTCTTTGCTTCTCTAGAATGTGAACTCCATCTCATGGTTATACCTTGTAAGCAAAAAAAAAAAAAAGAAAAAAGAAAAAAAAATTTTTTTCAAGGAAAAGCCAAATAAATCAGAAAACTATATGGTGCATGATTCTTACCTCCTGTAGCAACTTATCTAATTTGTGCTGTAATTCAAAGAAGTATCGTGAGGTGATGAGGCCCTGGTGGGATTTATCCAAGCAATCTCGAGCCAGTTCAATAATCTGGTGGTGAGTGAAACTAAGCACTCCATCTGCTAGGGGTAGAACATTGTCAGGAGAGTAGCTGGTGATAATTTCCCTTAGACGTTCTTCCATCTGAGCAGTAGCCTAGTTAGAGAAGACACGTATACACGGATGTAATACGAGAAAACATATGTATAAACAATTTGACCATCACATTTTTATAGCATTTTCAGAGACACCCGCAAGTTGTTAAACAGGATTGTAGAAATTAAATTTAAAAGCCTCACTTCTGATAAAATAATGGCACATGTATGTCACTAGACATTTGTCCAAACCTACTGACTGTACAACACAAAGGGCGAATGAACCCTAATGCTTGTCGGGGGTGCATATGCATAGCCTTCCCAGGTACATGGGAAATCTCTGTACCTTCTGCTCAATTTTGTTGTGAAGCTAAAACTGTTGCTAAAAAAAGTAGCAGCAGCCTCAGCATGTGAAATAAAGATCTGAGGATACATAAGTAAAATGAGTATTTCAGAATGATAACCTCCCTTTTCTGAGTTCTATCAAACGTAAAATGGTCCCTGTACGCTTCTTCAAGTAATTCAAATGGTATCTGTGAATTGTTATGCTTTCATTTAAGATCTTGGGCTCTTTTAGATGGACTGTCCAAAATATCAATTATTTCTTTATGCTTTTGTACTTAAACATCAGGATGTTTCTAGAGTTCTACAACCTAAGCCAAAAATGGGTCTTTTTGGCTAGGTTTTAATGTGCCAGGAGCACACATCTTACGGCATATTCCTTTTTCTGAAAAGCTACATCCTATGCAAAAGGCCCAGAGGATTCCCTTGGTAAAATAAACCTAAAATTTCCTTTCCAACTTTCATTCCATTCTCTCTGGTCACCCACTGCCTAATCCACATTCCTTGCTTACGTGAATTATATATGCAGGGAGACTCCTTTTTCTTCCTTCCTCCTCCTCCTCCCCCTCTCTAATATCCTAACCTTCATTAACTAGGTAACAGTTAGTATCTGTTTCCCTGGTGAGCAAGTGACATGTGATAAATAGCTAAAACCACTTTATGACATAAATGTTGGGTTTGTTACAAATAATAAGTACGCTACTCTTGATTTATGAAACCAAAGATTTTCATTTGTTGTCCTGCTTAGGGAAACACAGGTTGTGGGGATGAATCAGGAAAAGCATGGAGAGCGGTGGTCGCCTTCTCCCAAATGTGCAGAAATGCTTTGGTGGGAAAGGCATGGAAACAAGGTGAGCTAATGAGACCATGTGAGAGCAGGTCCTTGCAGCCAGGTGCTTGGCAGCAACTCTTCACAATTGCTCTCTCAATTCACGTTCCTTCCTCCAGTCTAACTGGGGAACACAACAACTGTGCCTTCTCTTCTAAATTAATAGGGTTAGAAATACAATGTCTAAAGAGATGGGAAATCACAGAAAAGTAAGGTTGGGAAAAGAAAACCAACAACCCTCATGACATACTAATCTACAGGCTTCTAACAGAGAAAAACAGTCTCTACTTAAAATACAGCAGCAGGCCCAGAACATGGGTACAAGATGCACAGTCTAGAGGCCTTTCAAAGTAGACCCCCGCTACGGTACCTCACCAGGCCCACCCCGTGTGTGCTGCACAAGTGGCAGGGTTCACTTTAGATCCAGCTCAGCACACAGAGAGAGCACAGCTAGTTCTCAGCAGTTGTTAGCTTAACATTTTTTTTTTTAGTTATTTTTTCTTTCTAAGAAGACTATGGAGGTGTTTTATGCAAATCATTACCAGATTGGACCCTTACTTCCCCTAACAAAACCACCTTACAGACTCTAAACCTATGCAACCTGTTCATTTAGATGCTAGGCATCTTCAATTCAATTCATTACCTTTGGGAACCTTTCTTTGTAGACATGGTTCATCATAATTATTTCATGGTCACAGCAGGCGGGTGAACGTCCAGGGCTGCAAGCAAAGCAAATTAGCCTTTTAAACTTGCCACAGCATGAAATGAAAATAAGCTTTTTATTTATAAACAGTCAGTTGCATCAAAAATACTATGCAATCTTTGTAAGAAAAGAATATTAGATAATAAACTACACAATCAGTCATTAGTACACATGCACACATACATACCCACCAACACAGACACACTCTGAATAGGACTGAAAAAGAAAGCTCAAGTGGAATGCCACAAAAATCATCACAGTTACAATACAATACTAGTTCAGAAAATGTAAACTGAAATTATATTATGCATGTAGTATGAGCTTGCATGAGATCTGGAAAACAATTAATAAACTGCAAAATAAAACAAAATAGGGTAGCTACAAACAGCAACATCTAGGACACGTTTAACAGTGTGATTTCATGCTTTTATCATACACCTGCGCTCTGCCACACACCACTGAAGAGGTCTGGGAGTCTTCCATGGCACAGGTATTATAATTGAAATCCATTTTCTAGCCTAGCAAATATTTATTTGGGATGCTGAGGTAGGCATTATATATATGAAACAGAGGCATATAACTGTGGTGCATTTTTCTTTACTTTTTCAATAGTAGGTTCATCTTCCTTCCCAGTTGTATGTAGTTGTGTAATTTCAGTGTATTTATATTCCTGGGTGGATACAGCTTATACTATGCATCTTTGAAATTCCTTTAATAAAACAAAAAAATGGCACCAATGTAGTAAAACACAGTGCCTGTAGATGAAGTAGTAAAACCACTTGTTAATTCCATATCTCAGAATAATCTGACATGTCTCACAATTATCCAGTGTGGCTATATTTAGTATTAGTTTATGAGACTAAGTGAATAGAAAACATACAAAGGGAAATTGGTTCTCATTAAGCTTTTATATTCAACTGACCACCTGATAAACAATTTTTTAATATAATCAGTATATCAAAGTGCATTTTGTTTGTTTGTTTTTTTGATACAAAGTCTCGCCCTGCTGCCCAGGCTGGAGTGCAGTGGCACAATCTTGGCTCACTGGAACCTCCACCTTCCAGTTTCAAGTGATTCTCCTGCCTCCAACTCCTGAGTAACTGGGATTACAAGCACTCACCACTATGCCGGGCTAATTTTTGTATTTTTAGTAGACACGGGGTTTCACCATGTTGGCGAGGCTGGTCTGAAACTCCCGACCTTGTGATTCACCCTCCTTGGCCACCAGTAGTGCTGGCATTAAAGGTGGGAGTCATGGCACTAATTCCATAGCCTCAAGATCTCACACTTCAGTGGATGAGGTGATGCTCTGTCCTGATCCCTCCTTCAAAGAATGACCTGTTACCTTGCTGCTAGGAGTACTGTCCACAGAGAACTTCAGCTGTCAGTCCCTGCAGGGATGGCATCAGCTGCAAGGAGTCATCTTGCCCAAAGCTGAGTCTTTCCCAGGGTGCCACATCCAGTGAGAAATCCAATGACTGATGTAGGAATATACAGGAAGGCACATTTGGGCCAGAGGAGCAACTCTGCTGAGTCCTGTCATCCCTCAGCTCTCTGGGGAGTGGCTAGGATGCTGGACTTCTCCCTTTGCCCAATCCTGCCTCCCCCTTCCCTCCCACAGGTGCTAATTTCAAAAGCGCTCCCTAAGAAACATCCTGAACAGAAAGCTCCGTTTTAGATTCTGCTTTCTGAAGAAACAAACTCACAGTAAAACTGGCTATACTCAGTGTCAGGTGGACTACATTTAGCAACCAGAAACTTCAACTCCTAAAACTGTGTTCATAGTCTTAGAGAAAGTAAAACTTATGATGAAAGGAGAGAATAAAAAGATTAATATTTTGTAATATGGAATCTGGAATTTTAAAAAATCCTCCTATACTTGTTGTCCTGTTTCCACCAAGCTGTTACCTCTTAACATAATAATATTAACTGCTTTTGCACTGCCTTGAAATTTCCAATGGCTAGATGTTTTCACAGGTAGTCCCCTGAGACCATCATGATTACTACTACTGCAGCAATCAGCAAATTGTGAGAATTTAAAAGGAAAATTATAAGATGCCCTTCAATGGTAATTAACAATATTATGTGTACATGGAAACACTGCACTATATTTGTAGGAGTTTGCAAGTCAGTTAACACACATATGAACTAAAGGACCCAAGTGTTCACTCAAAATGTTTTAAAATAGAGAATCCAATTTAAGTAATGGTTTTCAGCCAGGCCCACACACCTCAGACTTCGGGAACGGGGGCGCATCGGCGTGTTCCTGCATCTGTTGTCAGTGGCGATGCTTTCAGTGGTACAGAAATGTTTCGATAAGAAGTGTAACTCATCCGGCGTTGGTTGGTATGGTAACTGGTGCAACTTCTCCTGGGAGGAACAGGATGACTGAAACAAATCAAAGTGAGGTCACATGACTACCTCAGAAAGAAACTCTTCAAATGAATAGGAGAGATAGATGAGCTAAACTTGGGTGATACTACCACTTTATATTGTTTCTTTTTCATGTTAAAGTTATAAGAACCACTGCCTTAAATGTATACCTTAATGTTCTCTCTCAGAATTCAAAATGCTTTCCATATTTTGCTTCATTTGTTTATAATTTCCCAAAAGATAGTTTTCTTTCTGGAGAAAATCTAGGCTCTGAAAATGGACTGGAACCAGTCAAAGCCAAAGCAAGAAAGTGACCACTTGGGTGGTGTTAGGGAGCACTGTATCACAGATTAGTTCTCAACTGAACATGGCACTCCCAAGTTTACTGCTGCTCAAAATCAAATGCTGACTTTTAGGTTAATAACATGAAATCAGTGATATGAATTGAGATCGTCAATAAGGTAATGAAACCTCTCGTTATAATGCATCAGTGTGTGCCATAGGTACAATGGAACGGATTAAAGAATATACTTTTCACGATAAAGCCACTGTTTTCAGATTTGGAATTAAATTTTCTTTCTTCCTTTTCTTTGGGGCGAGTGGGAGGGCTAAGACTATCACTTAAAAAAAAAAAACCCTTTAATTGGTAGTGAGTTTTTTGTTCCATGCCTGCAGATTTGCTTTTTGAAAACCATCATTCAACATTTGAAACAAGAAAAGAAAGGAAAGGTGAACAGCTAAATAACTCTGCTTTTAATCAATCTGAAACATTTAACTAAAAATCAAAGAAACTATTTATTGTTTTCATTTTTAGGTGGAGGTAAATTCTGTAATTCTAGTTAAAGAGATTGAGAAATTTTTTAGTAAATGGAAACACATAGAATAAGCATATATTGAAAGATACTACCTATTTAAAAATGTCAGCTCTAGTAAGCATGTTTTAAAAACATCATTATATTAAGAATACCCCTCATAAATACTGAAGCACTGCAATGCAGCAAAACTAGAAATTAATGCCTAAAGCTTAAAAATTATTCCTATAACTTGAAATTACAAAACAACTTACCAAGTACATATTGAGACAAAAGGATTTTTATAATGTAATGTGATTATTTTATAAGCCGTAAAAAATGAGAACACTACTAGAAAGACTTATGAGACAAATCAAAACTCCATTCAGTAAGTATATTCATGGCCTTAAATACTTTTTGCTAGGAAAAAAGAAATACAACACAGGAACTAAGTCAAGACAAGAAATCAGGAAAAAAACAAACTCAATGCAAGCAGGAGTTAAGCAGTAGTGATAAGAGAAGAGATGAAGAAATTAGCAAGGAGAAAAACAGAACTAAGAATCTACAGATCTTTGGGAGGCTGAGGCGGGCGGATCACGAGGTCAAGAGATCAAGACCATCCTGGCCAACATGGTGAAACCTCATCTCTACTAAAAATACAAAAATTAGCTGGGCATGGTGGCACGCTCCTGTAGTCCCAGCTACTCAGGAGGCTGAGGCAGAAGAACTGCTTGAAACCAGGAGGCAGAGGTTGCAGTGAGCTGAGATCGCGCCACTGCACTCCAGCCTGGTGCCTGGTGACAGAGCAAGACTCTGTCTCAAACAAACAAACAAAAAGAATCTATAGATACGTCTCAAAGGTGAATCAATGTCCACAATCCTATATCCAAGATTTCAAAACCCACAAACTCAGAAGTTTGTTCCTAAGTTTACAGTAATCTGTTTTGGTGGCAAAGTACCAACTGAACTGATGGGAAGCTGTTTAAAATATTTATTTTTTTTTTATTGCATTTTAGGTTTTGGGGTACATGTGCAGATCGTGCAAGATAGTTGCATAGGTACACACACGGCAGTGTGTTTTGTTGCCGTCTTCCCCTTCACCCACATTTGGCTATTTAATCTACTTAGTGTGAATGTTGATTCAAGCTGCTATAAAAATATTAATATATTTGATTATGAGTGGCTGGCCCCACTGTTGCTGGTCTATTATATACAGAACAGGGATGTTACCATTCTAAAAGTAAAAATTAATTCCAAAACACAGCAGGCTCAAGAGTCTCACATAAGACACCATGCAACTGTACTTGCACGGGAACAGTAACTATGACTTCAGAGAGGGGTCCAAAGAATGGAGTTACACAGAAAATTATGCTGCTAGTTCTTAAGGCAGTTAGAGTTCCAAAACCATGTTCTGAGTCATGATATCACTCAAACAGCATTGAGTCTCTCAAGGTAACCATTTTGCAAAGGCTAATATTCATATGCATATTCAAGTTTCTACTTTTTATTAAAATCATGTCATTTTACAGACATACCTCATATTTTTATGAGTATTTATATTCTTATTTCTGTACTTTCACTCAGCAGAAAATAATTTATCTGGTAAGAAACATATGGGAAAGTATCTTCCTACTGCTATAATTCTATAATACTTATTTCAAATTAAGAATTATTATCTGAATATATTAGAAAAGGTCCACATATTATTTTTAACTGAAGACTGTGATGTTACAAGAAACTCAACACTGAATACTCTCTGGGAGGACTGATTTACTTCATCTGGCCAAATCTTTCCAATTTTGGAATATAGCATTTTTAACATTAAGCAATTTTGTAGTTTCCATAATAGCCAAAGGATACAGATATTATAATGGTTACATTTCAGTCTGGCATTCAATCAACAGCTGAAATTATCTGTAAAGTTTAAACTATATTTTCAAAGTGCTTGTAATTTTATTTGTATATATTCTACATTTTGATTTTTTAATAGTACTTTAAATAGCTACTTTAAATAGTACTTTAAATGTACTTTAAATAGCTAAAGTACATTTCTGATTGGCTAAATGACTAACGGTTAACCCAGGGAAATGAGAATCTAACAGTGATTCAAATTAGATTTGGAAAAGAAAAAAACTGCAACTACTAAGAAGTTTTACACTTTTTGCTCTAATATTTAAAGAATAAAAACACAAAGAAATTGAGAAAAATAGGTAGCTTTTCTAGTTTTCACTCATCACTTTTATCAACAACCAATAAGGAGAAAAATTAATTGAACTTTCACACTACAGCACTTGCAGTCCATAATCTAAATAGTCCCTTCTGTCTTTTGGCAAAAGGAATAATTCTGGAAGCTAAAATTCTGGAGGAAAAACAGGAATACTGAGCCCAATCATTATATGATATTAATGCCTTCAATAAAATAAACACTTCAGAGCAGAGCTGTTAGAAACACAATTGTGTATGACTAAAAACGGTGTCAGGGGTGTCTTCCCTAGGCACATACAGAATTTAGAGACGGCAACGATTCCATTTTGACTGATGACCAGGTCACCTTCATTAATAAACTAGGTTTACTTTAAGAAATGTCAAAGTAAACAAGGTTTACTTTAAGAAATATGTAAATTCCTTTAAAAGAGCCAAGAGACTGGGGTCTAAAACTGCTTATTGTATACTTACTGAGAAAATAAGGGAAGAGTAAACAATCTCTCAGTTAAACAATCTCTCTGTGCCTCAGATTTCTGGCCTATACAATGAAAACATATCATAGGGGATATGTTGCTAGGATTAAATGAGCCAACAGAGTTTAAGAAGTCAGACCAGGGCCTGGCATATAACAAGTATTTATAAACAAAATTATTTTAAAAATTATTTGTACCAAACAGGGTTCAATTTTACGTAGCTCACCTTTTTTTATGGATTCAGTTTTAAAAATGGTAAATGATTTACTAAAGATGGAAAGAATACAAATCTTGAACTCTACCCTATTTTACTCGCAAAAGAGAGATTTGTATGTCCAAGTTATAATAAAACTTGACTAAAGGCAATGCAAGGTGATATTGTTGAAATAAAAAACAAATTGGAATTAAGAGACATGTCTAAACTATTGGCCAATAACCAAAGATAGTTACTGCCAGAAGAATCAAGGATAACTTCAGTATTATTTACTGACAATTTTTTTTTTTTGAGAGAGTCTTGCTCTGTCGCCCAGGCTGCAGTGCGTGGCCTGACCTCGGCTCACTCAACCTCCGCCTCCTGGGTTCAAGTGATTCTCCTGCCTCAGCCTCCTGAGTAGCTGGGACTACAGGTGTGTGCCATCACACCCAGCTACTTCTTGTCTTTTTAGCGGAGAAGGGGTTTCATCATGTTAGCCAGGATGGTCTTGATATCTTGACCTTGTGACCCATCCACCGCGGCCTCCCAAAGTGCTGAGATTACAGGCATGAGCCACTGCTCCCAGCCTATTTACTAACGGTTTTATTCATTGCTGCTATTCAGGATTTTTAAGCATCCTTTACTGATGCTAATGTGCCTCTGAAACCACTCAAGGTGGTTAGGATGTTTCCAAAAGTATGATCTAAATGGACAATAGACTCATATAGCACAACAAAATGAAATAATGGATAGAAAAATAAATTACCTCTGCTCAATGAAATACCATAAGGAGATGGTAAAAATAACCCAACAGCTTTTAACAATTTGGTTTTAAAGGTACTCCAGAAAATCTACATTATATAATTATACTTGGAATTCTGGAAATACATCAGTATAAGGCAGAAGTGATATCAGTTAGAGTTTATTTAGCTGTAGTTTCTTGTCATTCAAGTGTTATTAAGTGGCTAAATCTATGTGCTTAAAACAATGCTGGGGCTATAAAAAATACAATAGATGGCTATCCCTAAAGAATAAACCAGAGATTTTGACAAAATGAGGCACAGGCCCACATTCCTGGCTGGCACAAGTAGAGCCAGATCCCTTCATTTATTGAACACCTACAACCTCCTAGGCCTTTCTCAATGGAAGGCTTGTTTCTACCACCCTGCAGATACAGTAATCCCACATGACCAATAATGCAAACAAAAAAAAAATACATCTAACCTACTGAATTGTTTCCAGTAATTGCTAGGTCTCTTGTTGATAGTTTGGGGCAAGAGTATCCTTTTCCCTCTATCCTATTTTCAGAGATCCACCTCGTCTCTATTTATCTTAACCTTCTTCTAAGTTGTTTTAATCTCCTCTTAAAAAAAAGTTCTTACCTGGAAGGCAGAAATTAAGGCTTGCCTTTTCATTTTTCTTTGAAGGAGAGAGAAAACAAAACACAATGAACCTCTCTCTAAGCGACATAAGAAGAAAGACCCAGTCTATCAAAGTTCAATGGCACTTTCAGCACTAATGTCACTGGCATGGAACCAAAGCAATAAAACTAGACTGTGTTTCTTCCCCCAAACTACACCAAATGTTATTAAAAAGAAAGCTTCCCGTCTTCTCCAGACTTGTGATCCTGGAACTTACTCAATCTATGCACTACAATGTCAAACCTTGCAGCGAAAGTACGCCCCTTTTATGTTTGTCAGGCCGTCATTTGATGCGGCGCTTATTCAGAGTGGCAGACGCATGGAATTTATCTTCCCCTCTTACCAGGAAACACCCAGAGAAAACACTGCTTGTGTAATAGCTCTTTTGTTGTCAGGGAGAGAAAAAAAAAAAAGTCAGGCACTTACAGAGACCGTAGAGCTGGGTGTGTTTGTCCCATAGCCAGAGGAAGGGAGAGAAGCCAATGACCAGCGGCGTCCATCAGTCCTATTGAGAAAGTGAGTTTAGCTTTGGCCAACACTGATGTACTATCACATGGAAACCCCAGGGAAACCAAGTATTTTTATTCAAACAAATGACACAAACATAGTCTGTGAGGATGTGGAAATGTTCAGCAAGGGTGAGGGTAAACAAACATTATATAGTAGGTTGACTTTTATTTAAACTGAATCAATACAACCAAACAAGTAGAAAGTGAATGGGCTGATCCATATTATTGATGTTTCACTAATAGACTTTGACAAAATGAATACCAGGGATAATTACAATGGTCAGACTCAGCAGATTTAAATGAATAAGAACAGAAAGGGAGGAGGAAAAACACTCTCATCTGGAAACTGATAACCAGAGCAAATGATCTTTGGAAGGGCCTGACTTCCAACATGGCACAAGAGCCTGTAGGGACTTGCTTAGCATCCAAAACACTTTCTGCTTAAAATTTTCAAGGGAGCGGATCTACTTATCATGCTTAGGGAAGAAGGGATCATTGGGCTCCTGGCTGGCTCAGGCCTGAAGTGTCAAATAACTTTAGTATTAAGTAAGTAACTGACCTTATGCTCAGAATCTCTTAAGAGTTACTGCCTTCTGACATGACCTGGCTTGTTACAGCAAAGCCTCCTGCAGGGTCTTTGAGCAAGCAGCCCAGCTCTGGCCAGTTAACAGTGGGGCAGAATAAAAACTTCTCCACCAGTGATAGAACTTAATGCAAAGAGTAAAGTTGTTTGCCTCAGTCTTATAGGCAAAGCCGGCAGGAGCCCTAAAGTGGGTGGTTTTTACCTTCAAGTGATGATAGAATGAGTGGCTTCTCAGCTGGAGTTTGGCCGTGAATAAGGGTCAATACAAGGGTCTCAGATGAGTGAATGCAGCAGTGGAAACAATACTGCTGCAAAGGGAAGGGGGCACCAGAAAGCAAATTTTCTGAAATCTCTGGCATTCCAGAGCTATTACTTTAAAAGCAGTTTTGGATAAGACTGTGCCTTAGGGCCGGGCGCGGTGGCTCAAGCCTGTAATCCCAGCACTTTGGGAGGCTGAGGCCGGTGGATCACGATGTCAAGAGATCGAGACCATCTCGGTCAACATGGTGAAACCCCGTCTCTACTAAAAATACAAAAAATTAGCTGGGCATGGTGGCGCGTACCTGTAATCCCTGCTACTCAGGAGGCTGAGACAGGAGAATTGCCTGAACCCAGGAGGCGGAGGTTGCGGTGAGCCGAGATCACGCCATTGCACTCCAGCCTGGGTAACAAAAGGGAAACTCCGTCTCAAAAAGAAAAAAAAAAAAAAAAAAGACTGTGCCTTAAAAACGACAGAACATTCTGAAGGTTCTATGCAGATTTGTCAAGGGGTAAAACAGGAAAAACACACTGTAAAAAGAGCAACACTGCATTCTTAGATCAGTAAGACTGCAGTGTCCTATATGAATATTTTGTAATTCATGATTATATTAACTTGCCAAGTAAGTGACAAGAGTGGACAAAATTTACCAGAGATCCATTCACAGTAAGTTAAAGTTAGGGAATTGAGCAGCATTAGACTTGAATGTGAGAAATGTCACAGTTAGATGTTAATGTGAAAAACTAACATTCTAGCCTAAATCTACATTCATGGAAACATAAAATTATAGGCTGCCATGGATGTAACCTCCAATAAATGCAATGGTCCACAAAACAAAATGGAAAAATTCAAGTGGACAAATCACGTAACTACTACAATGTTAAGGTTTTAGTAAAATTTACCTGTCATTTCTGTACCATGATTGGAGTACAATTGAATCAAGTATGTTTAAAAAAAGAAGCAAAACAAGATGTATGTAAATATATCAGACAAAATAAATTGGGATAAGCTACATGTTCTTTTGAAGTACTTTTAAACAACTGAAAATGTTAATGATTTAAGAAGAAAGTAATTATAATAACACACTTAGAAAGATATTAGATTGTTAAATTGACACTATTTTATTTGGCTACTTATTAAATAGTTAAGAATCCATGGGCTGTACTTTATCTTAAGCATCTCCAATTTGATAAAGTAAGAAAAGTATATGATTTTAAAAGAATTATTCAGTCCATTCAATAGCAGTTATCAGAAACTTGTCTCTGGAAAGAGTGAGGGACACAATCCCCCCCACCATGATTTTGTTTTGTGATTCATTAACTCTCCTTCCCCTCAGGTATTAATGAACATATTTCAGATGAATGAGCAATTCCAAGAGAAGACACGTTCTTATTAGTTCTGAAGCATAAATTACATTTGCTTGCTCCGGAAAACACACAACTAGAAAGACGTTTAAACAGGAATGTGCTCAGTACTCTGTACAGCCATGGACCAGAAATAATTTACAACTCATAAAGTTCTCTAAGTTGTCTGTGTCTATTTACTCAAATGGAGCACAAAGGACCATTGCATTTTTATTACCATGAAAACTGCACATCAGAAGTTACTATACATGCTACATATAGTACTTAAGAGAGAGCATGCCCTTTTTTCAAGAAAGCTATCACACAAGTACAATATGGATCCTGCTAATAATGTTGTCTTTTCTTTGCAGTGGCTACCAATAAAATGTAATCAGAAGACAAGACTACATTTTTGCCAATGCAATAAGCCTTTTCTGAAAAGAGTCTTTTTCCTTGGGGGTGGCAATCTTGGTGTTATGTTAAATGAAAAAGTAAGAAGGGAAAAACATCTGATGGGAATACAGGACACAAAAAGATTAGCAGAAAAAAAAAACCCTCATTTCAATACCACTCACAAAAATTTAGATTAATATGGCATACAACAAAGAAAGAATGAAAAGTTCCAGTATCATCCTGGCTCTTCCAGAGGAAGCAGAATTATTGTGATAGTTACCTGGAGTGATACACCGAATATTCTAGTTGATGCTGGAACAAGTTGAACTATGTAAATATAGCTAACTAAAATCTACTCCAGAATTCTGAAGGTGTAACTAGGAGGTTACAAAGATCAGACTCAGCAGATTCAAATGAATAAAAACAGAAGGGGAGAGGAAAAACACTCTAATCTGGAAACTGATAACCAGAGCCAATAATCTTAAGCAGGCCTGACTTCCAGCCCAGTACTCAACAACTGTCTGATGACCTGAACTCAGCAGGCAAGTCTGTTGTAGTAATTTGCTTGTGGAAATATACTTGGAGACTTAACCTAGTGAATAGTAACTAAGCAAGTAGGAGAGAACTACAGCATTTCTTGGAGGGCTCTGTGTTTCCAACGAAAGTGAAAGCGATCTGCAATACATAAACCTCCACAACTCCTGGGAAAGGCAGGAGAATATTTTTACCTCCATCTCACCGCCAGGGAAAAAAGGATTAAGTCAGTCCACAATCAGGTGGATTGTATATTAATACCACAATCAGCAATGTGAAAATGTTTCCTTGCTCCAGACAAAAATCTATGCTATGGTTCTCACTTTCATCTTTCATTTTATTAATACTAAAAAATTAATTTGATAATTTCACTCTCAAATCTGCATTTGAAAATACAGAAAGCAAGTCTGTGTTATCATACTTTCTAGTCTATACTTGGACTTTAGTTACAGGGGATGGCTGCTAGGGAAATATTATCACATAATGTAAGAAAGATCAGAAAAGATTAATAAGCCAGACTTTTATCTCTTTACCCAAGACTGCTTTTAAAAACAGAGCAGTCTTTCCTTAGTTGTACTAAATTTTACAAAACAATAAAATGTGGGAGTCTCAAAATGACATTACTTCTTAAAGGCTCAGCAATGTGCACCAAATGGAGGGTAACAGAGGCCTAGGGGTGGAATCTCCATGTTGCCTGAGGAAAAATGAACTCTAAAGTGGAGAGAAATACCCCAGATGTTCTATAAAAATTCACCAATTTGAGTTTTCATAGCACAGGGTCTGTTTACTTAAATAACAGTTTAAAATGATGATCACTCATGTCCTAATCTAAATTAATACTTGTTGAAGAGTGTGGCGGGAACTCCATTTGGAAATTCATGCAAAATGAACTAGAGGTCTCCTGTGATAATCTCCTGTCACGGTTTGTGGTTGATTTGTCAAAAATTAACATGCCTGGGGGTTTATGTATTTTTTTATAGCATGGAAACCAGATTCGTCTGTCCTCCAGTCACCTATTTATTAGATTCTCTTCATTTTTATAAATCTGCCAGAATTAAGATACTATGATTTCTGTCATGTTTAAATGCACTCCATAACGAGATTTCCATTTTTCTTATTACTTACAGTAATTAAATGCATTCTCCCCTTTATAGAGATATGTTTTAAAGACTATAATAGACACTTATTTATCGGTTTTTATAGGATTTTTTTTCTACTTGGAATAGTAGCACTATTATAAATTAATATTCATTAGGCAAACAGGCTTTCTGGGACCAGTACATTTTCTTACAGTACTTAAAATAAGAAGCTAAAAAAAGAAAAGTTGGAGCTAGGGGTAAAAACTGTATGGGTCTCAATAAGTTCCCTGGAGATGATGCTTTAATCAGTCTTGAATCGTTCCCATGGTGAGATACATAAAGACATTTAACACATGATGGGAAACAACTAAACTATGAAAGAACAAACTTTTTTATATCAGATTTATAATGGAATCTTAATTATATAGAATTCTGCAAATGCTGCAAATGTATCCTTTTTTTCTAGACTTAGTAATATAAAATGCATGACATGCTGACAATTGGTTGTGAGGACACTGCAAGTTTTGCTGGTTAGTCACGTATGTAAAAACAAGTCTTCTTTTTTAACCTACCTATGTGTCTTTATTAAGCGCTATTTTAATCCAATTCAGAATGTAGTTAGCACTCTGAGGAAAACTGAGCAAACATCTAGGACATTCAGACCATAAACCAAGTTTATCCTGATAATTCAGAAACTTGGCTGAAGGTGCCATTTTGTTTTCTCGGTGTTTTTCCTAGGCAGAAGAGGACAAGCTACGCATGTGAGAGGGATGAAGGCACCCAGTAATGGGATGCCTTGCATCTGACAGGGTGAAGCCAATGAATTCCACATGCAGAACACAGAAAAGATGACTGTGTATAGCCCTCCGACTCAGCTACATTACAGTAGAAAATCCACAACGAACATGTTGCCATATGACACTATGTGCCTGCCATCCTCTGAACAACAGAAACATTTCCTCTTGACTCAGTGGTCCAGTTATGAGACATCTATCTTTGATGTTGGAGATGCCCAATTACAAACATGATAGGAAGAGAAAGCAGAAAACACCCCATACCCCATGCATGGCTTTTTCTCAATGGGATCACTAAATTTCTGGCTTGAAACTGTTAAAGCAGGTGTGTTAAAGCTTTGTGGTAGCCTAAGCTCCTTTGGCCAGTGGGGCTTTGGAGAAGGCCTTACAGAATAATGAGTGGGGCTTCATAAGGCAAAGAGCAGGGGGTGGGGAGAAGCGGGGAGGAGCAAGCGAGGAGGCAGGGAAGTGGAGAGAGGGAGAAGCGGGGAGGGGGAGAAACAGGGAGGGGGAAAATGGGGAGGGGAAGAAATGGGGAGGGGGAAAACGGGGAAGGGAGAAGCAGGGATGGAGAGAAGTGGGCAGCAAGGATGGAGAGAAGTGGGGAGGGGAAGAAGGGGAATGGGATTCTCTCTATAAGACTTTATGCCTCCACTCACAAGAAGTCCTTACCTCCGTGCAAATGAAAAATGGGCTGAGGCACTGGGGGAGAAATTTCTTGGACTATCTTGGGGGCTATTTCCTAGAGAGAGAGAAAAGAGAAAAAGTTACTACATGATTTTGTTTTTGTATCAGTATCCATATCCAGAATCCTCTCCCTAGAAATAAGTTTATTTACATTTCTGTAGAATGTCCTTTCCTCCAATAATGTTTTAGTTTTACCTGGACCAGGGATGGTGGTGAGCGGGAGGAGATGGGGATGGAGGATCATGAGTTCCAGCACACTTTTCTAAGTGTGCAAGACACATGAATAAACACATTCACCTATATCACCAACCAGAAGTCCTCCATCGATGTAACAATACAAGTATTTCAGTCTGATAGAATAATAAATATGTAAAAGTCTTGGTTGTGACCATCCAGACACTAACATTTCAATGAACAGGATGCATGGGTAAGCATATGCTTCAGTTGGAGGTGTTTTCCATTTTAGCAGGCAGCCTTAGTACTTTCTGTTTACAGTAGACGGAAAAAGAGTCTGAGTTTCTGAAGATAAATCCTCATATTCTGAAGCATATATTTTAAAGGGGGATGTGTCAAAACTAGTTGTAAAACACTAGGAAGACCCCCAGCAGTTTGGACCTACTTCTTAAAGACCCAGATCTATCTCAGCATTGCCAAGTGGCTCAGCAGGATTACCCCTTGTCAATATTTTCCTCAACAATCCCTCTGCTCTTAAATAGCTAGACTGTGACTGGCGGGCAGGCTCTAAAAGCCACAGCCACACACAAGCTGGCAGAGTTCGTCTTCCCCAGGCCTTCGCGGGTGGTGTGGAGCAGTGATTGCTCGTTGGAAGGAGGGCAGCTCCTCTGGGGCTTGTTACTTTCTCCATTAGCCCACTCAACCTGCTGCTGATCATTGAGAAAGCTTGGTCGGCAGCTGGTGAGGGCAAGTTCAGGACACTCCAGACCACCCTGCTTCCCTCTGCATGTTTAATTAGATTGGCGAATTGTCTGAGGACCGCATGGAACTGTAGCTTGTTTAAATAAGGGGGCGAGGAAAGGCTGCAAAGCAATCCTGTACCTTCTAGAAAAAGGAAACATAAATCAGGAAACTACGTTTAATCCCTAACAGCAAGCCAATTGCCACGTTACTGGTTTCTTAATGAAAGTGACTATTGTAATTGGGTGTAAGGAATACAAGATTTTATGTTAAAGTCAGTACCTGGCTATAAAGGTAAACAATTTATTCCCAGTGCACAGAAAGAATAGACTAACACATTACGGAGGATACGTTTAGTGTTACCTTGAGGACTTCTGGACTGGTTATATCTCTACTGAAATTTTTCAATTAACTTAAGGTTGCAAATTTTATAGTGATGTCTTCAACAAATGCCATTAACTTTATGACAGACAGCACAATCACAGCTATTTAACCGGGAAGCACTGAGAAGCCCATTTCTTTATGGATAGAGAATCATGAAGCATTTTTCCCCCTGCTGCAATGAAATTTATCATGGCTTTGCATCTGTTGTTCCTTGGGCCCCTGGAGAAATGAATTCTGCTTTTGCCATCCAGTAATCCAGGATTCATTTTGTCCATTTACCTACCCAGCTAAATATAGTTCTTTCAACTTCTCTCAACAGCCTTCATCCCCACTCCCCACACCCCTAATTTAGCTTGTGTATTTCTCTTCATATTCCTTTAAAAATCTCAAAATTTCAAGATGGCTAAAAATTTTGTTTCCTAAAGGAAATAAACTAATTCCAGAAATATTCATATAAATTTTGTTTTTCGTGTGGGAAAAATGTTCAATTTGCTCACACACCAAAAAGAGCAAACTACCAGTAGATTATTAGGCATAACACAACAACTGCTTATCTGAAGCCAAGACATTCTAGGAACAATCCCTGCTACACCAATTCACTTAAATTACAAACATACTGCCAAAGAAACCTGGCACCAAATTCTTAGCCCTGTATTCTTGGTAAAGAAAACACTGTATCTGAAGATTTTAATGTGATCAACTAGAACAATGCAAAGAGCTTATTAACATATATATTTTAATCTGAAGAAGGAAGAAACAAGGAATTGACTTAAAACCCTTTTCACTTTTAGGGATATTAGTGAATGGTCCCCATGGTGACCCATCACCTTCAGGATGAATGGGCAGAGATATACATAAAGAGATAGGTGAGTTTAACTCTGCTCTTAAAAAAAAAAACAAGGCTGCCACTAACCATTTCCCATATTCAGATTTTGCCCTTGCATCTTAGGCTGCCTTTCTAGGTCCATCACTTAAAGATTTTCCTCCTTTTCTTCTTATCTACTACACTGCTATAAAACCAAACTTAAATTCCCATATCTTCTACTTCAAGACTATAGAGCCATCGGTATTAACTTACTAATCACAGATGTTTCTGTTTCATGTCACACCAAAAGCTAAATTAAAATGCAAATATGTATATATGTACACACACATATACATACACACATGAATTATCATTAAGGCTCTTAACTGTCAGAGGATATTACAGAAGATGAGTGAGAGTGATGTGGGCTACAGCAACTGATAATTCCTTAAGGAAAAGGGATACTAGCTCAATCTGAGGGCAGTTCAGCAGGTTTTAGGTAAGAGGAGAAACAGAAATCGACTTCAGAAGGGAGTCAGAAATAACCTAAATCCACAGAATATACATTCTTCTCAGCACCACATCACACCTACTCTAAAATTGACCACATAATTGGAAGTAAAGCACTGCTCAGCAAATGCAAAACAACTGAAATCATAACAAACAGCCTCTCAGACCATAGTGCAATCAAGTTAGAACTCAGAATTCAGAAACCAACCCAGAACCGCACAGCTTCATGGAAACTGAACAAATGGCTCTTGAATGTTGACTGGGTAAACAATGAAATGAAGGCAGAAATAAAGAAGTTCTTCGAAACCAATGAGAACGAAGACACAACATGCCAGAATCTCTGGGACACATTTAAAGCAGTCTCTAGAGGAAAGTATATAGCAATAAGTGCCCATATGAGGAGAATGGAGAGATCCAAAATTGACACCCTATCGTCAAAATTGAAAGAGCTAGAGGAGCAAGATCAAAAAAACTCAAAACCCAGCAGAAGACAAGAAATAACTAAGATCAGAGCTGAACTGAAGGAGATTGAGACACGAAAAACCCTCCAGAAAATCAATAAATCCAAGAGCTGGTTTTTTGAAAAGATCAACAAAATAGACAGACCACTAGCCAGATTGATTAAAAATAAAAGAGAGAACAACCTAATAGATGCAATAAAAAATGATAAAGGGGAAATCACCACAGACTCCACAGAAATTCAAACCATCATCAGAGAATATTACAAACAACTCTGCACATAAACTAGTAAACCTGGAAGAAATGGATAAATTCCTGGACTCCTGTGTCCTCCCAAGCCTAAACCAGGAGGAAGCTGAAACTATGAATAGACCAATAACAAGGTCAGAAGTCGAGGCAGCAATTAAGAGCCTACCACACAAAAAAAGCCCAGGTCCAGACGGGTTCACAGCCGAATTCTACCAGACACACAAAGAGGAGCTGGTACCATTCCTTCTAAAACTATTCCAAATAATCCAAAAAGAGGGAATCCTTCCCAAATCATTTTATGAGACCAACATCATCCTGATACCAAAACCCGGCAGAGACCCAACAAGAAAAGAAAACTTCAGGCCAATATCCATGATGAACATAGATGCAAAAATCTTCAATAAAATATTGGCAAGCCGATTGCAACAGCAAATCAAAAAACTTACTCATCACGATCAAGTAGGATTCATCCTGGGGATGCAAGGCTGGTTCAACATATACAAGTCTATCAATGTAATTCACCACATAAACTGAACCAAAAACAAAAACCACATGATTATCTCAATTGACACAGAGAAGGCATTTGACAAAATACAACAGCCCTTTATGCTAAAAACCCTCAATAAACTCGGTATCGATGGAACGTATCTCAAAGTAATAAAAGCTATTTATGACAAACCAACAGCCAATAGCATACTGAATGGGCAAAAACTGGAAGCATTCCCTTGGAAATCCGGCACTAGACATGGATGCCCTCTCTCACCACTCCTATTCAATATAGTACTGGAAGTTCTAGCCAGAGCAATCAGGCAAGAAAAAGAAATAAAGGGTATTCAAATAGGAAAGGTGGAAGCCAAATTGTCTCTATTTGCAGACAACATGATAGTATACCTAGAAGACCCCATCGCCTCAGCCCAAAAACTCCTGAAACTGATAAGCAACTTCAGCAAAGTCTCAGGATATAAAAATCAATGTGCAAAAATCACAAGCATTCGTCTACACCAATAACAGACTTAAAGAAAGCCAAATCAAGAACGAACTGCCATTCACAATTGCTACAAAAAGAATAAAATACCTTGGAATACAACTCACAAGGAACGTAAGAGACCTCTTCAAGGAGAACTACAAGCCACTGCTCAACGAAATCAGAGAGGACACAAACAGATGGAGAAACATTCCATGTTCATGGTTAGGAAGAATTAATATCGTGAAAATGGCTATACTGCCCAAAGTAATTTACAGAATCAATGCTATCCCCATCAAGTTACCATTGACTTTCTTCACAGAACTGGAAAAAACCACCATGAACTTCATACGGAACCAAAAGAGAGCCCGCATAGCCAAATCAATTCTAAGCAAAAAGAACACAGCGGGGGGCATCACACTACCGGATTTCAAACTATACTACAAGGCTACAGTAATCAAAACAGCATGGTACTGGTACCAAAATAGAGATATAGACCAATGGAACAAAACAGAGGCACCGGAGGCAACACAACATATCTACAACTATACAATCTTTGATAAACCTGACAAAAACAAGCAATGGGGAAAGGATTCCCTATTTAACAAATGGTGTTGGGAAAACTGGCTAGCCATGTGCAGAAAGCAGAAACTGGACCCCTTCCTGACACCTTACACTAAAATTAACTCCGATGGATTAAAGACTTAAACATAAGACCTGGCACGATAAAAACCCTAGAAGGAAATCTAGGCAAAACTATCCAGGACAT